CTTGCCGCATGTTATTCAGTCCTATATTCCAGATAACCTCGTTTCGCACTCTGAAGTCGCTAACAGTCTTGGACCAATGGGAACATTTTGAATTTTGCGAGAGTGCTGAGGTCACCAGTCACAAAATGGCTGCCATTTTGTGAGGCGTTACACAACATTAGAAAGAATGTGCACATCGTTGCTTCCCCTTCCCTCCCCTAGGCCTCCTATTTACCATGGGGAGTCAGCTATGTCCTGCTGATTCTGCTTATGGAGATAAAAAGGCCCAAGAACCCCATTTTTCCCCAATGGCAAGGCCTAGGTTGCCATCATTACTGACTTACCTGGGAGTAAGCCTCATTAACAAACCTGTTGTTGAAGTAGACATGCATACCATTGATCTGTATAGTTAACCATACAGTTAACTGACCATCAGCTCCTGCACAGCAAAAGACACATCTAAAATATGGGTTTTGGCTGGATGGTGAACAAGGTTACACTTACATCATTCATATGAAAAAAGGGTATTTAAATCCATTCCAGGATGCACAGAATTAACACAGAAGTAGACTACAACTCCCATCATCCCTAGCTAGCAAGACCAGTGTTCAGGGATGATGGGAAATGTAGTCCGAAAACAGCTGGAGACCCAAGTTTGGGAAACACTTGCTCTAAAACAATTTTTTTAAAAATCTATTCGCCCTTGCATTTCCGGTCTGACCTCACTAGCAGACCAGTCTGTATTAAGTGATATGTCTCATAGGAAGGGTGCTTGAGCCTGGGGTTCTGGACTAGGCTGCAAAATACTCAGGTCACATTTTGAAGCTCCAGACACCTGATGGCTTCTCTCCACTGCTTGTCCTGCCATAGTTTGTTTCTGTGATACTCTTCTGCTCACCCAGAAGAGCCAACTGTTATCCACAGCAGGCCTTAATCATTTAGGGAACGAATTAAGTGGGGAGTTAAGGATTGGAAGGAGTGTCTTTAAAATAATAATAATAATAATAATAATCACACAAGTATCCAAATGGGTAACTTTTATTTGTGGATAAAAATTAAGGCTCACAGTACTTATCATTTACAAGCAGAAAATGTTTTCTTTCTTTAAAAAAACGAGAATGCTAGGAATTATTTCCCTATACAAATTCCTTTGAATACGTTGACATGTCTCACTGAAGGACTAGAGAGGGGTAAACAAACTGAACAAGAGCAACTGCATTCATAAGCTACATTCCTTTCTGGACCACAAGAAGACAACAATCAGTGTTTCTCCATCCGGCTGAGATTACATGAATGAACACGATGAAATACATTCAAGGACTGGAAGGATGGCAATGAAGCTACATTCCACTTCCCTCACAAACTAACTGTGTGTTTTTTTTAAAAAAATAAAAAATAAAAATAAGAAATACCCTGCTCCATACAATACTGGAATCTGGATTCAGATTTAACAAATCACTCATGATGCAATGCCTCTTACACATGTGTTTGCTTCTGGCTGCAATGTTAATCTTCTTAATAAAGTTTGCCAAACTCCCATTTTCTTCACGAATCTTTTTTTTTAAAAAACAAAACAAGCTTATAAAGTTATAGCCCAGAGCTGACTTAAAACGTATACATTTGTTAAGATGGAAATCCTATAATTTGACTATCTGTGCATCTAACATAGTGAACATGGACACAAAATACTCTTAGCTCCAGCTGCAAAGGTTACCGTCAGTAGACACACCACTCAGTTAAAACTTCTGGCTCTTATGAATGGAACCATGCATTATATATACCTCATTTCTCTAGCCTGGACCATAACTATAATAGGGTTACGTATTATATGTTGAACATCAGCTTTTTTTTAAAAAAAGGACATTTAAAATGGGCAAGTAAACCTCAATGTCAAAGCACAGCAATAGCTCAAGGAACACCCCCCCAGCTATGAACCCAACTGTCTAGGAGGCATCTGAATAAGAGTTCCCACCACGCAAGAGCCATGAGGCTTGCAAGTGATCATTACATTATACTCTCAGGTGCCATAATCTCACCAGCAGGCATAAAGAGGACTTCCTAGTAGAGTTTGCTAAGAAAACACTTGGGTCTGGATTGCACTTCTGCTCAACTTGACCACACCCATTCCCAAACACGGACTATACAGGAAAGCACTTCTGTTGCACATCCTCGGTTTGGATGAAACGGGGCAAACAGATTTGCAAATCATCTGCCATGGATGCTTCACAGTTGAGATTCCTGCATTGCAAGGGGTCAGACTGGATGGCCCTGGGGGGTCCCTTCCAACTCTACAATTCTGATTCGCCCACTGCATTCCTACGCACTGGACCATGCCACCCAGTTTACTCGCTCACGTACATGTTCCAAGACCTCCGCAGGAAAGGTCTTCAGGAGACAACATGTGGCATTGGTGAGGCAAGTTAGCATAGCAAGAGAACCACCAGCTCATCCCAGCTCTCCAAACGCCAGGTGGTACACTTGCTCCATCATAATAATGGTTTTATAGCGAGTACCTTTTGCCCTTATTTCCCCTTTATCCGTCCCTCTGCTTTATTCCAGCCAGATGCTCTACCACACATCTGGCAAGACCATCCAGCGAGCCCTGACCCCTGCATCTTAACCAGCCATGTCTTGGTTAATTCACGTAAGGACAGCGAAAATCATATTGAGCAGAAGGACCCCTTTTTTGCCAACGGAAGCGACTAGTTCACTGCCCCTCCACAAGTTTTCACTTGTCCTGCGGTGACCTTCCGATCAATCAATGCATGGCGGAATAGTCATCTGTATCCTGCTAATCAACGCAGTAATACTTGGGCACTTGAGAACTATTGGGTACAAAGCAAAGTTTGTGTAAGGTTACAGTGATTTGTGGTGCGCTAAGGCCGTATTCAGAACGGGTGAGTGAAGTCGTTGCAGCCCTATACTCTTTATTCTAGCATTTTAAGCCCTCTTCTACCAACTTAACAGCTATGGCCTCCCCCTGAGAAACCCAGGAACTATAGTTTGTTAAGGATGCTGGGAATTCTAGCTCCGTGAGGCGTCGAACGACAATTCCCAGGACCCTAAACAAAGTAAAGAGTTTTCGGGATTCTTTGGGGGAAGCCATGATTGACAGTGGATTAAAGGGTGCTTTAAATATAGGGTGTGGGTGTGACCTTAACGCTATTCTCCTGTCCATCTACCCTGACAAGATGCTGTAGAAGCAGCTGCACTTCAGACGAAGCTATGTGGCTCAATACCCACACATATTGAAAACCACCCAGCTTCTGATCCTTACCCAAACCAGAGCCGAGAGGTTAACTCTATTTACCGTATTTTTTGCTCTATAAGACGCACCTAGTTTTAGAGAACAAAAAAAAAAATCTCTCCCTCTCTGCGCAGCACCTCTCCAGCAAAGCGGGAGGAGAAACGGAAGGGGCTCCGTTTCTCCTGCTGCTTCGCTGAAGGGGCGCTGCATAGCTTTCCCTCTCTGTGCAGTGCCTCTCCAGCGAAGTGAAGTCAAAACAGCAAGAGGGATCGCTGCACAGCGATCCCTCTTGCTGTTCTGGCTTCTGGGATAACTGCGCAGCCTGCATTCACTCCATAAGACGCACACACATTTCCCCTTACTTTTTAGAGCGAAAAATATGGTACCCTTCTGACTTATTGGTGGTTTATTTTTCAAGAAATGCACAAACTAATTTATATCTAGATTGGCCCTGTTGCTTCCAAAACCCAATCACATACGAATCAGTACATTTTAGAAGAGGAGGAGTTTGGATTTGATATCCCGCTTTATCACTACCCTAAGGAGTCTCAAAGCAGCTAACAATCTCCTTTCCCTTCCCACAACAAACGCTCTGTGAGGTGAGTGAGGCTGAGAGACTTCAGAGAAGTGTGACTGGCCCAAGGTCACCCAGCAGCTGCATGTGGAGGAGCGGAGACGTGAACCTGGTTCACCAGATTACGAGTGTACCACTCTTAACCACAACACCACACTGGCTTGGAAAGGAGTACACAGAGAGCAATTATTCCCCCTTGCTTTTCCAAAGCAGCCTCATATAAAATATAAGCCCAATGGTATGAATGATAATTTGGCATAAAGACAAAGACAAAAACTGAGAAAGGGCAGATAAGATTTTGATGGCTGCAAGGTGGATTGTTCCTCCCTTTGATTTTCCCTGAACCGCAAGATGCATTTCCAACTGTATACATAATTCATGTTTGGCTCCCTTGTAACTGATTTAATGTACATTAAATATAGATATCACTGCACGGTGGGGGAAATGTATGCTTTTACATTTTTAAACAAAACTTGCTTTAAAAAGCATTATGGAAGAGGGACAGGAGAGCAAGGGGGGGGGGAGACACAGTCATTATTTGAGTGCCAGGTGTTATTGTTGCCTTAAAAGTCAACACTTATTGCCATGGGCTTAATACTCCAAACGATATGGAACAGGAATTCATACAGTACGCAGCAAAACAAATTATACATTGATTCCACAACTCAACAATACCTACTACTCCATTTGGCAAAATATTTATTTATAATAAATCTGTTTCAAAAGCAGTTGTTGGTCGCTTTCCCGCCCCGACCCCCCTAACCCATTATTTTAATAGGCTCCGACATTGGTTTTGGTAAATGTAAATAAACGGTCTCTTTTTACACAGTATACAAAAGAAAATGAAAATAAAAAATAAAAAGAGACATTGAAATGACGTAACAGTAGAAACAGTCAGTAAGACCCCCAAAAAAGGCAAAGCAATATGAATCTATCTGCACGTAGGCAACACTGCCCTAATTATTTACCCGTACGTATCCTCAGCCCACTTACCTTGCTCCCCGCCCCCCCCCCGCCCCCAACATCATTCTTAATTTGCAGATTATGCTCCAGGAAAGGGGGGGGAGAGAGAATCACATATGATGTAGCAGCAGCTCCAGCGACTCTGTTTCACAGTACTGCATGTCAACACTGGGAATGGTTTCTGATATAATTTAAAACTGCATACAGTACTTTCATACAAGGAGGGGGAGGGAATAATTATTCCCACTCAGTTGTTCCTGGTGGTTTTGAAGTCAAGTCATACATCACCCGGGAGATGCCAGGAATCTTCTTAATCTCTGCCACCATCTTCAACACAACCTGCGTTTATTTAGGAACAAAACAAAGTGAGAAGAGCAGTTAAGTAGACAGGCTCCCTGGTCTGAATGAGGGATAAATCGGGGCTGTAATGTAAGGCACAGGGTATTCATTAGACTACTTTACACAACTGTCTAGAAAGGAGTAGGAATGATGCGTCAAAGTTTTAAAATATAGCCTGGTATTATTTTGTTTGCAAAAAAACAAAAACAAAAAATCAGGCAAACATTTTGGAGAGGAAGCTCATACACTTACTACAGTCATACCTTGGAAGTAGAACGGAATCCGTTCTGGAAGTCCGTTCGACTTCCAAAACATTCGGAAACCAAAGCGCGGCTTCTGGTTGGTTGCAGGAAGGTTCTGCAGCCAATCGGAAGCCACGGAAGCCCTGTCGGACGTTTGGGTTCCAAAGAACGTTTGCAAACCAGAACACTCACTTTCCGGGTTTGCGGTGTGTGGGAGCCAAAACATTAGACTTGCAAGGCATTCGGGATACAAGGTACAACTGTCCAGCATAGGCCTGGGCGATGGACTGATACATCTCCCAGGAGCAGTTTGAGGGCCAGAGCACAGATTTATTTCTGTGCTACAAAAAAGAACTTTTAAACTATTTTGAATAAAGGAACAAGCACAGTTTCCATATTAGCAAAGAAAGAAAAGGCAGTTCCGAATGATTATTCTGAAAGTTTTACCTCTTCTGGTATCTCATTGCCGGGAGTCGCTGCAATACCCGTCATGAAATCACTAGTGATGAAGGTCCGAATGACCACAGATCTTTGACAGGAAGGCTGCTTCTGAAGGGGATCTCGGTCAAAATGCAACGGTGTCAAGATGACTGGCATCTGGCTGATTTTTCCGGCATAACCTTGGCATAAGAAAGCAAGAATATTGCAATTAACAAACCGTTATATGGACCGAGAGAGCCGGCGTAGTGTACTGATTAGAGCAGATCGTCAGGAATGACTAAAGTTGTGGTTGAACAACACCCAGAGGTTGGCAGGTCCCCCATCCCTCAATTACATTGCTGGACTAGGACTTGGGAGACCAGAATTCCTACTCCCAATTCAGTCGTGAAGCTCACTGGGTAGTCTTGGGCCAATCACTAGCTTGGCCGAATCTATGTCACAGGGTTGTTGTCAGGATAAAATAGGGGGAGGGAGCTCATTTTGCCATCCTGAGCTCCTCTAAGGAAGGGCAGGATACAAACGAAAACAAAGAGCAGCATAAAGACAGACTGTACTCCATGGTACAATTCAGAAACTGCTCTTGGTTAAGAGCTGCATGCATCAAATTACAGTGGTACCTCGGGTTACATACGCTTCAGGTTACATACGCTTCAGGTTACAGACTCCGCTAACCCATAAATAGTGCTTCAGGTTAAGAACTTTGCTTCAGGATGAGAACAGAAATCGTGCTCCGGCGGCGCGGCAGCAGCAGGAGGCCCCATTAGTTAAAGTGGTGCTTCAGGTTAAGAACAGTTTCAGGTTAAGTACGGACCTCCGGAACGAATTAAGTACTTAACCCGAGGTACCACTGTAGCTTCTTTTAAAACTTTCGTGTGATTCACTTCCATGTGATTCAGTTTTTCTGCTACAAAATCAAGAAATTGCAGTGTCCCAGAAAATTCAACTTTCTGAAGCCAGGGTTCTACAAAATAAACATCTGTTATGCAAACTTTTACTTTATTGTCTTGCACCAAAATCTGGGTTGCTTGACAAATTCTGAACTGTTAAGTGGTCTTTGCCAATGGCAATTCAAGGGCAGCAGACCTCTTAGCAAATAACTAAGCAATGACCTTCCACTGAACAAATGCACATACTAACCAGACTCCCTGAGAATATTATGAGCCTCAAAATCAGCTTGCCGCAATGTGCTGAGGACTCCTGTTGTCAGGAAAGTGGGAGTAACGTCTGTGGGAGGTTCTTTGACAGGTGGGCCAAACACATAGACAACTCTACGGAGGGAAGAAAATGAAGCGTTGGAGTGTGTGGTTTACTGCAAACTGAATAATGCAAGCACTTCGCTGGCTAGGGCTAAAAGGAGTTTCAGTCCCCAACTTCTTGTGCCAGGTTAGGGAAAGATAAGCAATACATTTATAAACTACCAGAATAGCAGACAGTATTATAAATTCTGGCTTTGTCCAACCATGTAAAACTTGGGTGCACAGTGCCTTTAATTCCCACAGACAGTCGTTACATCATTTATTTAAAAAGCCAGGTATCCTGTTTGGAAAACGTTAACATTCAGAATATGTGCAGTCTTTTTATTCCAATACTAAAGCAAAAGTTTCCTTCCTTCCCTTGCTTTAAAAGCCCCCACTGTTAAGAGCACTCATGCCTGCAGCACTTGACACTTAGCTTTCCAGTATACAGTGGTACCTTGGTTTTCGAACGAATTATTTTCTCTTTTTGAATCGAGTGGAATGCTTCTTTAAAAAACAAGGCTTTACTCTGAGTTTGTAGTATGAAGAGCATTTTAGCTCCTGTGCCCTGTAACTGACACATACAATACTCAGATCCACCTAGAAGGGTGCCTGCCATTTTCATGAGATAAGCTTACAGAGCCTTTATTGCTTGTGAATTGCTGCTGGCCTCCCTTTGATGGTCTCTGGCCTACAAGTTTCAAGATACCAAAAGCTTTTGACGTGGCCTCTCTCTCTTAAGGTCAACCTTTTCATCTCTCCCATCAATTCACTGTGACACTAACAGTGCAATCCTACGCATGTATTCAAAGAGACACACTCAGGGTAGCAGTTGACGACATTCATGCAAGCCTACGTGTGCTTACACAGAAGTAAGCACCACTAAACATAGTGGGGCTTACTTCTGAGTCAAGGCAATTCTGTCATAAATGTTATGACTATGCCGAAGTACAATTTTATTTGATAAATATGTTGCAACTGGTGCATTTAATGTGGTTAAAGCAATAAAATAAGTTTAGGTTTGATAAGAAGGTATTGCATATGTACTTCGATTCCCAGCAATCCTAAAACAAGATCCCCACCCCGCTGGCTTCAAAATTTCCAAAAGTTTTACATCTCCAATTTATAATAAGCACTCAAGAAAGGCAGTAGCATGTTCTTCTATACGGTAGTTTCATTTTTACTTCTTGTGTGTAAGTTAAAAATTTACCAAAGCAATAATGTAAGCAAACAACAAAATCAGCAGCAGCTGTATTTTTTTAAATGCTGCAGATATATACCGGTTTATGTTGTGACACATGCGGGGGATGAGTCTCGATAGGAACATAAGGGACTCCCAGTGTGGAGCATCTTTGCTGGAGATCCCACATACATAGCTGTAGGAGCGGCAATCACCCTGCAAAGCAGCAAAACAAAATCGACAGCTGAAACATTTGCATTAGCTGAAACCTCATCGAGTTCTTTCCTTGCAACAAGTTATATACCGTTCGACACTCCAGTTTGCACACTGCTGTGTATGGAGATGTGGGGAAAGAGGTGCAAAGGATTAAATTAGCAAAAATTAATTCAGAAAAGCTTACTTGAAATGCCTGATGAAATTATGCCTACCCAAAATGCCTTAAATTCAATAGGGGATGTCAGCCAAGGGGCAGCTTCACAGAACCAGGCACAGAATGCTGAATATGCACAGATTCTGGCAGATATGAGCCTTGCATCTCGGTCATGGGGGACCACTAAACATGACTCCCCTGAAAACCTCCGGGATCAGACAGGAATATAAAGCATCAAGTGGTCTGTACCCTGGACCCAAGTTAAGGGCCTTGCAACAAGGACTAGTAAGGTAAAGCTGAGCGATATCCCGTTTTAAACATTGTGATATACCTATACAGTGGTACCTCGGTTTAAGAACAGTCCTGTTTACGAACGATTCAGTTTACGAACTCCGCAAAACCGGAAGTAGTGTCCTGGTTTGCAAACTTTACCTTGGTTTAAGAACGGAATCTGAACAGTGAAAGGGCACCGGCGGCGGGAGGCCTCATTAGGGAAAGTGCGCCTCGGTTTAAGAACGGTTTTGGTTTAAGAACGGACTTCCAGAACAGATTAAGCTCGTAAACCGAGGTACCCCTGTATCACGATGTCTGAAAGAAGGATGCAACTATGTAGAGGGAAACGGAGTACTGGCAGCTGCTACTACTTAGGGGTCTAAAACTGATGCATTTTTACTTACCTTTAACTGTTGTTGTTTTACAGTAATAAGCAACAGGAAGCAGGAGCCACGAGAGAAGTGATGGCCGGCTTCGCGGTTTCCCCCATATTGGAATTTTTTACATAGTGCATGCGCATGTGCGCACACACACACACACTGTGATTCTCGATATATTGCCAAATCATACATTATGAAACTGTTATCATGATGCAGACTTCAAACCAATTTTGGACGATGTATTGATATATCACCCTGCCTACTGGTAGCACATGGGTAGCCAGTACAGTCGTACCTCAGAAGTCAAACGAAATCCATTCCAGAAGTCCGTTCAACTTCCAAAACAATTGGGAACCAAGGCGCGGCTTGCGACTGGCTGCAGGAACCCGACGGACGTTTGGGTTCCAAAGAACGTTCGCAAACCAGAACACTCACAAGTAACATGAGGTACAACTGTACAAGCTTTTAAGCACCAGAGTTCTGGGCTTGTGAAAGCCCATCCTCATCAACTCTAGCTTGTGGCATCTTAAATCAGCCAGAGCATCCAGGCCAAGCCCAAGGGTTCCACACATGGCGCATTGCAATGATCAAATTGCCAATCTAGGAATCACCAGGGTGAGGCAAGACCGTTTCAAGGACGTAGCTGGCGAAAGGCACTCCTAGCCACTTGAGCTTCTAAGCAACTAAGATGAATCCAAGCACAGCCCTGAACCGCGAGCCCCTTCTTTCAGAGGGATTGTGACTCTGTCCAGAACAGACAACTGGCCTATCTCCCAGAGCCAATAAAGCTACAATGCATGCAGTTCTGAGCCTTTAATTGGCTTTGTGTCTGACAGGTGCCTGAACTGCCCCAGGAAAGCAGAACTGGTTTGTTTGTTTACTTATTTACTGAAAAGCATTTCTCAGCCCCAACGTATTTCAAGTATCTCTAAGTGGCATAGAAAAATAGCACAAAAATAATAATAATAGGACAGTATAAGGAGGACAGTAAAACGAGTCTTATAAAAGCAGAACAGGTAAAAGCAGAATTTTGTCTGCAGTGAGCAAATTGGTAGGAATATATGTATGAGCCTCCAGCTGCTGCTTCTCCAACGGAAGCCTGAACCTGATGGAATACAGTGTGAGTGATGCTATTTAATCTTAAGAATGCTTCAGTATTTCCAAGCCTTACCGAAGTGACCATTTAGACATTTAGAGGCTGTCACATATATTTTTAAAAAATAGCTCTTCCATTGCTTAATCCCAATCCATTTTGGACGTACTCTATTTTGGCTCCAAAAACGCTAAATTTGTTACCTGCAATCTAGCCATGCAAGTTTTACGTATGATTACCACAGCGTCAACGCACTCACCTGTACTCCTACAGTTTTGATTGGCAGCAGAAAGGCATTCAACGAATGTAGACTTGTGATTTGCATCAGTTTCTCCTGGTCTTCCTCAGTTGTACACGCTTTGACCCTCTGCAACAGAGTGTGAGGCTGGACAGCAAAGGGAAAAAGTCCAATCAAAACACCTGAGATTATTACTCAGCTACGTCTCACTGGAAGCTAGTGTTTTGCATAAAGGCAGAGGTTGGAAAATAAGGGGTTCTTCAACAAAGAGGCCAGGTGTGTGGCTAGACCAGTGCTGTCATATCATGTTAGTTTAAGGTCCAATTTGTTATTTCTAAGCCACCCATCATCTACTACACATGGTACAAATATATAATCCATGGGTTGGCAGACTAAGGCCCGGGGGCCAGATCTGGCCCAATCGCCTTCTAAATCCGGCCCGCAGATGGTCCTGGAATCAGCGTCTTTTTACATGAGTAGAATGTGTCCTTTTATTTAAAATACATTTCTGGGTAATTTGTGGGGCCTGCCTGGTGTTCTTACATGAGTAGAATGTGTGCTTTTATTTGAAACGCATCTCTGGGTTATTTGTGGGGCATAGGAATTCATTCATTTTTATTTTCAAAATATATTCCGGCCCCCCACAAGGTCTGAGGGACCTTGCTTAAAAAGTTTGCTGACCCCTGAATCAGAGACATTCCCAGTTGGAAGCACTTGGCTACTCCTGTGCTAAATGCAAGATAACACGGTGCTCTTCAAATGTTGTTGGATTCTGACTCCAACCAATCCAAGCCAGCATAGCCAATGGCAAGGAATGCTGGGAGTTGTAGTCCCAGCAACACTGGGAGGGCACCATGCTAGCTACATCTGATATAACTAATACAAAAGAGGTTGGGGAAAGGAACCCATTGTAAATTGCTAGGCTATGAAGGATCAGAACATAAGGGTAGAAACCAAGACAGAAGACATAAAATGGGGAGCGGAGGGGATTCATCTTGAGAACTTTCTTGAAGAAAGAAAAGAGTGCCTACTCTGCAAACAATGGCTTAAGTAGAACTGACAGGAAAAGCCAGCATAATCTGATGGGAAACACAGGAAGGGAAGGTGAGGATATGGAGCAGGAGGGATGGGAAGAAAGTGCACTAGAAAGAATAATGTCTTGAGGGTTCTTCAGCAAGTGGCTTAAAGAAATTGAAATAAAGGGACAATTAAGCCAAGCTTATCTATCGCAGTGGCTTATCATAATCCACATAGGAATTTATACCCTTCAATTCTAGTCACAATTAATTACCTTTTTAACACTCGCAGAAAAGTCTGCTATGATTTTCAAAATGTTGTTCGTTTCAGGGAAGTCTTTGCAAACATACGGTTCTTCGGCACATATTACCCTAATTGCAAGGCCAGGACCTGAAAAAAACAGTATTGGAACAGCACCGTGGAATCGGTTACCAACATATAAGTGGCAAGTTGTATTTCAGCAATGCTACATACATGACTGCACTTATGAGTGTTTAGGCCATGCTGCCATTTATCTGCAACACGCTTGGCTTGCATATGCAAAAGCAGCAGTGAGGTCTGAAGCACTATTTACTCTTATTGTGAGGCTTCACTTGAAAAAAAGAAAAGGGCTGTATCCTCACTCCTGCTCCCAGCTCCATGTGCTACTTCCTTGGTCTCCCTTGCCCTATATTTGGCTTCCGTTTCTCCTCCCCACCAAATAGCCCAAACCCCTTCGCATTCTTCAGCTGAAAGGCAAGCTTGGAATAGTTTACTCTGCATTGTTTGGAAAGACGATCATGTAGTGAATCCTGCAAGACCTGCTCCCTGCTTGCCGGGCTGATTTTCACCTGGCTTGGGAGGCCAGGGCCTTGACTGTTTCTGCAGTTCAGGATGGCTACAGATTGTGTGGGGAGGGCATTGTCTAAGGCAGGCATAGGCAAACTCAACCCTCCAGATGTTTCGGGACTACAACTCCCATCATCCCTGACCACTGGTCCTGTTAGCTAGGGATGATGGGAGTTGTAGTCCCAAAACATCTGGAAAGCAGAGTTTGCCTATGCCTGGTCTAAGGGCTGCTGCTGGGGTCAAGATTTAGCTTTGGAGGTGTTATTATTTTTGCTGTTAACTAGGTTTTCTGTTTATGGTTTAATTATCAGTGGCTTGTTAAATTTCATTGCTCATTTAATAAGAGGAGGCGTTTCCCTAAGTTTATTGCTCATGACCATTTAAACTTTGTGACGCCTTGCAACTGTTAGTGATTCGGGTTAACCTTTTGATGTTGTGAGACCCGCTGAGCACCGTTGAATTATGGAAAAGCAGCATACAAATACGCCGTGTTGGAATTGCATACAAATTCAGTAAAAATTATAGTTTTTAAAAAGATTCCACTTAAAACTGTGCAGGCTTTTGACTACCATAGAGTTTCTATTGCAAAGTTTTGACACTGTCTATAGTCTGTCAGTTAGGCTCCAACCACAGTATACACACTTCCATGAACAGAAAATCTTTCCTTTTGCAGAAGGGCACCGGTGGATCCACTTCTTGGTGAATTCTGCTAATGCGATTATGCCCTGGGCAGCATCAAGGATCACCATGGTTGAGCAGGGGGTCCACCATCAAGAGCCCCCTGGGAGATAGACTTACTGAGGGAGGAGGCCCCTGTGAAGGATGTGTTGCTCAAAGTTTCCTCAAAACCTGGAACAGAAACCACCTGTACCTGGGAATGGGTGTCTTGAGACCAGCTCTTCCGGCAGACCCAGTTCTCTCCCAAGCACTCTCACTTCATCCTTATGGAAATCTTTCAGTGGTTCTATTACCTTCCCCTGCAATGGAAAACAGCGCATTTCGCATTCGGGCCCTCTCTTTGGAGTAATACAGAACTAATGAGAAAACAAATCTAATACAACGATGCCGCTATACAACTGGGACTATAATTTAAACCTCGCTTCTCCCACCCCAATGAAATCGTCGCAGGAGCCAAAGCAACAGGGAAGTGATTCAAAGCACTTAGTAGGGAGGGCTGAGAAACTGCTGCGATAAGGCATAAACGTATTCTGTAAAATTAATGCGGTCTAGCTGTTTTTGGTCTCCTGGTGACTAAACCAGAACAAATTCTGATTTATATCATAGACTGGATCTGAAATGGTTGTTCTGTTTATCCAGTATAAAAATCTCTTTGTAAGTTGTCCTGTATACAAATACCCATGAGATGTTGGGTTAGTATTGGGGGTGGGAGAAGGCCTTTATACATGATAGGACCACCACCAATTTCTAAAAGCGTTACTTGAAAATACTGCCTAAAATGCTCAACGCTACATACAAAGCCATGAAGGAAATGCAACAGGCCTTGTGTTGCTTACCACAGTCAACCGGCCCATCTGAACAATTAGACGTAACTTTCTATTTACCTCTTCCCTCAGCTTTCTGATGAGCTCTGTGTCGTTGTGATGAGTCTTGATGACTTCTGCTTTGCCACTGGCAACCACAGAAGCACTTTCAATGAGGTCGGGCCTCAACGTTCCCTGAGCGAGGAAGACTTCTTCCGGTTTCAGGTTCATTTCTCCAATAACTTCATTAGCAATCTACGGGGTTTGGGGGTGGGAGAAGAGGAGAGAGAAGCGGAGAAGATGCTTCAAGTCCTCAAATTTTATTACAAGGCTCCATTTTTCCCTGAGAACTGCAGCCCTCTCTGCATGATAAGGAGATATTCACGCTCCGTGCCTTCCACTTAGTAGGAAGCATAAATTTAATTTACCAACATTTATCCATCCCCTTTTATTGTTAATGTAACAACTGATTTTACCAAAGCTATGAACTCTGTAACACTGGGATGAAACATTGAACTGTATGACAATGTAGCCTTCTTCACATTTTTTTCAACTGTAGATATTACACTATTACAACGTACTAAATGTATTGTTTCTGTTGGCACAACAATAAGTGGTGTGTGTGTGTGTGTGTGTGTGTGTGTGTTTGAGATTAATGTTTGGCATTTTACACACTGTGTTTCTACCACAGTTTTTTTCACCATGCAAGCTGTTAGCAAAAATGCATTCGTTATTTTTTAGCCAAGCTAGCAATAAATAAACTCTTAAGAGTCTGTTCCAGCTGCTGCAGCAACCTCTTTCTAATGATGCAAGCATTTCCTTTATAGCTATTTGTGAATTAAGTGTCAGGGTTAGAGGACAAATGCTTTAAGGGCTGGCCAGTGCAGAATTACAACACGGTCATTCTGAGCATACACAAAATGCAAAGGACAGTGGGTAACCTCTACTGGACTTTAAAACCCATTGCATTTCATCTATATTAAAAGCTGGACTCCAGTTATAGGTACTCTGTTGAGGAGGGAGCTACAGCCCTCGAATAATCAACTACTGCCACCATTTCAGTGATCTTCCTGGCTATTCCGGAGCTGTGGAACTTCCTTGAAAAAAAGGAAAACAGCACTTCTCAAGCCAGTAAGGCTCAATCTTGTTATTCCTATTCGGATCTCCTTACAAATCTATACCGCAGACCCAAACTGACTAGAAACATCTGGGTGAAACATCTGGAGCTACCACCAATTCATTTAACCAGAGGCCTCTAGTCCAAGGAAAAAGTGAAATAAGGACGTATTAAAATAAGAACAGTATATTCTAACTAGCCATTACACTTGAAATGTATCCTAAAGGAGGTAACCCAAGGTCTTCATAATGAGATGGAGGTTGACCCTTTGGGGTGTAATATCATTGTGATGATGTCTCGGTCATGCTACGAGCACATCTCTGAATAAGAATGCATCCCAAAAATGTTGGGAACTGGTGAATTAACAGGAAAGAGGCTTTTTCAGCTCCATGTCTAGAGATTGTAATTTGGAAGCAAAATGCCCAAATCAGCTAATGGGCGCACACACACGCGCGCGCACACACACACACACGCACACACACACAGAACTAGCAAATGTAAAACTTTAAAACTGTGAAAATTCAACATCCTCCTCTTGAAAACTAGGGCAGGGGGAAAGGGTACATTCGAAGTTTCTCCCTAAATTCTAGAACAGATACCTTCACAAAGGTGTCACCAATAATTTTGCGTTTTTCCTCGGGACTTGTTGTCATATTCAGTGTTTTGCTAATCCTTTTTCGTGGAGTTCTGTCTTCCTCAGAGATGGGCAGAGTTGTTGTGCCATTGTAGAACGAATGAGCTGCATTTACCACTGAAGAAACAGACAAGGTTTGCTGTTAAGAAAAACTCTGAAATGATATGAGAACTCGCATGCTCAGATACTCCCTTACCCATGTCCAACTAAAACATCTCCTCCCCCAACAAAAACATTTCCTTTGCTTTCCCCCCCCCAAGTTATACTATAGCAGGCATAGGCAAACTCGGCCCTCCAGATGTTTTGAGACTACAATTCCCACCATCCCTGGCCACTGGTCCTGTTAGATAGGGATGATGGGAGTTGTAGTCCCAAAACATCTGGAGGGCCAAGTTTGCCTATGTCTGTACTATAGCTTTATCAAATTGGGGGGGGGGGGACAGATCAGTTTAAACACAGGGTACTAAAGAAAAAAACAATTTGGCAACTAAACTGTAGAATCTAAAAACATACTGAACGCTGGCTTTTACAGACTCTTGTTTATTGGCATAATAAAAGGCAAAATTGTAAACTGCAGCCAGTCATTACCCACAAGACAGAGAAATGAGAGTAACCTTTCTTCCATGACAGTGTGTAAGTAATCCCAAAAGATGACAACAAGAGGAGTCTTGTTATATTATCGCTACTATTGACACGACACTTTAAAAAGCAACAGAACCAGGAGACAGATCCCTGCTCTGCAAACCTTACAATAAAGACACGGGAGAATCGGAGATTACAGGCAAGGAGTATTGACAACATCTGGTCTGGGAGCAGAGGGACTACCTCACAAAGTCTGTGTTGTTCTTGCTTCCAGACTCGGCCATTAACCAAGAGGAGGCATTTTCCCAGAACAAACGACTATCCTAACTCGGAGCCACTGGAGAATGCATTAAACCAAACATTTCATGGGAAAATATGGCAATAATAATAATAATTTATTATTTATACCCCACCTATCTGGTTGGGTTTCCCCAGCCACTCTGGGCGGCTCCCAACAGAATATTAAAAACACAATAAAACATCAAACTTCAGATGTCTTCTAAATGTCAGGTAGTTGTTTATTTCCTTGACATCTGATGGGAGGGCATTCCACAGGGCGGGCGCCACTGCCGAGTAGGCCCTCTGCCTGATTCCCTGCAACCTCACTTCGCGCAGTGAGGGAACCACCAGAAGGCCCTCGGTGCTGGACCTCAGTGCTTGGGCTGAACAATGGGGGTGGAGACGCTCCTTCAGGTATCCTGGGCTGAGGCCATTTAGGGCCTTAAAGGTCAGCACCAACACTTTGAATTGTGCTCGGAAACGTACTGGGAGCCAATGTAGGCCTTTCAGGACTGGTGTTACATGGTCTCTGCGGCTGTGAAAAGGAGGGAGCAGCGGGAAAGCAAGGGAAAGTTTGAGCCACACAGGCATTCTAGGGGAAGTTTATGGGGCAGAAAGGGAGCGTGGGTGAGCCTGAAAACAGGAGATGGATATGCAGCAGAGGGGGTAGCTTCTAACATCGTGCCAAGAGAACTTTTATTTCTAATCAGCAGACTGTACTGTTGGTTTGAAGTTCCAGCAGATGTTTTCCAAGAAAAATAAAATCCTAAATTGGGGTGCACTCCCAGAGTCGTTGGATGAGAGGTCCCATCACTCCTGGCCATTGGCCATGCAGAATGGGATGGAATCCAACAACATTGGAAGGCACCATGTTGGCTAGCTATAGCTGTAGAAGAATCTGCATTTTCTGGGCTACAGACACTGAAAAGCAGTTAATGGTCTGAAACAAATTAATGTTAAAACTAACTAACTAACTAACTTACAAATGCAGAAACTAGCATTATGGAAAGAAACCGGAACTTCGGGGTTTTTTTTTTTCATTTTTTGTATTTGTGAAGAAGGGAGTGGTGTTGTACCTTTGACTTGAATTCCCAACTTTTTGAGTGCTTCTTCCACAGACTGGCTTTCCCTCTTGCGCATGAATCCATTATCTATGTGCACTGCTATCACCTGGTCTTGATTTAAAGCCCGGTTCAGTAAAGCTGTACACACTGTTGAGTCCACGCCTCCACTGAGTAAAACCTGCAAGGCAGGGTGAGAATCAATAAAATGAATTTCAGTAAACAGAAAAATGCCTTCATCTACACACTGAATTTCATTTGCTTTACTACGTTTCCATAGTTTACTGAAGTATCAAAGCCACAGTACACCAAACATGGTAAGATGGCATCCCACTCTTTTCGTAAAAAATGACATAAGCTAAAGCAGCCTTTGCTGACCTGATGCCCTCCAGGTGTTTTGGACTACAACTCCCATCAGCTCCAGCCAGCACAGGGGGCTGATGGGAGTTGTAGTCCAAAACATCCCAAGGGCCCCAGGCTGGCAAAGGCTGGGCTGAACCATGTAAACAGGAAGCAGTAAGTTGCATCATAAGCAACTGCTATTCTTATGAAGAGGAATGAGCATTGAAATCAAACTTTCAAAATCTTACCAGGACTTTTGACGAGCCTACTTTTTCTTTTATGTCTCGAATGCACTCCAGTTCTCTGTTTTGAACGGTGAAGGTGCCGCTGCAGCCGGCGATATCGTAAAGGAAATTTTTCAGCATCGCTTTTCCATTCACTGTTAGGCTAACTTCAGGATGGAACTGGGCTCCATAGAGTTTTTTAGATTCATTTGCTATAGCTTGGGGTGTGAAAAGAAAAGAAAAGTCAGAACACTTAAGAATCACATCAATATGGACAAGAGACCATTTATATTTGGGTGGAGAATCGCAAATCAACAATAAAACTAACCAGAGGGAAGTATTTGTTAAAGTATGGTTAAATTTTGTATCTACCACCATCCTTCCTGGGGAAATCTAAGCATATACTATTGTTACTCTGTGTGTAGATGCACATTATTATTATTATTATTATTATTAACCTATTAGTCACTTTTTTGACAAAGTTAACACAAAACAACTTACAACAATAAAGAACGCATACCTTAAAACCAGTATAAAAACAAAAGAGAAAAAACTAAAACACCTAGCAAAGAATTCAGCTATGCGAGGCTTAAATGTGGTTAATCTGAGGCAAGGAAACAAACAGTATATGCTGAACAAAATACCAGAATAAGACTTTCTTTTTGTACTAAGGATTGCTCTTGGCTTACTGATCACGATTCAAGTGAAATAAACCTCTGTCTGGACATAACACTGAGCCAGGAATCGTGGCTTGCCCCCCACGCATGATAGCAGGCAGGCTCAGAACCACCCAAATTATCCTGAATGTGCCCAACCATCAACTGTGCCCATGATGTGATCTGGGTCAAAGCTGTTTCCCACATGAATTCCTTTGCAAGGTGATCACAACACTGTGGTATCCAAACTTCTCTAATTTAAAATACTATTAAAAAAATTAACACCTCGCAATTTATCACTGAAAACTAAGATGACGGCCACACTTTTCTGTTTCAATTGGACCTTGCCGATACACATTTTTAAATTCTTAAGCTTTGCTAGGAATCCAAGATGCAAAATGCTTGCCATTTGAATGTACAGATATCGGAGATTCCTAAATTGCACTAGACTCACTGAACTCAGTGGACTTAAGTCTGTCTATTTCAATGGGTTCATTCTCAGTATGGCTAATGTTGGATATCGCCCATTAGCTTTGCATTGTTTTTGTTCCACATTTTGCTTAACAGGTTCTTTATGAGCCAATCAATGGTTAACAATGAGGAAAATACAAACCTGCTATAACATTTCCAGACTGTGCAACAACCTTGAATCCATCTGCTACTTTATCTACACTATCTCCATGAGTGAGGAGCACAATCTCGTCCTTCTGAAGTCCCCTAAGTAAAAACAGGAAAAAACATGATCACCAAAACAATGCATATTGTTGTTGTTGTTTAAAGCCCTTAATGCAAAATTAAGTATGCAATAGTTCTATTTATTTATTGCACCAATTAACATTTTTCCATATTTCTTCAAAATGGTTCAAAAGGAACAGATTATGTCCAGAGCAGAGTACCGTATTTTTCTGTGTATAAGACACCCCCATGTATAAGACGCCCCCTGTTCTTAGGGACTCAAATTGAAAAACACAGGGGGAGATGGCTCAGAGTTGTTGAGCTTTTTTTTAGGGGGGGTTGCTGAAAATCGCTCACCCACATGCAGTGGAAATTTCGCCCCTTGTCTGTCCCCTCGCCGGCAGAAGCTGCCAATTGCTTGCCCAATTGCCGCAGCGTCAGCCAATCAACACCAGCCCTTGACGCAGCAACCAATAACACGCCCAACAGCCGCTGACAGCTGCAGCAGCAACCAATCAAATGTCCACCCTATGCACTATCCCTGTATAAGACGACCCTCACTTTTTAGCATAATTTTTAAAGAAAAAACCTAGTCTTATACACAGAAAAGTATGATAATTGGGGAGGAGGACAGGGGGCTGCAGGAGGAGGAGAGGAGGGGTAAGTCTTTGTCCTGCTGGTGAAACGCTGAATTCAACCTACATGTTTCCATTAAAAACTGCCCTTTATAAACCTCAAGGCTGTCCCACAAATTAGCTTCCCCTTCCAGTATCTGCATACCTGAACAGTGAACATGTGTTATCCAGTGTAATGCTGAAGACTCCATCTTCTCTGACATCTTTTTTGTGTACCGTGCCTCCAAACACCTTATTCATCATCTGACAAAATCAGAAAAAGTCAGTGAGCTCCCATAATCCGGTCCTACCATCAACAACACTGAACCATCAACAACGCTGGGCTCCCCTCCCACTTTGCACCAGCATCACCACACACAAAATTAGCCAGGGGTCAGGCAACTCATTCAGCATGATGGAAACCCATAGCCAGCGACAAAACCACAGCTAATTTGGATATTAAAAATCAACACTGCAAGTAATTTCCATGGGATTCGTAATCCAGCCTCTCTTATGTTTGCCTGCGCTGCTCCCCTCTACACCACTATACAGCAATAGACTGGTTCTCATTCTGTTTTATTTTTAATTCCAAAGGATTCCTACTAACTACGGAATGATGGGGAAAGAGAAGGTTTATTAGCTGTTTCTGCCTTTCTTCGGGTATCTAGCTTGCATTAAAAGCACAAATTTAAAGAGTTACCAACAACATACATGCTCAATTCTGAGAGAAAAATAAGCCAGGTTTAATAAGATATTGTTGCTTTGCAGGGTTTCCCAAAATGGTCGATAGTGATCCCCTGGGGTCAATGGGCTGCGTGTAGTGGATGAATAAAGACCTAGTGGTGGAAAAGGGGCCTGGGTGGAAAAGGGGTTTTTGCAAGGCATAGGGCACTAATTTTGAAACTGGAAGTATGAGCCACAGAAATGAAAGGTATAGGCATGTATAGAGTGCCTCTCCCTGGCATGGTGATTGATGATTAGTAAAAGTTGATTATACACTGATATCACTTGCCTTTATTTACATTCCAAAGAGTTTGGGGTTGGGGTCAATGAAAGCTTTATAGGCTCGACAAGGGGTCAAGGAACTCAGAAGTGTGGGAAACCCTGTCTTAAAAAGCCCTGAAAAACCTCTGCCCTTCTCAAAGTGCCCTCTGTACCCTAAATACAGAGAGGCAACAAGAGAGTGTGAGTGAGACAGGGCCTTTTCAGTAGCTGCCCCGCACTGCAGAATCCTCACCTGGTACCCATAGTGACATATTTTCAGCACCAGGTGAAGCCTTCTTTCTTTCTTTCTTTCTTTCTTTCTTTCTTTTCTCATCCATTCACTTTAACACTGTTTACCACTTTTAACATTAAATTTTATTTTAAAAATTTATTCGGCTTTAGTCTGCCCTGAGAGCATTCAATCATATTATTTCCCTCTTCCATTGGGATCACCATACCCCTTTCTATATATTTGCATTTCTCCCCTGTACCATTGTTGCATTTTATCACATTTATTATTTTACTGTATTATGTTTTGTATTATGGCAAAATTGTACATTCCTAGAAGAATGGGTTACCAGGAGACCAGCAAACGCAAATAAAGTTTAGACAAATTTCCTTGACTGGGAGAGATTGGCTAATTGAGCCAGTTATGTAGCCTATCATATTTCGCCTCCAACTGCAGTGACTAGAGATGAAAATAAGAACACTTATTTGGGAGAAAACCTCACAGAGCCCAGTGCAATTTTCTGTCAGGCCCGCAATCAATAGGGCTGCAAAACATCCCAGAAGGCCTGTTCACAGCATCTTTATAATCTTGAGAGTATTTCCGCTAAAGGATAAGATAGAGTTATATGTCTCCTCTTTAATTAGCCTCCCAAGGCAAAGGGAGATAATTTACATTATTCTTCAGCAGGCTATGGAGCACTGTTTAGCATCATCTTTGCTCACTTGGCAATACAAATAAATGCATCCCTAATTTTTTCCTATGCCCTATTTAGTTCTTTTGCCCTTGGCCCCACCCCTAGAGCCCACAGCAGCCAAAACACTGAGGGGATGCATTTGAATATTACATAACACTAATATCAATTCCACACAGCAATGCACATTCTGAACTGGTCTGGAGCACAAAGCTTATACGCTCCTTGAAAACACAACCCTGCTGTGCAGATTCGGATTGTTTCCTAATCTGTTCCATTCCCAATTTCAGGACAAAGGCTGAAATAAAGGTGTTCCCAACAGAGCTCAAATTTGAACACAGGACCCTATTCTACCGCAGAGGAATGTTTTGGACGTTTCCCAGGGATTTCCCCTCGAGGAACACCTAACAACCACCTAAACTGCTTTTGAAGAAATAACACCAAAGTGTAGGTTTGCTTCAGGTAAAAATCAGCAAGGTAAATTTTGGGAAGTGTGGCTACCCACTCCCTTTTCTTTTCTTTTCTTTCTTTTTTTTCCCTTTTTTTCTTCTCTTTTTTTTTTTTGCTTATGTTAACCTCCACAAAGGAAAGGTGCATTTGCCTGTTTCTCAGCATACATTTGGGGGGGGGGGGGTTTGAATCCAATAATACAATGTATTAACAGAGGTACTGGCTCTGAAACATTCTGAAAAGGGTTTGTGGTAATTGATTATAAAGGTACCCCTGACCGTTAGGTCCAGTCGCAAACGACTCTGGGGTTGTGGCGCTCATCTCGCTCTACAGGCCAAGGGAGCCGGCGTTTGTCCGCAGACAGCTTCCGGGTCATGTGGCCAGCATGACTATGCCGCTTCTGGCGAACCAGAGCAGCGCAGAGAAACGCTATTTACCTTCCCGCCGGAGCGGTACCAATTTATCTACTTGCACTTTTTGGCATGCTTTCGAACTGCTAGGTGGGCAGGAGCAAGCACATATTCAATATTTCTTGTTGTTTTATTGTTTGCAAAACCATTTCTAATAAAAAAAAAATTATTCACACACCTAAAAGAATCCTCTGCAGAGTCTAATAAGCAGTTTGAAGGTTGGAGGTGTGAAAATTGCTTCAAGCTACAATCACAAGAAAACATCTAGTGGATAACCGCATCTCGTGTCACTGGATAGCCACTGAACCCAGTTTCAATTGCTTGTAAATGCTTAGGCCTTAATCTCACTGACAGCTGAATTGGCTCACCTGTCCTTGGATTATACTGCTCAAGACTAATGCTCAGAACGCATTGCTCCTCTATTCTTCTGATTCCCTATGCATGGAAGAACATCTACTGTTCTGTGCTCAGGGTCTGGATCAGGCTTCCTCAGCCTCAGCCCTCCAGATGTTTTTTGCCTACAACTCCCATGATCCCTAGCTAGCAGGACCAGTGGTCAGGGATGGTGGGAATTGTAGTCTCAAAACGTCTGGAGGGCCGAGGTTGAGGAAGCCTGGTCTGGATTTTCCTGGATGGAACGGAAATCATGTAAGTCCCTATCTGGAGTCAGAGCGCTATAACCTTAAAACAGATTTATCACCTAATAATAATATAATAATAATTTATTATATATACCCCGCCCATCTGGCTGAGTTTCCCCAGCCACTCTGGGCGGCTTACAACAAAACATTCAATACAATAACCTATTAAACATTAAAAACTTCCCTAAACAGGGCTGCCTTCAAATGTCTTCTAAACGTTTGGTAGTTATTTTTCTCTTTGACATCTGGTGGGAGGGCGTTCCACAGGGCGGGTGCCACTACCGAGAAGGCCCTCTGCCTGGTTCCCTGTAATTTGGCTTCTTGCAGCGAGGGAACCACCAGAAGGCCCTCGGCACTGGACCTCAGTGTCCGGGCAGAACGATGGGGGTGGAGACACTCCTTCAGGTATACTGGACCGAGGCCGTTTAGGGCTTTAAAGGTCAGCACCAACACTTTGAATTGTGCTCAGAAACGTACTGGGAGTTATATGGTCTCACTGGTGTTATATGGTCTCAGCGGCCGCTCCCAGTCACCAATCTAGCTGCCACATTCTGGATTAGTTGTAGTTTCTGGGTCACCTTCAAAGGTAGCCCCACATAGAGCGCATTGCAGTAGTCCAAGCGAGAGATAAGTAGAGCATGCATCACTCTGGCAAGACAGTCTGCGGGCAGGTAGGGTCTCAGCCTATGTACCAGATGGAGCTGATAAACAGCTGCCCTGGACACAGATTTGACCTGCACCTCCATGGACAGCTGTGAGTCCAGAATGACTCCCAGGCTGCGCACCTGGTCCTTCAGGGGCACAGTTACCCCATTCAGGACCAGGGAGTCCTCCATACCCGCCCGCCTCGTCCCCCAAAAACAGTACTTCTGTCTTGTCAGGATTCAACCTCAATCTGTTAGCCACCATCCATCCTCCACCCGCCTCCAGACACTCACACAGGACCTTCACCGCCTAATCTACTGTTTGCGATAACTAGGCACCATTAATGGGTGCGTTCAGGCGGGGGGGGGTGTCCAAACCATCATAAATGTGATCTAGGTGCACGGCCCTTCAGGATAGCTCAGTTGGTTAGATCATGGTGCTGATGATGCCAAGCTTGCAAGTTTGATCCCCTGTATTGGGACAGCTGCATATTCCTGCATTGCAGGGGTTTGTACCAGATGATCCTCAGGGTCTCTTCCAACTCTACAATTCTATGACTACATTGGACATATGGAAACATGCAAGGCACTGCTATTCCTGGTTTCCAGCTCCTTTAGTGATATGTATTAATAAAGCACTAGAGTATCTGCTTTTTTATTACAGTGTTCATACAGATAGGGGGAAAGCCATTCATTATTCCTTCAGCATCGCATCATAGCAGAAGATTATCCGTTCCACTCAACCAGTGGGGCCGATGTTTCTATCTTGGATTACAGCCTTCGCCAACGACAGACTACTCCTTGTGTGTATAAGCATGACTATTGCAGCGAGCAATCTGAAAACTTGCTTTATTATTATTTTCTCACTATACTGTATTTGATCTCTCACAAAGCCTTGCTATTTGAGGGAGTTTTGTTTTGACATGGCATTCATCGTGCTTGACTGTTTCCACATTGTTGCTGCAAACTTTTAAGCAGCGGTATTTGATTTCACAGAGACGAGCAGACCCCGTACACAGTCTTTTGCAAGCTCACTCAGGCTCAGTCATGGGGCTGGTGTTGTTGTTCCTGGATTTGCACAATAATGTGCTGCAGTACAACACCGAGATAGTTCCACTTCCCGGCACAACACACACTTTGGAATTTGTAGAGACAGAAACCAGCTTTTGCTTCCCCAAATTTAGTCAGGGCTTTCCAATGATTTCTGGGGTTTAGACTTCACCCTTAAATAGAACGCAGGACCTGCCCATCTCGTTCAGACCAAAGGCTTATCAAATTCAGCAATACTCTGTTCTCACAGTGGCAAAGCAGATGACTATGGAGTGCAATACAGTAGTACCTCTGTTTACGAACAGTCCTGTTTATGAACTATTCGGTTTACGAACTCCGCAAAACCAGAAGTAGTGTTTCGGTTTGCGAACTTTACCTTGGTCTACGAACAGAAGCTGAATGGTAGAAGGGAACTGGCGGCGGGAGGCCTCATTAGGGAAAGTGCGTCTCAGTTTAAGAATGGATTTGGTTTAGGAACGGACTTCAGGAACGGATTATGTTTGTAAACCGAGGTACCACTGTATAGTCCTAACCCAAACAGGTTCCATATCACTTACTTCCGATGTAGAAAAATGAATTGTATAAAATACTTTCTTTTCAAAAAGAGAAACACAGCCACATTGGACCTCTCAGCCTCATTCGTGCTGCTCTCACAGAAACCTGGACTTCTCTCACTGACACCCCTAGGGTCAGCCCCTGCTCTCTATTTCACAATTCATTAAACTTTTCCCACTAGACCCATCCTGCAGGGCACGTGGTTGGGTAAACCGCAAGGGTTCTCATGGTCATGCCAGTTCCAATTGCTCTTTCCCCTCCTCCCATTTTGTCAGGGAACTGCCATCAGCTCAGAGGCGAGAGGTGGAAGGGCAGTTGTGTTACAGGGAGCCTCCAAAGATCTTGCGAAGCAGTTCCTCCTCTGGCGAGGAGGAAAGCCCCGCCTCCAGTGGGGAGGGGGCGTAGGGACCAGGAGATGCTAGGGAGAGCTTCAACACTGAGCCTGAGCAAAGCGAAGGGGAGGCAAGTCCCCCTTTGCCAGTGCCCACTCTGCGCAGGAGGTTTGGGCGCAGAGAGGGGAGGAGAAGGATGGGGGTCACATGACTGTTATGCTGGGGGAGGTACAAGGACCGGCCATGCCCAGATTCTGCTAGCGACTGAGCAGACATGGACTTGCGACGCTCTACACTGTAAATAGTTTGTATTAATAATAAAGCTTGGAAGAGACAGGTTGGAGTCTTGCCTGTTTGCTCTCGAGCAACCACACCATCACCTGACACATTTGCTTTAGAAGTTCATGCTCCTTTTAATGTATGCAATTCTCCTAGCTCTCGGTCATCCTCCTGGCCTTTCTAAGTTCAGATTTACCTCTTTCCTCAGCTGCTCTTCTTCTGTGCTCTTGTTCCTTGCCATTTCAGGACCTATATTCCAGAAGATCTCTTTCTCTCTTCTTGATTCTTGTATTCACACCTTCTTCCTCCATGCCAACTCATTCTGCTGGTCACAACTGAGGCCTTGTCACTCCTTCACGCCACTCCAATTTTCGCTCCAGCTAAGGTATGTCAGGTCTAGCCTTTCCAAACGTCATCCTTTTCTAGCTACCTATTCTAACAAACTCCCTCTTCTATTTTACGTTGATTATTGCAATCATTTGCTTACTGTTTCTTCCTACCCCTCCACTTAAACCTATTATCTCTAGTCTCAACACTTCCCCAAGTGCTTCATTTTCTTCTCTTCATGCTTTAATCGTGTTGCACCTCTCTTAAGGGTTCTCTCCACTGGTTTCCTCTATTGAACCGAGACTGCTACTGACTTCCAAGCCTCTTCACGGTTTTGGCCTGTTATCATCTTAGTTGTTTTCTCTCTATTCTTTTTCTTGGTCTCACCATTCATCAGATACTAATCTTCTTACTAAGCTTCCACTCTCCGTTGTGCTATTCCTTGTCTTGGGTATTCTCTCTCACGACCCCTTCGGGCATGGAAATCTCTCTCTTGAAATATTTGGCAGCCTTGCTCTTTGTTCTCATTTAATAAATTATTAAAACACACTTTTTCTCTCTCTGTTGATAACGTCCTGCTTTGATGCATTTGTCTTCCTATCATCAGGGCTTATTTTCTGCCCTCTTAACGTTTTGCTGCTGTTTTGTTTTTTGCAACATTTCCCTCCAAACCACCTCTCATATTGTTATCTGGATGGGGAGCCTACAGAGCAGGCTCCCAATATTCACATTCAGGACTTCGTATATCTAAAGCGCTTATTTTTTATAATTAAACCTAAGGTCTGTGCATGTAAAGTTCTCACAGTGCCTTAATGAGAGCCCCCAGATTAATGTGCGTAAATGCTAAATATCAAAGCAAACTTAAATACCAATACAAGCCCATTTAATATACCTGACAGACCACAGCCATCCTCGTTTTTAAAATTATGCATGTTTTCCCCTCAATAGTGATGGCCTCAAAAGGCTCATGAATCACCACACAGCAGGCTTCTGTACACTTTGAACAACAGATGTGCTTGCAAAATCCTTGTATCCATGCATAGATTGCACCTGGGACTGCACAGTGCGTGAAATGCAAGGAATTAATACACAACCATTTCTCAATTTTTTTCAAAAGGGTCCTTATCTGCATCTGCTTAAATCAACTTCAAACATAATTTTCATGCGTTGTGCAGCTATACAACACACACAAAAGCCAGAAATTTGCTCTTAACTGAGCTACAAAAACATACAGCCATAGAATGATATTTGCACCTGCATGCCATAGCAGATTCCAAGAACTGGTTTGCCTATCGTAAATATTGCTGGGTCGAACCAGGGAGCGTCTTCTGCATAAACTGAATTTGGTCCTCCGGATATGATAATAGCCCTGCAAAAGAAACAGGTATTTTTTTAAAAAATAAAGAAGTAAAGATTGATTTTTTTGGAACTAAACCACATTAAAAAAAATTCCATTTTAATACCTACTTTCAAAAACAAAAAACCTTTATAAAGAAAGTTGTGGCATCCTGATCTATAAAATGAGCAAGCCGTGCTTTACTGGAACAGTGAATTCTCAAGACTGACATTAAAAAGACTTTTTTAAAAAAGATGTTCATTAGCGCAGCTTTTAAAAAATTAGAAGCAAATAAGAACCACCCTATCGTTAGATTTCTGCCTTTCTAAATTTCAGCATTCAGCAAAAACAAAAATTATGCTATATGCCAATGACTCACATCTCCTAGTTTAAAGGTTGAGGGGTATTTTTGATTCAAGAATCTGAGGCTTCTTTGTTAATTCTTACAAAGAATAATTCTTATAAGTGTTGTGAAAACGTTTTTTAAAAAAACACCCTATAGTTTATTAGCATTTTCACAGTATTATACAACAGTATAGTCCTTTATTTGTGCAGATGATTGGTGGTTTCGTTGATGTGTGTGCGTTTGGCTGTTGCGGCCCTGCGGGTGAGCGATTTATGGCACCCCCCAAAAAAAACCAAGTCTGGGCAATCCCCTCTGGAAAAAAGCTCAACAACTCTGGGCAATCTCCCCCCCCCCCCTTTTTTTCAATTTTTAGTCCCAAAAAAGAGGGGGCGTCTTATACCCGGGGTGTGTTATACATTGAAAAATATGGTATATCCCATATATATATATATATATATATATATATATATATATATATATATATAAAAGTAATTTAAAACCAAAGTTTAAAAAATATACAATAAAAATCACAAACATAGTTAGATTTACCGCATTTTTCCATCTATAAGACGCCCCCTATTTTGGGGGACTCCAATTTAAGAAAATGGGGGGAATCAATCCATGTAGAAGACACCCCCAAATTTTGGACATTATTTTTTAGGGGGAAAACCTAGTCTTCTACACGGAAAAATACGGTAGCTGTACAAGAACACAGGTGTTGCCTAAAAGCCCAGGGAAACAAAAATGTATTTGCCAAACAACAAAACAGTGACAGGGTTGACCCTCGGGACAGCATACCATAAACGTGTGTGTGTGTCCCTGTGAGGTAGGTTAGGCCCAATGTCACCTAGTGAGTTACATGGCTGAGTGGGATTCGAACTCTGGTCTCCCATGTGTAACACTGTTACATGACACTAGCTCAGCATTAATTTTGGACACTGATGGCATAAAGGGGCATTCTCAGCAGCTATTTTAGAACAGCAAATCTTCCTGTCTCTGGAAAAACTCCAGAACCGAATCCTAAATATTATCTAGAAATACTTAAAAGACAGGAAAGGATATTATATATCTAAAAGCTACCAAAAAGAGTTCACAAATGTAGTAAAAACTTAGAAAACAGCTCTTTGTTAAAGTTTTACATATGAAGCCAATTTACAGAACGCTTTCCACTGTATTAATGATTTTTTTTTTAGATTTCTGGAAATTACAGAACACTTTGTTAACCAAGTTGACTTTAAACGCCTGGAAATAAGTGAGGAGATGAACTATCATTCTGATATCGAACTTCCGTGCTGCAATAGGCACTTTATTTGTAGGCTTGGGCAAACTTTTCAGCTGAAGCTTTTTTGGCTTGAGGCTCTTTTTTAACGCTCTTTTCTTTTTCTTAGGGGTCGACAATACAAACAGCAAAGTTTTTTGTGGACAGCACCACTACAGCATGTGTGAACACAGAAGGGTGGGGATGTTACATATTCAAATATTCTCCCCCTTGTGTTGCAGCAGGGGAAGGAAATCTCCCTCTGCTATGCAGATTTTTTATTTTTAAAAAAACCCTGTCAAGGGAAAGAGTTAACTTAGCATCCTCACGGGCCAACTTCAAAGCATGCAACCTGATGGACTTTAAGCCACTTGATCCTTTGATTGCACAAATTGGCCCTTAGAGCCTTAAGGAGGTGCCCTAATTACTTAAAGCACTTCTTGAAGGCTCTAAGCCTATTCCTACCTCCTGAGAGTCTCTGTTAAAGAAACATATAGGTTTTAAGGAGCGGGAGAATTGTGGTACATTTCTTCTGGGACAGAAGCCATTCAGATGGAGAGGGGGTGTAATTCACGTGAGACTCATCACTACGATTCCTGCTCAGCTCAACGTTTTACACTTAAAATAGGTTTCTTGGGATAAGGATGGGCTACAACTAAGCTGAGCAGATAGGCAACTAATCGGTTTGTTTTTAATGTGGGAATTTGTAATCAATCTGCGAGCGCCATTTGCTGGATTTCTGAACCAAAGTCCCTGTGCCGTTCATACAAACTATGAATGTTCAGACAGACCATTATTATGTCTACTGTCATCTACAAAAATAAGCAGAAGTGAAGCGGGGGGAGAGAGAGAGAATAATCTCCCAAGTTTTTTCACTGGAATGCGGAAACGGAGTGTGTGTTTTATACAGCTTCAGCTCAAGGAAATCACAAGTTGTTTATTTGACTTTGCAACAAAAATGGAAAAGTAATATTCCCTGAGGAGAATAGGCATACAGAGGGGGCCTTCTCTTCCGTGGATTGAGCTTAAGTTGTGAATGTTTCTGTTGTCACAATCTTTCCAAAGGAAAACAGGCATGTTTTAGAGCAAGACGCAGGCAATCTATGCATCAGGCAAAGAATAATCTGAACAGGAAATTTAGAGAAGACAGTGTTGTCATGGGAAGCCCATTATCTTATGCAGGAACAGATTCCTTGCGAACCTTTGCTCCTGTTGTGAAGACAGACTATCTAGAGAGGGGCTGGGTGTTTCAAACAAGAATGGAAAGGAAGTGGGAGGAAGGAGTATGTGGTTGTTATCCTGCCACATCCCACTACCCCTGGTTTATAACATCCTAACCCACTTCATGATCACTTCAGGACCTCAAGGAACTGGATGGATTTCCAGACCTCTCTGGGAGACATTTATGAGGATTACTTTCCTGTTGACAGCCTTGTTGAACTATGAAATGTCCGCACATCATCTACCCGTTCAACTCCTGCCACTCACTCTGTTGACAGAGGCTCCCTCCTTCCATTTAACAGAAGACAGAGCTCTGGTTTTAAACAAAAAAACAAGCAACCAGCTGCAACAATAGCATTTAAAGACTGTGCCACAGAACTGGTAGGTTTAGGAAAACAAGTGTGCACCTGTTGTCTCTGCTGCTACTGCGTTTTTAACATTCTGATGAGAAAAGTTTTTTATGGGGAGGTAAATGGACTTGAAATCTAGGAGGTTTAAGCTGTTACCTTCTGCATTCAATCCTACAAGCGTGTTTGAATTCATTCTCAGTGGTAAATCCTAGAGGTGGCTAACCTGCAGACCTTTATTTGTTGTTGGACTCCCAAACTTCATCAGCTCTAGCCAGCATATTCAATAGTCAGAGATTATGTGAGTTGTAGACCAGCAACACCCGGGGGACCAAAAGTTAGCCACCACTGGTTTTATCTTAGGCACTAAAATAATATTTTCCTATGGCTGCTGTACCACTCATCTGATTTTTACCAGTAATGCTTGCTTTGACATTGACTGGGTGCCATTTCTCCTGTGAATCTTGTTAGGCCACAATTGTGGCACTGGAAGTTCTAAGTCAAGGTTGCTTCCACCATCCTTGGCCACTGGCTGGGGCTGATGGGAGTTGGAGTCCAACAGCGTCTGTAGGGCCACAGGTGAGCTGCCCCTGGTCTATGTGTGTGACTGTTCAAATAGCTGCTTGAAAAGCAATTGCTTGCTCCTCAACTGAAAGGTCCAGAGGGTGCAATAAGCAAATTGCTTGTTGTCTTTACCCCTCATCTCTCTATTAAGGAATCCTGATGGATTCCACCTTAATACTACTGGGGGAGAAACAGCAGAAAGGTTTCAAGTGAGCTTGTCCTCAGCACACTGATAATACCCAACTTGATCTTTCTGTTCCATTCAGCCCTTACTTCCCACAATCACAGTGTCTCAGTAGAGGGAAAGCTCACAGGTCTTCTGATCTGAAATGGGTGAAGCCAGGAATCCCACCACTGAATTTGAATCTGACCCAGTGTTTGCCATATGTGAAGAAGAAGAAGAAGAAGAGGAGGAGGAGGAGGAGTTTGGACTTGATATCCCGCCTTTCACTCCCCTTAAGGAGTCTCAAAGCAGCTAACAATCTCCTTTCCCTTCCTGCCCCACAACAAAAACTCTGTGAGGTGAGTGAGGCTGAGAGACTTCAGAGAAGTGTGACTAGCCCAAGGTCACCCAGCAGCTGCATGTGGAGGAGCGGGGAAGCGAACCTGGTTCACCAGATTATGAGTCCATCGCTCCTAACCACTACACCATGCTGGCGCTTCCAGGATGCTGACATTCCAGGATGGTCCTTGATGGGTTGGCTATCCAAATCCCCTCCCTCTCAAGTCTAGAACGCTTTCAGAAGGATTTTGCATGTGTTTTAACATCTGATATGTCGAGTGTCTGATCCAATCTGCATTTGCTTTAAAAAAAAAAAAGTGGGGCAGTATGTTGTATGGTCTGTATCATCTCACAATATTCCTGGCAACTGAATGACTAAATGCCCTCTCTATGGAACACTCCCTAAACACAGGAGAAACATAGGTTATAGTGAAGGTTCTAGAGTAGACTTCTATCCTGTACTGGTCTTCTGCCTGGCAAGGGGAGCATTCAAACATTCAATCCTACATCTCCACCCTCTAATGCAGTGATGGCCAAATTTAGCCCTCCAGCTGTTTTGGGACAACAGCTCCCATCATCCCTAGCTAACAGGACCAGTGGTCAGGGATCATGAGAATTGTAGTCCCAAAAGAGCTGGAGGTCCAAGTTTGGAGAAGAAACCATGTACATTTTCCTCAGTACATCCCTCACTAGGTGTTCCAAAGTGATGTTCCAAAGCTGATATCAGAAAATTGATTTGACAGTCAAGTTACTCGTTCTAAAGAAAAGCACCGTGCAAGTCCTCCTTCTGGCTTCCCAGAAGAAGTTCAGAACTTAAAAGGTAAAACACAAAACAGAACAAATCTTACCGGAATCCCTGTTCTTTGATGGCAAAGGCAGGTGTTTCCAAAGGGAATATCTCCGACTGGACAAACAGTTCTCTGACTCGGCGATCTATGACTTTCCCATATTGCGCCCCAGCATCAAGTATCACTACAGCTCCATCGTAGCGGCAGAGACCATCCTTGAGATCTTCTCCAGCATTCTCCAACTGTGAACATTATTTACATAAACACTTTTATCACTCGGATTATCAGCACAGAGCAAGAACAGAAAATTAAACTACTTTTTAAATGAGAAGTAAGTAGCTAAGTTAATTATTTAAGATACTTCCAAGCTCTTGCTTTGGGAAGTCTCTTGGAATAATTAAGAATGCATGGGATTTTTTTAAAAAAAACAACAATAACAACAACCCTAGACTGTAGCATTATATGCAATAAATAGAAAATTTAGGAGAAACACATTGCATTAGTCAAGTTTAACAGATACTATTTATTAATGAATATAGATGCAATGTTGGTCATTTTGCACCTCTTCCTAGGGCTCTAATCCATCCTTCCTTTTTTGCCATTGCTTCTGCTAGAAGCAGCATCTAGCAATCGGCAACACTTTTATGGGAAAGGGTCACCCAAGAGGAGGCCTGTAACAGCCACTCAGCTTGGGCAAAAACGTACTTTCAGGTGAACAGGATGGGAAGATTTTAGAAATGAGATGAGACTGCATCCCTAATCAGGCTAAGGATGTGTCACAATAAATTACTAGCACTAGCTGCAGAGACAGATGGGCTAATAACATGCGTATTTTAGCAACCTTTGTGGATGTATCTGGAAGCGTAGCTTAGAGATTCAGGTGGTGTAGGATGTGAAATTGTTTATAATTGTTATAAATATATGTGTGTGTGTGTGTGTGAAATTGTGCAATTGTTTTTATTGTGAAACTGCTTTGAGGTATTTCAAGGGAAGCGACTGATAGATGGATATAATAATAATAATAATAATAATAATAAATTTTTATTTATATCCCGCCCTCCCCAGCCGAAGACGGGCTCAGGGCGGCTAACAACAATAAAATAATACAACATTCTAAAATCATTTCATTATAAAATTAATTCAAATCAAATTGATGGCAACCATTGGGCTAGAGTTCTATGAAGATTGCCAAAGGAGGGAGTCAGGCTGTGCCCTGGCCAAAGGCTTGGTGGAACAGCTCTGTCTTGCAGGCCCTGCGGAAAGATGTCAAGTCCTGCAGGGCCCTAGTCTCTTGTGACAGAGCGTTCCATCAGATCAGAGCCACAGCCGAAAAAGCCCTGGCTCTGGTTGAGGCCAGCCTAACCTCTCTGTGGCCTGGGACCTCCAAGATGTTTTTGTTTGAAGATCGTAAGTTCCTCTGTGGGACATACCAGGAGAGGCGGTCCCGTAGGTACGAGGGTCCTAGGCCGCATAGGGCTTTAAAGGTAAGTATAAAGGTAAATATAAATAAATGAATTGCACTCATGAAGGGAATAAATGGAGCTACTTCCATACAAATAGGTCTGCCCATACCATATTACTCTCCTTCACAGTATGAACTGGAATGACCTATGCATTAGGGCTTCAAAACTGGTTTGAAGTCCATATTGTGATATCAGTTTCATCATTTCTGACCTGGCAATATATCACGAATCATGACATGTGTGTGTGCTATGCAAAAACCACAATGAGGGGAAAACCGTGAAGCCAGTCAATGCTTCTCTCAATTCCTGAAGCCCCTGTTAACTCTTCTGGCTCAGCTGTCCCCTGCTCCATGCAGTGGGCAGCAAATCACAAAAGCAGTCACTGGCAAAAATCAGGATGCAGGGAAAACTGTGAAGCCAGTCAATGCCTCTACACAGCTCCATCCGTATTTCAGACATTGTGATATATCAGTATAACACAATATTTAGCTGGTGATATATCACAATGTTGAAAACCAAATTTTGCGCAGCCCTGACACACGCTTTAGTAATTTTTTAAAGTTAAGAGTCTGACCGCAATCAGAAGAAAACTCACAGACAGAACACTTCCTTTATACTGTACAAAATTAACTGTATGTCATTTGTGAATAATAATAATAAATTTTATTTATACCCCGTCGTCCCCGGCCAGAGCCGGGCTCAGGGCGGCTAACACCAATAAAAAAATCACAGTAAAAACATAAGGGGGGGGGGACAATTTAAAATACAGGTTAATATGCAATTTAAAATGCAGCCTCGTTTTAAAGTAGCCGATAAATCAAGACCATAAGGGGAGGGAAACATAAGGGTCAGACTGAGTCTAAACCAAAGGCCAGGCAGAACAGCTCTGTCTTGCAGGTCCTGTGGAAAGATGTCAAGTCCCGCAGGGCCCTAGTCTCTTGTGACAGAGCGTTCCACCACGTTGGGGCCAGTGCTGAAAAGGCCCTGGCCCTAGTTGAAACCAATCTAACCTCTATGAGGCTCGGGACCTCCAAAGTGTCATTTGTGGACCTTAAGGTCTTCCTCAGGGCATACCAGAGGTGGTCCTGTAAGCAATCATTATTGATTTAAGAAATTGAGGCTGCTATGCATCATTCCATGCATGCTCTTAAGGAAGAGGTACGGAATGGGTACCACATTAAAATACTGCAGTCAGTCATGTGTCACATGCATCTCACTCTAATCAAATTGATTTTATAAGAGTGCAACTGGATACAAGATTACAGATTTCGACTGGGTGTTAAGGCAATCTTGTAACGTGTGTGTGTGTGTAACTATAACTGCCAAATGCAAAAGTAACAGAAGATTAAATATAGCAATATCCTCGGGGTTTAGAGGTTTGCAGTGTTTATGTACTACATCTGTTTTCAAAACAAAATACAAAAGGCTCTTCTGCCATACAAGCACAAATGGAACATTTCAGGGAGGTGCATTGGGCAAAGCTTGTTTTTCTACTTCCGTTTACATTCCTTTCCCCTAATAAAGTAGCACTAACGGTGGCTGACAATATTCCAGAAACTTTTATTTCCTCTCCGTTCTCCCTTCTACTCTCCTCCTTCCCCACTTGTGGTCTCCCTCTTGCACGGGACATGGGTGGCACTATGGTCTAAACCGCTTGCCGATCAGAAGGTCGGCGGTTCAAATCCACACGACGGTGGTGAGCTCTCGTTGCTCGGTCCCTGCTCCTGCCCACCTAGCAGTTCAAAAACATGCCAGTGCAAGTAGATAAATAGGTACCACTGTGGCAGGAAGGTAAACGGCGTTTCCGTGAGCTCTGGCTTCCATCATGATGTTCTGTTGTGCCAGAAGCAGTTTAGTCCTGCTGGCCACATGACCTGGAAAGCTCTCTGTGGACAAACACCAACTCCCTCGGCCTGAAAGCGAGATGAGCGCCACACCCCATAGTCGCCTTTGACTGGACTTAACCATCCAGGGGTCCTTTTCTTTTTACCATCCTCTTGCGTGCTAACTATGGTTAACATCACAACTTAAGCAAACTGAACTCTAACATAGGTAGTTCTGAACTTTGAAGTTTGAAGCCACTGAATTCAGATTCTGGATAAAACAAACTATGGCTAGGGTTCAATTTTAGCAAGGGCTCTATTTTTATACTTTGTTGTTTCAACTTTTATTTGTGAACTGCCCAGAGAACTTTTTAATGGGTTGCACAGAATTGCTGTAAACACACACACAAGAGGAGGAGGAGGAGGAGGAGGAGGAGGAGAGACCAAGGAGTATACCTGATCTCTTTGCCACGATTATGAGACTGGCAAAATGTAAAGTGAGCCATGACAGAACACCAGTGTTATATCAACTGGAGGCACATGACCAAACTTTAACTAGATTTTTTTGCCGCTGAAGTATTAGAGAAAGGAAATCCCTGCTGTCCTGCCATTAAGTGCCACTTTTCACCTAGCCATTAAGGAGATGAGAATTGTGGAACTATTATTTTTTTAAAAAAATATGGAAGCACACTTGAGTGCTCTCCCAAATCTCCACCTTCCTCTGTACCCCTGGCTTGAAGGTTAAAGTCACAGCTTGAACATTCCTGCGCTTGATGTCATATACTGTACTGTATGTCAGGCCCAGGACGGTGGCTACAGTTTACCAAAAACTGCCTGATGGGCCAATCTCCGAGGCCTGGCAGGCCTAATTAGCTCTGTGAGCCAGAGGTTCTCCCCTGCAATTAAGGTTTATTATTTATTTAGTGTTTATTTATTAAACTTCATCCAAGGATCGCAAGGTGGTTTACAGTATAAAAACACAAAAAATAATAATGTAACAACAATCAAAATAATACACACACCCCGGCCACACACAGTTGAAAAGGCCATAGAAGGTCTGGCTGAAGAGGAATGTGTTTGCCCAAGGATATGTAATGAAGGCACCAGGCGAGCCTTCCTGGGGAGAGCATTCCACAAACAGGGAGCCACCGCAGAAACAGCCCATTGTCCATGGAGGGAGAACAAAGGAACAAAACTTTTAAGTCTCATAAAGGCAAACTGCTTTCAGGATATCAATACCATGGGTTGTATTTGCCATGCACTGGAGTTAAGGAAAGTTGCCTATTGCTCAGGCTGATTGAACGGTGAATGGTTAAATCATGTCATAATACAGGGGTTGGCAAACTACGGCCCCTGGGCAGGATCAGGCCCACCCAGGTCCTAAATCTGGCCCACACCGCGAAGCCAGAACCTGCCGCGAAGCTAAGACTCCTGGCAATAGCAACGGGAGGAAGAGGCCAAGCGGCGGCGGCTCTGCCAATCAAACACCGCTCCTACTTTACCTCAGCGCGGTGTGGGGACATCTCTGCCAATCATACGCCACAACTGGTTTGATTGGCAGAGCCTCCGCCACTCAGCCTCTTCCACCGCCGCCACCACCACCCTGGTGCTCCTGTGGGCCAGAGAGTGAAGTGGACAAGCTCGCTCTGCCTACCCGCTTCACGAGAAGCAGCAGCAGTGGTGGTGATGGTGGCGGCAGCCCCTGGGAAAGTAAGCACAGCGCCTTCTTTCTCTAGGCGGGGAGGATGCTCATTTCGCGCCAACACCGCCAGCCCTTCGGCGAATGAGGCAGGCGGCAAACCAAGAAGGTGGCTGGGGTGGGTGAGGAGGAGGACTACTTGTCCCCCTTGCAGTGTGCATAGGAATAGATAGGTAGGTAGGTAGGTAGATAAGATAGTCCGGCCCTCCACAAGGTCTGAGGGACAGTGGACCGGCCCCCTGCGGAAAAAGTTTGCTGACCCCTGTCATAATACCATCATGTGGATTCACTCTAAGTGAATGCAGAGTACTGTGGTCAGTAGCTGCAATAGTAGGATTCTACATGGCACATAGTTTCGAATACAACTGAAATTAGATAAAAGGGAAATCATTAACAAGCTAAGAACATTTGAATTGAAAAACTTCATTCAGGAAAGAAGGCTGTGACGGGAGACAAGGGAGGTCAGAATAAAATTACAATAGGCCCTTTTCTTCCCTTTTCAAGATATCAGATTGTGTAGATTAATTCAAATCACAAGTGTCCGCGCTGAAATAAATCATCTCATTCATGAGAAGTCTGCAGTTATCTGTGACTGATCAAACAAACCAATTACATGATGAAATTTTTTTTTAAGCCATCTCATGATTTGCTTTACTGGCAGTTTCCTGTGCAAATTCTGGAGATCATGAACACCCCAAATTGAAACAAAGATGAGAGCCCAATCCTATACTAGCCTACCCTGCAAAAGGAACCCCTTCTTTGCTCTAATGTCAAAACACTCAAAACACCAGGACTGGTGTAGCAAAAGCACATTACTGGTGGGTGGGTGGAATGTGTGGCATGTGCATGCTAACTAGCTATGTAAGTAGCTGGGAAAGGAAGAAGGGAAATAAAGGCATCAAATAAATATAAATCAAATCTATACGCCTTACCTTGCCCCTATACTATGGAATTTCCTCCCCAGAAAGGCACATCTGGTGCCTTCATTGTACAGTTTTCATCATAGGCTTCCTTTACTCTGGCTTTTTGACACCTAAGATATATATATATATTAGGACCCAGCTTCGTCTTCTGATTCTAGATTGTTTTAACTGGTTTTAATGTTGCATTTTTACATCTCTGTAATCCACCCTAGGTACTTACAGAGAAGGATGGGTGGGAATTATCATATTCACCACCATCCAAGATTATTTTGCACTGAAAAATGAGTATCACAAGTAAATTTAAATGCCATTTGACCAGGTGATGTTAAAAAAGCTTTTGCTGTGGCAGAGGCAGACACGAAAGCCCAAATAAAAAGTGCAATTTCTACATACTATCAACCACAGGGCTCTGAAGATCAGCTAAAGATTGATTTGGACCTTCCGACCACAACATTCTCAGAATCAGCATACTTAGGGATAATTAACAATTTAAGGCAAACAGATTCCCAGCATTAAATGAAGTCCGTTCGACATGCTTGACACATACGCTCACTCATCTCAATTCAGAGAGCTGTTCTGAGTTCACAGATGCCAATGTTCATCAGAATTCTCCCCCTGCCCTTTTGTTTCTAAGTTGAGAAACTTAGCGGTGGACAGGGAAGGTCATCCATACAGGAGCAGTTCTCTGTATCTAATGCATCTTCCCACAGCCCATCTGCCACATTCACTTTTTACAAGGCAAATCCACTGGTTACATCGTGTGGAGAATATTTCTTATACTTTCCCTAGTGACAGCTATGTGTTTAACTTATCACGATGACTGTTAGTTGTCAAACCTCGTACCTGACAAGGCTTGGTCATAACAAACGTCCCCAACGTGGAACTGGCAAGAGGAAGTAATTGGGAAATTGATTCAAAGATGAATGTGGAAAGGGGGTGGGGGCTCAGTCTGACCAAATCATAACGTTCAAGTTCCCCAAAAACAGCGGCAGTACCCACTCACCCACCTATGAGCATAGACTCCCAGGAAACTACAGCTGATCAAGGATAATTCAGTTTCCCTAACACAAGGGAGGGGGAGAGAACAGTCTGTCTTCATCTGCACACATTATACAAGGCTTCCCCAATCTGGTACCCTCCAGATCTCTTGGACTGCAGCTCCTGTCAGCCTTAGGCAGCATGGTCAGTGCTCAAGGATGCTAGGGCTTGTAGCCATGTCAAACTGGCACCAGAACTGCCACTGAGTTTGTGATTTGGATGTTATGACAGGGATGAGGAACTGTGACCCTCACAGGTACTGTTGTGATTCCAGCTCCAGAGTCACAGCCAGCATCACTAATGGTCCCAGATGTTGGAAGTTGTAGTCTGACAGCATCTGTTAGGTACCAGGCTAGGGAACGGCTATATTATATACCACATGGGTACCCACTTTCCATAGCCACAAAGAAGAAACTGTGGAGGCATCATGGAGAAAGCTAAACTGCTACCTGAAACCATCTAGAAAGACATACCCCCTAGAAAAGTTTTGAAAGAAGGGGGACAGTCCCCTAGCATTCTAACTAGATAACCCTAGTCAGTGTCAGTGAACACAGCAGCCTTATAAAAGATGCCATAGAGAACACCTTGCTCATCGTTCCTCCTGCCAGAAAGCATTTAGAAAACTCCAGTATTACCAGGCATATGCAGATAACAGCAAACAAGCTTTCTAAAATGTTATACACATGCATGTTTTTAAAAGGGAGGGCAGGCTGCATTCCTGTACAAAGTGAGTTACACAACCCCCATTGACTTCAATGGGTTCACAAAACCCTGCACAGAATCAGGCTGAAACAAAGGCAAAAATCGTCAGAAGATTTGTGCAACAAGGAGTTCAAAGCTTCCTTATGAAGAGACTGGAGAGAAATCTACTAATATAACAGGTTCATAGTCTGGGAAAACTTTCTGAAAACTAAACACTTTCACAGCTCAGGCTGCAAAAGTTTTTTGTGTTGTGACCTGTATACACTTAAGAACTGGAAGTGCAAAGAAAAAGTAGCCGAATCTTCTGCGGAGAAATGAGAAAACAGAGCAGAATTACTAAGAACATGTCCAATAAAAATGCTACGGTTGACACAGTTGGTGTTAGCTGGTTGTGCGCTGTGTATTCTGATCACTCTCACTCTTATTCATACATGCTTATTTCACTCATTCACCCCCACATTGCAAAATTAGGTGGGTTACATCAGCTAGGCAGCCACTGTTCTCTACCATACAAAATGACCCACCAGATCAGAATACTGCAAGTCTATAAAGGCAAGCAAGGCATTTACAAGAAGGCAATGCCAGCCTCTGGAACAAATGCTCACTGGGGTAATCTATCAAGAACATGCAACACCTTTGTTAAGAGTGTGGTGAAGCTTGCTGGGACTCAGGTAAGTCCTTTAAGTTTTTGCACCAGTTCTCTGGAATTCTCTTGTCTCAAAACAGTGTTCGAAATTAGCCAGGTGCATTTTGCACCTGGCTTTCGACCACTTGCGACCAAGTGAAGATGCCTGGGCGCCAGGATGGTGCCTGATATCTCCACCATCTGAAGATGCATGCCTGGGGATCCTTGGATCTGGACTGTTTTCACACATTAACACCCCATCCTGTAGAATTCTATCTGTTATATTTTATCTGCACAGTCAGAAAATGAATTTCTGGAACCAAAATGCTTTTACTGTGCAGCCTGAGCAGCAGGAAAAGAAAGAGAGGTCGGAATAGGCCAATATTTATGTGGACTGTCCCTGGATCAAGTTGCTTTTCTTCTTTAAGTTCTCAAAGCTCTTAACCTAGCTCAAGGTTACCATCTGAACTAGCCAGATGTTTAACTGAGAATCAATCACAGTCTGTCCATCTAAGACTTTAGAACTGTCTTGCCCCAAAATAGCAACTAGACATTTTGCCAACTGTATCCCCGGTTTCAGGAGCCATTTGGCACCTAACTGTTGGTTTCTGCTTTCCTTCACTGTGCAGCTCTGCTTGTCACGAGACAAGTGTTTACATTCCACAATCTGTACTGTTGGAGTTTCTCACGGGAAAGGGAGACTGGATGTGACGTACACTGGTTTCCTGTTTTTTCACTGTGTTGATTCTCTCCGTGCTGTCGAGGAGAGAGGATGCATTTTCTGCTCTTGCAGAGGCAAGATGTCTTTCTGTAATATACCAGCTTTGAACTGTAAATAAAGCAATATAGAGTATGTAACACATTTTCCTCATCCTTCCGCTGGGCACGAAAGGACTCTGCTTTAAATCAACACGTGGTTATGGACTCCAGGAGTCGAATCGGAGTGCCGGCAAAGGATCGGAATGCAGAGGGACGGATCGGAAAGGAATCTGCTCTGCGCGTAGAAGTGATTGATGAGGTATGTGCTACTGCTCCGGGCAGCCTGCCAGCTTCAAGTTAATGGCTTTATGGCTGGACTTTGAACTTTTAAAGCCGGTTTTGCCGGGAATAGGCAAAAGGCTCCCAGGCACAAGTCACTATGCTGGGGAAATCGCCAGTAACGTTTAAGTGTGCCTTTGTAATGAGGCAGCTGCAGCAGTGACGCAGCAAGATTTAAAGCAGCATATAATGACGCTGAAGGCTAATGCCAGAGTCATGATGGCCCTTCAGGATGCTTGTGGGATTCCTAAGCTCAACAAGAAAAATTACAGCGACTGGGTTCAGTATGCAGAGGCAATTCTGCGGAAAGAGGGTTTGTTTGAGGTGATTACAGGAACCCCCCCAGTTCCAGTTACAGATGCATGGGAAGCTAAGGATTCCAAAGCAAGGGGAACTCTTACATTGATAGTATCCCCAGAAGAGCTCTGTCTATTGCGTGATAAGACCTCAGCCAGAGAAATTTGGGACGCTCTGAGAGAGGCTCACTTAAGGACAGAAGCTGGATCAACTATGTTTTATTTTAACAAGCTGCATAATATGGCTCTTGCTGAAGGTGGAGATGTGCGTTTACATCTGATGGAGATGCAAAATCTGAGACATGAGCTGCAACAGAGAGGACTCAACTTTCCAGAGGCTGTGTATTCTTTCATGATACTACAATCTTTGGGTTCAGGTTGGGAGTCTGTTGCAACCCAGATTGCTGTGCAACCAACTGCTCAGCTGACAGTGGACTTTGTTACTGCCGTGATTTTAAATGAAGCAGATCGCCGGGTGCTAGCTGCATGGGCAAGGGAGAGTCTTCACAGACGTCATCCCATAGTGCAGTGGAACCACCAGATGGCGCCAAAGCTTTGAAGGCAGTGAAATGCCACTCGTGTGGACGTCTAGGCCATATGAAGAGGGAATGCAGACATCCCAGGGCCAAGACAGAGCAGCGCAGCGAAAGCTCATCGCGCGGAAAAGGCCGAGGCAAAGGCAAAGGTCCGGTGTCTAGGACAACGCAGCACAAGGCTATGGTTTCACGCTTCACTCCAAAGGTTGCAGAGGTCCAGAAGACGTCTAGATCTTTCTTCGTTGTAGATTCAGCGGCCACCCACCACATGTGCAACGATAAGAAACTGTTTGTGTCTTTTACACCGCAGGAAGGTGCGATTCACCAGGCGGATGACCACACTATTCCCAGTAAAGGCTACGGAACTGTTGTTCTTCACAGTTTGGACTTATCGATACAGAATGTGCTTTACGTGCCAGACGCCAAACATAATCTGCTCAGTGTTGGACAGCTGAATGAGCGGAACATTGACGTTTCCTTCAAGAACAAGAAGTGCATCATCACAAAGAAAATGATTATGTATTGCATGCAGAATATGTTGATCATTTGTTTATTTTGTATTATGATGATGTGGTGCAGGATGACACTTGTTGCATTGCAGGTTCTAACAAAAGTTTGCATGCAGAATGTATTCACGCTTTTCATCGCAAATTTGGTCATTTGAATTTTGAGGCAGTATCTAAAATGCCTGCCTTGGTTGAAGGTATGACTATTAAACCCTGCAGGTACCACATGAAGTGCAAAGCATGCGCAGCAAACAAGGTGAAAATGGCTACGAAAGGTAAGGTGTCTAGTAGGAAAGCTACAGAACCATACCAGGTTGTTCATGCTGATTTGGTTGGACCACTATCGCCCTCTTTGGGTGGAAATAGATACTTCATGGTTCTCATTGATGCATTTTCTAGATATATTTTTGTGTACAATCTCAAGCAGAAATCGGAGGCTTTTCCTAGGTTCAAGGAATTCTGTGCTTGGTTGGAAAATGTGCATGGTAAGAAGATAAAGACTCTTTTCAGTGATCGCGGGGGGGAATTCACTTCTCAGCAGTTTGAAGCTTTTCTGACTGAGAAAGGAATTCAACACGATTTGTCTAGTCCTCGCTCGCCATGGCAGAATGGACTTGCGGAACGGGCAAATCAGACATTGCTTCAAGGATTAAAAACCTTGCTGCATGATGCCAATCTTCCAGAGAGTTATTGGGCCGAATCTCTCTCGTGTTTTGTTTACAGTTACAATCGCAGGTTATCTTCAGCGATTGGATGTACCTCTATGAGAAGATGTTTGGCAAGAAGCCATACATCAAACACATGAAGATTTTTGGTTCTGACATGTGGGTTCGCTCACCACAAAACTCCAAGTTAGACAAGCGTGGATTGCATGGTATCTTTCTAGGTTATCAGAAAGGGTCTTACAGAATAATGATGACTGACTCTAAGACAATTAAGCTCACGAGAAGTGTTGAGTACAATGCAAAGTGGGGGGGAGAATGTGGGAATTTTCCAATGTTACCCTGATGACGGTGATGAGACTGAGGATAGTCAAAAGCAACAACAACAACCCACACCCACTGATGAAGGTTCTGAGTCTGAATCTGAAACTGAATCGGGTGATTCAGAGGATTTCAAGAGTGCGAAAGCCTCTATGCGACCCTCTGAAAGCTCTGATCAAGAATTGGAGGAACCATTGTTCACAATAGGTCGTTTTTCTCCTAAGAAGGAAGAGGAGAGTGTTGAAGACTTAAGGCTAATTCGTAGGTCACAGAGAGCCACAAAAGGCAAACCTCCAAAGAGATTTGCTGATGAGTTTGCTAAGATAGCAGTAACAGCTGTTAAAAGCTCCAAGAAGGTATTTGAACCTTCAAATTTCCAAGAAATCCAGGGTTTGGATTCAAAGGAAGCTGAGCCATGGTTAAATGCCATGAAAGCTGAACTTGATTCCTTAGAAAGGAACAAAACATGGGAGCTAGTTCCAGTAGTTCCAGGAATGAAACTGCTTGGAAGCAAATGGGTCTTCAAAGCGAAGACAGATCAAAATGGCAAGATAGTCAGACACAAAGCCAGATTGGTAGCCAGAGGTTTTGCACAGGTACCAGGTGAAGACTATCACGAGACCTATTCACCCACAGTGAGATATGAAAGCATTAGGCTTATGCTCAAGCTAGCTGCAGAGGAAAATCTACACATTAGTCACCATGATATTAATACAGCTTTTCTGTACGGATCTCTAGATGAATCACTTTATATGCTTCCACCTGATGGCGTACAGGTAAAACAGGGATTTGTTTGTGCTCTGAAGAAATCCCTTTATGGTCTGAAACAAAGTGCACGGTGTTGGCACACAAAACTCACTGAAGTATTATTTTCTCTAGGTTTTCAGCAAGGGAAAGCTGATCCATGTGTATTTGTCAAAGAGGAGGGGCAAAAGAAACTGTACTGTTTGTTTTATGTTGATGATTTATTATTCTTTTGGAAAGATGTTGCAATGTACAATAGCGCCCTAGCTCAACTGAAAGAGCACTTTGACATGAAAGATCTTGGTGAGGTAAACAACTACCTATCTCTGGAAATAGAGAGAGATCAAGATGGTAACATTCTAGTACACCAGTCACGGAAAATTGCTGATGTGTTAAGCAAACTAAATCTGATGGATGCTAACCCTGTAAACACACCGATGACAACAGGTTATCAGGTAGATGACACTGAAGAAGCATTTTCTGACACTACACTGTACAGGAGTGTGCTAGGCAAGCTAAACTTCATTGCCAGATGTTCAAGACCAGACATTGCTGTTAGCTGTAATTTGCTAAGCAGACAAGTCAACAATCCTAGTGTCAAGGATTGGAAAGCTCTGAAACGCATAGCGCGGTATTTGAAAGGCACTATGCATTACAGACTGAGATTTAACAATCAGAAGTCTGGTGGTCTTGAGATATTTGCAGATGCAAGTTTTGGAAGTGACGCTACAGACAGGAAAAGTACGTCTGGAGTTTGCTACATGTACAATCAGAGTCTGTTTGATTGGTCATGCAAGAAGCAAACAACAGTTAGCTTAAGTACTTGTGAAGCCGAATTGAATGCACTGTCTTATTCACTTAAGGATTGTGAATGGTTAGTACAATTGTGCAAAGATATGAAAATTCCTGTCAAATGTCCAATCCAGGTTTACCAGGACAACAAAGCATGTTTAGCTTTGCTGAAGTCTGAAGGTTGTGAGCAAAGCACAAAGCACTTGCAATTAAAGTTGCAGCATGCTAGGGAATGTATTCAGAAGGGACTCGTAACGGTGTCCTATATGCCAGGTAATGAAATTCCTGCTGATGTATTGTCCAAGATTGTATCAAGGGATCAACACTGTACCTATGTGCAAAAGTTGGGTTTGTACTGATACTGTACGAACACGCTGCCCAGTGATGTTCACAGAAAGGGGGAGGATGTTGGTTTCTGCTTTCCTTCACTGTGCAGCTCTGCTTGTCACGAGACAAGTGTTTACATTCCACAATCTGTACTGTTGGAGTTTCTCACGGGAAAGGGAGACTGGATGTGACGTTCTCTGGTGTCATGTTTTTCACTGTGTTGATTCTCTCCGTGCTGTCGAGGAGAGAGGATGCATTTTCTGCTCTTGCAGAGGCAAGATGTCTTTCTGTAATATACCAGCTTTGAACTGTAAATAAAGCAATATAGAGTATGTAACACATTTTCCTCATCCTTCCGCTGGGCACGAAAGGACTCTGCTTTAAATCAACATTATCTCATAGAACAGGGTATATCATAGAATCATGGAGTTGGAAGGGAACCTAAGGATCATCTAGTCCAACCCCCTGCAATACAGGAATATGCTGCTCTCCCTTATGGGATTAAACCGGCAACCTTGGAGGTTGTCAGCACCACGCACTAACCAACTGAGCTACGTCTTATTCATATTGAGTTTCCAACACTGCCTCAAAAGTGAAGCAACTTCCAACACTGTGCTGTTTTTTTAATCTGTTTTCTTTTCTCCTGTGCTTTCTCAAACCAGTCTATTTTATTTCTGTTACTTTTAATGTTTCTTGGTCTTCATAAAATCATAGGACCGTAGAGCTGGAACCAGGTCATTTAGCAATGGGTTTTATATTTCTATTTCTGCACACTGCTTGGGCATTCTCTGGGCACTTTATAAATTATGAAATAAACGATGTCTCTTCCATACCATTAATGCCTTTAATCTGAAACATTTGCTCAGTGGTAGAGCATCTGCTTTGCATGCAGAAAGTCCCAGGTAGGCCTGGGAGAGACCCATGTCTGAAATCCTGCAGACCTGGTGTGTGCAATACTGAACTAGCAGGACCAATGGTTTAATTCAGTGTAAGGAAACTTGCTACACTCCCCTTCCCCAGATTATTTGAAGAGCCAGAGAAGGGAATTCCAAGGGAAAGAGATTGTGCCCATTTGATTCAGTCTAGACAAATAGGATTTTGACTATTTCCCCCCACCACCTAGTAGCATATTCCCAATCTAGTAACGTCTCTGCTACTAAATCAAATGTATGAAGTTTTCTCTAACAGGAAAAAAAGGCCATGAGGTCTGACTCAACAGACATAAGCCATTTCAATCCACTTATGTTTATAAACTACAATTCCTGCTTATTATTTATTAAATGTACACATCATTAGCATCCTCTGAAATAGCCTAATATTGCAGCGCATCATTCCTCAGTCTGCTTGGTAGAATATAAACTTTATTGCTTTTGAATCAAATCTAGCTTTGCCCGTCTATACAGAGCTTCGAAGTTCTGGAAACTCTTATTTGGGAATTAGGGTTGTGTGAGAGACACAGACTTGTAACATATTTGCTGGATCAAAAAGGGGGGAAGTGTTGCTTTCAAGTTAATTCTGGGGTGCCCTGGGGAACAACCATCAGACAACATAGAAGCAATTTGGGCATACGAGTGAAACTTTCCAAAGGTGAACCCGGAGAGTTGTCTCCACCCCACCCCTGACCCATGCTCAACAAGGAAGGAAAGAGCAATTCCTCCAAGACTTCTTACCGTACCAGAATTAAAATTTCAAAATGAGTATGCTTTCAAAACGTCCCTGTTCTCAAAGTTTCTCAGACGGGTTAGACACACTTTACAGACAAGCATGCACTCAAAAGTGTGTGTGTGTGAGAGAGAGAGAGAGAGTATTGTGCAAAGCCTTTGACCATCCCCATAAGCAGAGTTTTAAGGGTGTTACGAGAACTTACAGGCAACTGCAAAAGTACGAGGATGCAGTAAAAAAAAGTATTGCTATTTTACCTTGGCCGAGCCCACCACACTTCTTAAACACTGTTTCCGTCAGGTACAAATCCCCACACACAAATCCCCATCTACTAAAAGGGGGGGTAGCGGGGGGGGGCGGGTAACTGCCCCATAACAAACAGCTGACATTGCTTAGGCTTATAGGGGGAAGAGGTCTTTCGAAAAGAATCAGACTTGGGCAAAAGTTCTTTATCTCTCCTTCCCCCCCCCAAATAATAATAATAATAATCCAGCCCGCTCTGCCAGTGGCATAGGGGCTGATTGCCTTCCTTTGACCAGTAATAGGGGTGTGTGGGTGGGGGGCAAGAAAAGAAAGAAAAAGAGAAAGTGGGGGGGGGGCTCGTTCTGCCAGGCAAGGAGGCAGCAGCCGCAGCAGCAGCAAAAACAGCCCATGTGGGGCAAGTGGCAGCGGGAACGCGCCTGGAGGGGAAGGGGAGGGACTACCGCGGACTTTGGGGGCCGGGCGCTCGGCGAGCTCCTTCCTTCCCGGGTGCCCGCGCTGGGGGAAGCGGGTGCCAGCCACCCTCCCTTCCTCTTCCTCCCCTCCCCCCGCGCCTTTTCTCCCCATGTGCCCGGCGTGAAGCAAAAGGGGGACGCCGCGCAAATGGAGAGGGAGAGGGGTGTCGTTTCCTGAAGAGGCGAAGCTCCGTGGGGGTGTTTGCCTGGGTGGGGGGCCACCCTAGAAGGAGGTGGAAGCCGCGCGGGGAGCCGGGCTCGCCCTTCGCCCCAGATGGCTCCCGCCTCCGGCACGACGCGCCGCCGCCGCTGCCGCCACACACAAAGCCCCCCGGAGGAAGCTCGCCCGGCAGGGCCGGCGGAAGGCGGAGGGGCCGCGGCGCCGCTCTCCCTTCCCCGCCTGCCTCGCTCGCTCTTCCCCCTTCGCCTCCCCGTCCCTCCCGCCGCCGGCGCCGCGGCACTGACCTTGGCGTCTCCATTGCACACAGCCATAGAGCCGGCCGGGGGTGGAAACGCCGGAGGCTTGGAGGGGGACGAGCTGCTGCGCGCCCGGGTCCGTGTGCGCACAGCCGCCGCCCGAGGGAGAGGGCGCCGGGAAGCAGCGCGCAACGAGGCGGGCGGGAAGGAGGACGAGGCTACCGAGGGGCCGCCGCTCTGGCTGCTGCTGCTGCTGCCGCCGCCGCTGTGCTGCCTCTCCGCGGCCGAGATGAGCTAATCCTGCCCGCCCGCCCCGCCAGGACGCGCCGCCCGCGAGGAGGAGCCCGGCGCCCCGCGGACCGCCTTCTTCGGCGCCGGGCGGGAGAAGAAGGGCAGGAGCGAGAGAGCCGAGCCCGCCCACTGGCGGACGGAGAAGGCGCGGGGAGGCCGCCGGGGGGAAGGGAACGCAATGCTATCCATTTATAGAAAGAGGGAGACTCGCCCGTGGGGTGTCCGCGCGCCTCGAGCAATAAAGGCTGGCATGAAAGGAGGGAAATGCAGGTTTTGGAGTTGGTTTTTTTTTGCCCCGCTTACAGGGCCGCGATCCTCGGCACGCTTTTTTACCCGAGGGTAAATGCAGCCAGTTGCAGTTGCGCCCGGCCGGAGGGGAAACGGGAAGAGGGGGATTCAACCAAAAGTCTCGAGGCACGTAAAGGGTTAAAAAAAATATGTCACGGCATCAGCTTTGGAGAGTCCGCGAAAGCCATGCCACCAAAAAATGGTCTTTGGGGTGTCTCGATCTTTTTGTAAACCGCTTTGATCGGTTGGGTTTTGATGATGATGACAATATTTGTAACCCGCCCATCTGGCTGGGTTGCACCAGCCACTTTTTAGCAGTCAAGCGGTGTATAAATGTTATGCAGTAAATAACTTAAGATGCACCCTGCATAGGGGGGGTGAGGAAGCTGAGATCATAGAATCATAGAGTTGGAAGAGACCACAAGGGCCATCGAGTCCAACCCCCTGCCAAGCAGGAAACACCATCAGAGCACTCCTGACATATGGTTGTCAAGCCTCTGCTTAAAGACCTCCAAAGAAGGAGACTCCACCACACTCCTTGGCAGCAAATTCCACTGTCGAACAGCTCTTACTGTCAGGAAGTTCTTCCTAATGTTTAGGTGGAATCTTCTTTCTTGTAGTTTGGATCCATTGCTCCGTGTCCGCTTCTCTGGAGCAGCAGAAAACAACCTTTCTCCCTCCTCTATGTGACATCCTTTTATATATTTGAACATGGCTATCATATCACCCCTTAACCTCCTCTTCTCCAGGCTAAACATGCCCAGCTCCCAGGCTAAACATGCCCAACTCATCCGAGTTGTTGGTGGACTTCGACTCCCATTAGACCCAGTGGTCACAGATGACGGGAACTGGAGTCCCAGAGGGTCTCCGGCCTTTGATGTGTTGCTTAAGGCAACTAACCGAATGGTCAGATTTCCTGCCTCCTTCCACCATCCTATCAGGGTTTTCCCAAACTTGGGTCTCCAGCTGTTTTTTGGACTACAACTCCCTTATCCCTGACCACTGAGCCTGCTGGCTAGGGATGATGAGAGTTGTAGTCCAAAAACAGCTAGAGACCCAAGTTTGGGAAAGCCTACATAGATCAACTAAATCTTTGTTTTGAAGGTACCACAAATGGGGCAGGAGTCAGAGTTTAAATATCCAAATAATTATTTTAAATCTACTTATATTAGCTTAAAAACCTAAAAATTTGTCCCCCTGTCTTGTGATTACCTAACTAGGAACGCGCTTATCAACTTGAACGTACATTGGCCACAGACTCCATCCCAGGATGTCTGAGGCAAGTATGTAGTGCTCAAGAAATCTGAAGCAAAAGGGAAGCAGAGTTCTTGATCACAACTTCCTAATTTAGTTGCATTTATATGCCACCTTTTTCTCTTTTATATATATAATTTTTATTAAACTTACTGTTTTACAATTTAGATTATTCATTTAAACAACCTTTATGTATCAGTGACTTCCCTTCTTCTCTTTCCATGGTTCATTTTGCATAACAAATCCCTGCATATTTTACATAAATTACTAAACTATTCAGTATTGCATTATTACATCCATCAAAACTTATTTACACTGTTGAATTTATCTTAATGCTGCCAACGATTTCAAGTGTACACAATTTCCTCCCATATATTCAATAAACATTTTCCAGTCTTCTTTAAACATATATTCTTCTTGTTCTCTTATTCTATATGTTAGGTCTGTAAGCTGCACATATTCCATCAGTTGAAGTTGCCATTCTTCTTTAGTTGGGACCTCGCTCATTTTCTATTTTTCGGCTAACAAAACACGGGCCTCAGTAGTGGCATACATAAATAACCTTTTTTGACACCTGTGAATTTCCGTCTGAATTATCCCCCCCAAAAAAGACTGGTTGTTTGATTGGTTTTTTTGGAAGTGCTTTGAAACATTTTTTTCAATTCATTATAAATTATTTCCCAATACTCTTTTACCCTTTTACAGGCCCACCACATATGAAAGAATGTACCCTCAACCCCATTGCATCTCCTGCACTTATCTGATTCAGTCTTATACTGTATATCTTAACAAGCCTATTCAGAGTTAAATACCATCTGTAAATCATTTTCAGGTAGTTCTCCTTCATATATGACACCTTTTTCTCCAAGGAGCTCAAGGTGGCATACATGCTGTACCCCTGATTTAATCCCCACAACAAACCTGTGAGGCAGGTTAGGCTGAGAGTCAGTGACTGGCCCAAGGTGAGCTTCACGGCCAAGTGTGGATTTGAATCCTGGTCTCCCAGCTAATAATCAGACACTCTAACCACTATGAAATGAAAACTGCCATACTATCCCCTAAATTTGGCGCCGTGGTCTAAACCACTGAGCCTAGGGCTTGCCGATTGGAAGGTCGGTAGTTCAAATCCCCACAACGAGGTGAGCTCCCGTTGCTCGGTCCCTGCCTCCTGCCAACCTAGCAGTTGGAAAGCACATCAAAGTGCAAGTAGATAAATAGGTACCGCTCCGGTGGAAAGGTAAACAGTGTTTCCGTGCACTGCTCTGGTTCGCCAGAAGCGGCTTAGTCCTGCTGGCCACATGACCCGGAAGCTGTACACAGGCTCCCTCGGCCAATAAAGCGAGATGAGCGCCGCAACTCCAGAGTCGTCCGCGACTGGACCTAATGGTCAGGGATCCCTTTACCTTTTACCACGTGGGTGGGTGTGTTTGTGTTGTACCTCTGCTCCAGGGACTTCATCATGGAATACAGTACCTTGGATGCTATCCACTTGAAAAAGAAAAAGGAAAACATTTTTGCTGGCACCAAGACAGGGGTAAACTGCCCCACTCCCACGTTGTTCCCTAAGAGCAGCAGTTTAGGCTTTGGGTCTGCAGAGGCAGAAGTAACAAGAGATCTGAGGTGGCATAATGGACAGTACCACTTCAGACTGCAGGTGGTGGTGGGTGCCTTTCAGGATTGCTGCCTTGCGTCAAAGAATAATAATTCCTCCCCTTCAAGTCCCAAATGAGTACAGCTGGGAACACTCTGAGCTAGACCTCCTCTGATGTGCTAGACTTTTGCAAATGTGCGTGGTGTTTTTTTTAAGGAAACATTTTAAAGGGCCATCCCCGCCTGCAATATGAAATGGCACACTCGGCTCTGCCACCACATCATAATTCTTCCACCTCACAATAGCTCTGTTTTCACCTTTGTTATGTATTCTGAGAGTAGGAGCAGGACCCTGCTGGCTGGCCTGCCTCCCTGGTCTCCTCCACATGTTCAGATGAAGGCGACAACAGGCGCTATTGTGCACAAATAGGCACTTTATGTACCTGGCGCAATAACCCTCTTCATGTGTTATGAAGGGGCAGGCAGCAGCGTTGAGAGGCCTAGTTCTGCCCTTTCCTGGTCATTTGGGTTACCCTCAATTTGCAGTGAGGCTCCTTATGCACTTTAGAAACCTGGAAAATCAATGTTCAGGGAGCCTCCACAAGTGCTGAAGGCCCGCCCCCCACCTCTCCACTTCAGACCAGTTACCCTCCACAAGTTTAGGGCAAGGGCAGCGGTAGCGTGCTTTTCCTTGCTGCCCACCTCATGTGTTTGGTTTACTCTGAATCCTAACACCCGAGGGGGGCTTGTGTGCATTCAATCGTACACATGTAGAACCCTTTCTCATCACCACTTGAATGTTTGGAGCTTGTAGGTGAGGCCAGGGGCGACAATCCTGTCTCCACATGCAGTGGTACCTCGGGTTACATACGCTTCAGGTTACATATGCTTCAGGTTACAGACTACGCTAACCCAGAAATAGTACCTCGGGTTAAGAACTTTGCTTCAGGATGAGAACAGAAATCGCACAGTGGCAGCAGGAGGCCCCATTAGCTAAAGTGGTGCTTCAGGTTAAGAACAGTTTCAGTTTAAGAACGGACCTCTGGAACGAATCAAGTACTTAACCCGACGTACCACTGTACTAACTGAACGTGTAGACCAGGGGTGACTAACTTTTTAATTGGCTCAGGGGCCAAAACCGTCTAGGGGCCGCATGGCAGTGGTAGGTGTGGCCAGCCACCCCACACTATCATGTCCACCACACAAGCTCACACACCCCTTATCAGCTAAATGAGGGCTATCTCCAAACATAAAATGACCAATCTGCATCAAACTCTACTCATAAAATGATCCACCTGCAATTTGCATTCCCCACTCCCAACTCAGTGCTATGTCTGCTTTAATTCTTTGCCTTTCCAAAATTGAGGGGTGGAGGTCTTGGGGTGAGAAACTTTTGCTTGGGGAGGTGGGGGGCTGGACCAGGCCCTCTGAAACTGGGAGTTAGCCTTTATCTCACTTCTCACAGGGGAGCTAACACTGCATGTGAAGTTTTCTTTTCTACCAGACAATGGAGTTGGGTCCTCTAACATCTATGGTAAAACTTCCTGTCTAGGTCAAGGAAAGGAAGCCGGGCTGCTCTGGAATCAGCCCATAGAAGACCCGTTTCTAACTTTTCTGTTTGTTTTCCCTATGATAGGGGTCGCACCCTGCCCATTGCAATGGTTCTCAGCATTGTCACATGAGCGGCAGCTCTGCAAAGACTGCTGCTGAGGGTGGTGAAGCAAGGCCACTCAAAAACAGACAGGAAGCCAGACTTTGCCATCTTCCTTTTCCAGCAGCACCAACCTGGCGCCTTCTCGGTATTTTGGACTACAGCCCCCATCAGCCTCAGCCAGTCAGACTGTTCTGGCTGGGGCTGATGGGAGCTGTAGTCCAAGACATTTAGAAGATGCCATATTGGTGAAGATTGCCTTAAAAAGAGCCCTTCTCCCGGCCTAGGATGCCTCTCAGAACCAGCATAGGGCCTGGAAAACACCCTTGGAACACCTTTACAACTTCACTCCATACCTTCATAGATCCAACCCTTCTTGACCACACCAAAGCTTGAGCCACGGTTCGAGGTGCTTTTAGGTGATCATTTCTTTCCTTTATTTTGAAATCAGGTCTGGCACAAGGCATTTTGCTGCCTGAGGTGAAGGGCAACATACTTCTCAACAATTTCATATACAGAAAGAAGCTGGATTGACAGTTAAATCTAATTTCAACACTGGTGATGATGCAATGGCATCTTCCATGATATCTGAAGGCAGTGGGCTAGCTTAGTGGGTGGGTGGCAGGCCATGCAGTGCAAACACAACTCTGCCCTTCAACATTTTGCCCACACTCCCCATCCTGCATCATTTGCCACCTGAGGCAGCTGCCTCAGTCTGCTTAACAAAAGGGCCAACCACGTTTGTGATATTCTTAAGAGTTTTTAACTCCTCCTTGTTAAGGCTGAAATATACCGTACACTGATATTTTCAACGGATGGAAATCATTCAGATTTTGCTTTAGCTGAGTCCTCAGGTTCACTTTAAGTACACAAATGGCTTTGGCTTTGTTACGTTAGTTTGATGTTTAGCAAACTGAAAGTTCAAGCTGGATTAATTGGCAAGTCAACAGCTGAAGTTCAAGGTTGGTGGATTAGATGGTTTTGTACTCAATCAGATTTTGCAAAAGAGCTGGTCTTGCCAAAAGCAAATCAGACATTTCAGCAGCAGCCCTGAAAAGACTTTCAGTCCCTTAAATCTCAAGTGGACCCACGCTGTTGTTGAGTGCTTTCAGCACTTGTGACCAAGTCTACCTAAATCTTCTGAAGGCTTTTGGCTACTTCCATAACAGTTCCTTACCTCTTCCCCCCCAATTCAAAAAATTAAAAGTATCTGTGTGTGGTTATTGTTACACCAAACCATGTTCAGATGTTACTGTTTTCATCTCTCAATCTGCAATCCTAAGTATACTTTCTTAAAACTAATTTCCATAAGGAAATCAATTAGATTTATTTTCAAGCAAGACTGAAACTCTCTGAACGCGTACGTAGGAATACGTTTACTTGAACTCAGTATTTGAACAGAAACATAAGAATGACTGAGCTAAAACAATGTGCTCCTTTTCATATTGAAAAAGAAAACCACACGGAGTTCACCGGGGCAGGCCCAAGACATATTGCTGCTTGAGGCAAAACAGAAAATGGCACAGCCCACAGGAATTGTAGTTTGCTAAAGGTGCTGCTTTAGAGCAGGCTTCCTCAACCTCGGCCCTCCAGATGTTTTGAAACTACAGTTCCCATCATCCCTGACCACTGGTCCTGCTAGCTAGGGATCATGGGAGTTGTAGGCCAAAAACATCTGGAGGGCCGAGGTTGAGGAAGCCTGCTTTAGAGCATGGATAGAGAATATCAGGCTCAGAGACCAACGCAGACCTAGAGGCTGCTCCGTTAGGACTCCGGCCACCCTCTCTCCAGTCCTGCTTTGTACCCTCCTTGAGTGCCTTTGACTGATGGTGAGGGGAGAGACTCCATCAGGCAAGGCCTCCTTCCACCTGCCTTGCCCCACCCTCCAACCCTAGGAGTCCTCATAAGGGAGCTGTTCCTGAAGGAAGAACTGTGAGGGGAGAGACTCCATCAGGCAAGGCCTCTTTCCACCTGCCTTGCCACACCCTCTAGTCTCTGCTTCTCAATTTGTATTGTATTATTTTATGTACTGTGGCTTGCCGTTGTTTTATTGATTCTAGTTTAGAAATTATTTATTGTAACTGTTGAGTGGATTTCGGTTTAACTTTTATATGTCATTATTATTTAATACTATTCTAATGATTGTTGAATGCTACTTTTTGATGTAGGTTGCCTGTTTTAAAGTTATGTTTTATTATCACATTTTTGTATTGCATTAGATTATTATAAGAGGTACATTTTTTGTTTCTTCAGCTTGTAAACCGCCTTGAGTATTGCAAGATAGAAAGACAGTATACAGATTAAAAATGATGATGATGATGACTGAAAGCAGAAAAGCCAGGGTTGCAAAATGGGGACGGAAAACGGGGGAGCCAGGGGGGTGAAACGGAGAATGAAAATGCAGCGGGGAGAGGAGAAGGAAAGTAGGAAAGCCACGGGGACAAGATGGGGAACAAGAGTGGCAGGGTGAGAGAAAGCCGGAAAGCAAGGGGAACAAAAAGGAGAAGGAAAAAGGAGGGTTCTTTCCTGCCAAAACTGCTCCAGGGAGATGGAGGAGGCGTTGCCGCTGCAAACAAGCAAGCAGGCAGCAGGGTGGCACAGTACCCAGATGCAAATTTGCTGCCCCACCCAGAGTGTGTCGAGGCAGGAATTGGGAGTAGGTCAGCAATAACTCACAAGGAGCCAGTGAACTTAACTCTCTGTTTAAAGAAACAAATACAGCTAAGGCCTAGTGAGCATAGCAACTCTTCCCAGTAGGTCTTGCCCCAATGAGACAGTTGCAAGGACTGAAGGTCCCAGCTTCCCGCAGCTCTCTACGTCTCCCCCCACCCTAGGTCTTTCCCAAGTAACCTGAGGCTCCTTCTTCTTGCCTGTCTTTGCTCTGCCCTCTTCATACCTCTGAAGGTTCTGGGAGACCAGTGGTGGAGGGAACTGGTTGCAAGCAGGAAGGGGAGACCCCCCCTGGCTTCTTCACCAGCCCGACTCACCTCTGCCCCTTGGCCCACCTCCTCTCCAGCTTCCACTTCTGCCTCTGATTCTGGGCTGCTCTCTGCCACAACCTCTTCCTGCTCACTAAAGCAGGCATAGGCAAACTCAGCCCTCCAGATGTTTTGGGACTACAACTCCCATCATCCCTAGCTAATAAGACCAGTGGTCAGGGATGATGGGGATTGTAGCCCCAAAACATCTGGAGGGCCGAGTTTGCCTATGCCTGCACTAAAGCCTGTTGCTTCTTCAGCTAACACCATCTCCTCCCAGTCTGCTCCTTCTCTCTCCAAGCACACATTGCCGCCCCACTACCAATCCCCTGGCTCTGAGCCTTCTTCCCCTGGGAGCTCCCTTGAGGGTTCCCCAGCTGGTGCCTCTCGCCACCCCTCTTCAGCCAGCCAGTCCATGACAAGTGCCGCTTGAGGCTGCTGACTCAGAAAGCCTCATGGTAGCGCCGGCCCTATTGCAACGCAGTACAGTCGTACCTCGGGTTACAGACGCTTCAGGTTGTGTTTTTTCAGGTTGCAGACTGCCAAAACCCGGAAGTACAGGAACGGGTTACTTCCGGGTTTTGGCGGTCACGCTTTGCTTATGCACAGACGCGCTGAATTGCAACCTGCGTGTGCGCAGATGCGCCGCTGCGGGTTGCGGACGCTGCGGGTTACGAACCTGTATACCGCATGGATTATGTTTGAAACACGAGAGTCCACTGTATTAAAAATGGTTTAAAATGACTTGGCACAAAGGGATCTCTCCTGCCCATTTAAGGTGGCCCTTTACGGGTGCTTTCGCCTGAAAAGGTGAACTAGCAGAAACCTAGCTAACCAGGGCAAATTCAGTTTGAAGGTTTCCTGACAAAATCCTCTATCCCCCCTAACAGTGATACTACTGCAGCTTACCTGGATGGGGCTGGGGTGTGGCAAGGGGATGGTGAGGTCTGGGGTGCACTGGTGCACCACCGCTGCCAATCTGATGTTTCATGCAATGTGATGCTACAGCCCCAACCTTGCTGCTGATCTACTCTGCCCTGCCCAGGTAAGCTGCAGTGTCACCAGCGTTAAGAGGGTGGCTGAATGATTCTGCCCAGTCCTACTGGCCACTACTGATTTGCCCTAAGCTCCCAGCTGTGTATGTATTTCTAAGCCCTTGGTTTTTGAATGCAACCTAAAGGAAAGATAGGTACAATTTCTCTCCCTCTTTAATTCTCCCTTTCAAATTGCATTTCCCCCCATTCCCCTCCACCTCCTCTGAAGCTGAACTGCACCACCATACCACAACCCTGCTTTCTCTCTCTGTTCCTTGAAAGGCTTCAACAGTCCATCAGTTAATTGCTTCTTTTAATATATTCTTCCAATAAACGCACATTTGTAGAAAAGCTCTGATTTCATCTCCATTGCTCTCCTGAATACATTGCTCGGGCGCTCTGCTGTCTAGTCTAAACAATCCAGAGTTACTCACATTTGACTCCTTTTGTGTTATGCCAGTGTTTTGGTTCCCGGGTCTGCTCAACCAGCCAGATAACAGCCTGTCCTCTGGCAGAGCAGAGCAAGGGTCATGGTGGAAAATGGTCTCTTTAGATGTGATTCATCTTCATTCATTATTCCCTGAAGAAGAATAAACAGTCTGCAGATGTGCTTGGAGATGTGTTTTGAAGGTGGACGAACATGCAATGCCACGCCATATATCAGGGATGCTGGTTCCCTCAGCCTCTCTTGGATAAACACCATTTTGCTTATCCATTCTTCATTCATTTTCCACTGCCACCAATTCACTCTGAACGTTTTCAAAAACCTCCTAGCACCTGGTACAGAAGGCTTAAGTGTGAGAGCCAGACACCAACACTAGAAACAGGATAAACCTTAAACTGAGATTGTTGATTTATTAAAGGAATACTGTGTACACAGTACTATGCACTGTGAGTAAGCTGTTCCTGTGTCTGAGAAAATGGTCAGGATGGGGTTGCACTCCCCCTGATTTTTGCAGTCTGGGGTGCTGCTTCTGAATCCAGCTCTGTCACTGGAGACTCAGGTAGCTTCAATGGCTAGTAGCGCCTTTTACCAGCTGCAGCTTGTTTAACAGCTACGGCCATTCTTGGATGGGGAAAGCCTTGCCATGGTACTTTATGCATTCGTTACTTCAAGACTGGAGGGCTGCCCTGTGTGGGGCTTTCCTTATGCATGATCCGGAAGCTGCGGTTAATGCAGAATGCTGCAGCACGATTGCTGACAGGAGTGAGGCCTTGTCATCATATAACGCATATGCTCAGAGATCTGCACTCGTTGCTGATTTGCTACTGGGCCAGGATCAAAGCGTTTTTATTAGTACAGTGGATGCTCAGGTTGCGAATGTGATCCATGCGGGATGCATGTTCGCAACCCGCAGCGTTTGCAACCCGCGCCTGCGCACTCGCGGGTTGCGATTTGGTGCTTCTGCACATGCGCAAAGCGTGATTTAGCACTACTGTGCATGCACGACTGCCGAAACCCGTAAGTAACCTGTTCCGGTACTTCTGGGTTTCGGCGGTCTGCAACCTGAAAAAACGCAACTTGAAGCGGCTGTAACCCGAGGTATGACTGTAACAACTTGGGACCAATTACCTGAGATCGCCTTGCTCCACATGTGCCTGCTCAACCACTTCGATCAGCAGAATTGGCCCACATAACACCCATTCCGCATTTGCAAGAACTCAGTCGTTTAGTGTGGCAGTGCCTGCACTTTGGAACCCCTTGCCTGTTGAGATCAAGCAGGCACCTTCACTGTACTCTTTTCAGTGCCTGCTAAAAACATTCTTGCTTAGGCAAGCCTACGCAGATGCTTAGAAAGTTGCGGTTTTTTTAATCCGTTTCAGCATTTTAACTTTTGTGTGCTTTAAAGTACGGTTGTGAATTTTTTTGCTTTGAGGGTTTTTAACAGTCAAGCCGTGTACAAATTTTATGAAATGGGACAATGGCATCTGGCTGTTAACCAGAAGGTTGGTGGTTCGAGTCCAGCCAGGGACAGCTGTGAGCAGGATTCCTGAATTGCAGGAGGTTGGACTAGATGACTCTGAGGGTCCCTTCCAACGCCACAATTCTATGATTCGATGACCCAAAACACAGTTTCTGAAGTGGCTTGCCAAATTAACCCCAGCCAAATACATCCACAATCCAGCCCAGCAATTGGGGTCAATCTGTCTCTGAACCCAGAAATGTCCTCTGGTAGTACTTCTGGCTGCTTGGATAGTTTCGCTTGTGGAAACTGGCTCCCTTCCTCTGATCTTCACCAGACAAGTATTAACAACATACTGGGTATTAATATTCAGGTTTCTGGTTTCTCTGGTTTCTGCCCTCCCCCCACCCCCACTGCACCTCCCTCACCCCTCCAAATCCCCAACTGCCTATCCTCAATTTACTCTGTTAATTCCCAACAGACTAGAACGTCCAGCCCATCAGAGCTGGCAGTCACCCAGACCAATCTCAAATGAATTTACCTGCTTAATAAATTCTCACCCTTCTCTCCGCTCAGAACTACTGCCAACCATGCTTGCGACATCGCAACCGCACAAGGCCTTGAACTTTGACCGTCACGGAATACAGCATTTCTCCACAGTATCAGCTGGTGAATCCAAAAGCGCTGAGACAAGGCCATGTGCCCATTCCATTTACGTATACCCATTCTCTCTTACGCAAACAGGCACATCTGAAACCCTGCACACCTACTGTCGGAGTCTTGTCCTAAATGCAGCGCCAATCTGACCCAGAACAAAGCAGCATCGTAGAATTGTACAGTTGGAAGGGACTCTGAGGGCCATCTAGTCCAACCCCCTGCAATGCAGGAATCTCGACTAAAGCATCCATGGCAGATGGCTATACGGCCATCATTCATATGGTACTGAATGTGTCAGTAGGAGAGAAAGGAGCAATCCTGCGAAGTTTTGTTCAAACCTGAGAATCATATCCAAGCCGAACGTCTGTCAAACGAGGCTGTTGCATTCCCCCCCCCGCCCCCAGTAAATGGTCCGAGGAAGAAAAATATTTCTTCTTTTCCTTGAATTAAAATGTCTGCTAATTTTTTTTCATATTATGCACGCAGATATGTCTATAGTGTCTTATGGGAAGGACAGCTGTATAGCAGAATGATCTCTCATAAGTGGCATGTCTGTTCTTTCTAAGGCTACAAACTAGAGAGACTAAAGACAGAGAGGTTAGCAAAAGAAAAATGAAAAGAATGAAGCTGGCAACTGCTTTATACTTGCATTAACCCACACACACCAAAACATCCCCTCCAAAACGCTATTATGCATATTATATGAACTGAGAGACTTAGTACCCAGTCATAACACATTTAGAAAGACAAATGTGGTGATTTTACCCCGAGAAATTTGAATAATTCCCTTCTTTAGAAAGTGCTCTGTAATTAATCCCCTGTCATCTGCAGGAGATGGGTCGTTATCCAAGTTATCTTGATTCATTGACTAAGATCCATTTCATGTAGTTTTACAAAGGTAAATTTAATTAGAATTGTCATTTTGCAGCATTCTTCCTCTTCGTCAAGCTCCAGCATGAATCCAGCTGCTTTTCTTGTACTATACTGTCAGGGCAATAATAGCTGATGAAGGTTCAGGTGAAGGGGAGATGATGTTGCCAACATTATAACATCTCCAGCTCCCAAAAGAAAACAAAGCCCTAGGATCTGGGCTTAGGTAGGGGAGGAAATGAACATTAAAAAAACCCCAAAACCATAAGAGGCTGTTGAATCAGGCCCATCTATGAGAAACACACATGACATGAGCGCCATGGCACTTTCCCAGTTTATCCCAGTTTGAGAGCCAGTGTGGTGTAGTGGTTAAGAGCGGTAGACTCGTAATCTGGTGAACCAGGTTCGCGTCTCCGCTCCTCCACATGCAGCTGCTGGGTGACCTTGGGCTTCTCTGAACTCTCAGCCCCACTCAAATCACAGAGTGTTTGTTGTGGGGGAGGAAGGGAAAGGAGATTGTTAGCCGCTTTGAGACTCCTTCGGGTAGTGATAAAGCAGGATATCAAATCCAAACTCTTCTTATCCTTCCCAGCCTGATGGGAAACAAAGCAATATGACTTCCCCAAAACTTACACACTTGCCAGCAAAATTGAAAGCGGGATCCTGTATAACCACCCCATACCATGATGAGCACAAACCATCATGAATCCACAATAAAAAAAGATGTCTAGAGGGCCCTTTATAGTAAATAGTAAATGTTTGGGGGGGATTAAAGGTTTTTTTATCCTGCGCTGTGTAAACTCTCCTTGTAGTTTCATGTTCTGCTCACTAGAGGTTGCTAGCGGTTGTTCTTTTTTCAAATAGATGAAAGCACATTTATAACAAAATTGGTATACCAATTGATTTTTTTTTTCTAGATGTGAATATGAATAAAAAGTCCATCAAGAAAAAGCAGCAACAGCTCTGGAATCCTATTTAAGGCTGCAATCCTGTCCTACACAGGCTTACTTGGGAGTAAGTCCCACCGTACACAGTGGATCTTTCTTCTGGGTAGATATGTACAGGATTACTCACCTGGGACTTAACATTTGGTCAGGGACACGACGTTTGTCACAGTAGCAGATCCCATTCCTTCACATTAATATTTTCTGCAAATAGAAGCCGTGCAAATAGTCTGGAGATTTCTAGTGTACGCTGCGTGATTCACTGAAAACACACAGGCACACATTCTCTATCTAACAAAATGAAATGGGGGGGGGGGGAATATGTAGGAGAGTTATCTCAGAACTCTCTTTACCATGACTTTGTTCCACTTCAGAAATCACACCCTTTCTGCTCAGTTTAGATTAGAACAGCTTTCTTTGTAGAATCATATTCTTAGCTGGTTTACGCAGGCCTCAATCTAGTTTGTAACATAAACTATCTGATAAGCCTCTAGGACAATTTGATAGCAGGAATGGGCTCCACTATTGTTAAACACACAGTTTTATAGGCATTTTCTATTCCAATCTTGGAATTTCTGCTGTAGCCAAAACAGACTTTTTTTTCTGCTGCCTGCTTTAAACTTTCACACATATTGGTTTGTGTATTGCAGGCATAGGCAAACTCGGCCCTCCAGATGTTTTGGGACTACAACTCCCATCATCCCTGACCACTGGTCCTGTTAGCTAGGGATGATGGGAGTTGCAGTCCCAAAACATCTGGAGGGCCGAGTTTGCCTATGCCTGGTGTATTGGGTTGGATTCAGACTAAGTTTCAGAGGAAGCCTAGGCACATCTACTCAGAAGTAAGTGTGGTGTAGTGGTTAAGAGCGGTAGACTTCTCTGAAGTCTCTCAGCCCCACTCACCTCACAGAGTGTTTGTTGTGGGGGAGGAAGGGAAAAGGAGAATGTTAGCCGCCTTGAGACTCCTTCGGGTAGTGATAAAGTGGGATATCAAATCCAAACTCTTCTTCTTTACAGAATCCAATCAGGCTTTCTCACAAGCAAGTATGCATCAGATTGCATCTTAAGTTGCACTTAGGTCTCACTGCAATCCATGCGATTAAGTTAAAGGTAAAGGGATCCCTGACCATTAGGTCCAGTCGTGGCCAACTCTGGGGTTGTGGCGCTCATCTCGCTTTACTGGCTGAGGGAGCCGGCATACAGTTTCCGGGTCATGGGCAAGCACAAAATAACACCCACAGTGCTGAAAGGGCCTTGCAAAGACCTGTTTTTTCAGCTGTGTAGGTTGTAGTTCTAACCCAGGAGTCAGCAAACTTTTTCAGCAGGGGGCCAGTCCACTGTCCCTTGTGGGGGGCTGGACTATATTTTATTGGGGGAAATGAACTAATTCCTATGCCCCACAAATAACCCAAAGATGCATTTTAAATAAAAGGGCACATTCTACCCATGAAAAAACATGCTGATTCCTGGACTGTCTGTGGGCCAGATTTAGAAGGTGATTGGGCTGGATCCAGCCCCCGGGCCTTAGTTTGCCTACCCATGTTCTAACCCGTACAGTGGTACCTCAGGTTAAGTACCGTATTTTTCACCCTATAGGACGCACCGGCCCATAGGACGCACCTAGGTTTTTTTTGGAGAGGGGGATAAAGAAAAAAAATTATACCCCCCCCCAGCCGCGGCTTCAGCGTGCCCCGCGCTCCGGGCAGCAAGCTGCTATCCGCAGCCTAGGGAGCCCTGCAGGAACTCCCGCGGGCTCCCCAGGCTTGCTGATAGCTTCCTGAAGCCTGGAGAGCGAGAGGGGTTGTGCTCTCTCGCTCTCCAAGCTTCAGCGAAAGCCTGCATTCGCCCCATAGGACGCACACAGATTTCCCCTTCATTTTTGGAGGGGGAAAAGCGCGTTCTATAGGGCGAAAAATATGGTACTTAATTCGTTCCGGAGGTCCGTTCTTAACCTGAAACTGTTCTTAACCTGAAGCACCACTTTAGCTAATGGGGCCTCCCGCTGCTGCTGGAGCACGATTTCTGTTCTCATCCTGAAGCAAAGTTCTTAACCCGAGGTGCTATTTCTGGGTTAGCGGAGTCTGTAACCTGAAGCGTATGTAACCTGAAGTGTATGTAACCCGAGGTACTACTGTATTTAAAACACCACTGGGCACCTCTAGAACATTGATTTTTCAACCAGGGACCCTGAGTGCTGCCCACACAGCAAGGAACTGAGTAATTCACGAAGAGAGCAATTGCTTGGGTAATTGAGTGATGACTTTACTCTCCCTGTGCCTGACTTTGATATTCTGCTCTGATTTTAATCCATGGACATCAAGCTTGATACACAAAGCTATGAATCACTTACTCCGGAGCAGTCTTGGAATCATCCCACTAGCATTCAAGGAAACAATTGCATACGATACTGGCATGATCGAGACTATTGGTTCAGATCCACACTGTACATTTTCAGCATATTGCTTCCCACAAAGAATCACAGAGCTACAATTCCCAGCACCCTTAACTAACTACAGTTCTTGGGATTCTTCGGAGGAAGCCAAAAACAACAGAGAATACAAAACCAACCTTGGTTGCATAGAGAGGCAACCAAGTTCAGTCCTTGGTCTGGATTTCCAGTCGAAAGGATCACAAATGTTCCTAAAACATTTTACAAGGCTGTCACCTTTCACATTCAAACACTGCTCTCAATGTTCCTGCAGGAGCCAGCCCAAAACCTGAGATCACATCAGAGGCCCTTCTTTCTATACCACCACATTCAACCAAGGGACTCAATATAGAGTCTTTTTAGTGGTGGCTCCTGCCTTTGAACATCCCTCCCCAGAGATGCTTTCCTGGTGCCAACTTTGTTGTCTTTTGAGCAGGAGGCAAAAAACTTATCTGCAGTTTGTTTTATCACACATAGGGTTTTAACTGCTGCTGCTGTTCTACTGCTTAATGCAATAAACATTTTAAGGTGTTGGGTTTAATTACCAGCTGCTCTGACATCCCTTTTGGCTTCCATCCTCGTCTCAGACACTGGCATAAAATAGGAGAGCACAAAATAAAATAGTGCCACAGCAATGATTATTAGTATCAAATGCCAGCAATGAACACATTTCTAAACCAATCTTCTCAATAGGGCTCCCAACACTAGTTTGGCTGATCAATACAGAAACGAAAAATAAAACTGCAATATTGCTTTATTGAAACAATAGATAGAGCTTCTGAGACTTCCTAAGGGATATGGTTCTGTAAATTTAGCACTTTCAGCAAGGTAATTGTGTCGTCTCATATTTATCAATTGACAGAACTTATTTATTTATTTATTTTAAAGCTTAAACATGAAGAGAAAACCCAGGAAACGCTTTGGGTAAAATAGAAAAATTAAACACGTTTGTTCCATTTTACACGTCAGCTATTTTTAATCATGAAATGGTCCAGCCGTTTTGTTCTGTTCTTCATTATGACTAACAGCTGTTTCAAAAGCAAACCTATTTTGTGTGTACCAGTGCCTCAATTTACAGCACATTATAAAGGAAAGAACACAAACAGTCAAGAAATATTCCAACATATACATTATACTTCTGTTTCCACTCTCTATTACAGTCAAAGGAATTGGTTTCACAGAGTTCCTGGCCATTACTTATATGATTCACACTTAAATCAATTTGTCATCCATTTGAGCAATATTTTAGTTTTTTTCATCAACAAGTATGCAACAAGTATGTACATCTACAAATCCTTTGTAGATTAACTTGCTTTATATATCGTTTGTATCGAGCAAATAGTTTTAGCCTTCTTTTAAAAAAGGCAATATTTTATTATTCAATACTTCTACAGTCATCTCTGATGAACCTTTGAAGATATAAAAAGAATATTCTCCAAACTATGAACTTTATAGCCAATAGAAAACCCAGAAAAAAACAGCTTAAGCTTTGTAAATCTAATCAGAACTGAAGACAGCATCACAGAGTGCAGATGAGAGTTCAAGTGGTAGTTATCAAATAATACTTTTATCACAACTCAGCATATTTTCCCCCTTGACAATTTCTCCTTTCACATGACGTGATTATTGCTATAGAAAACATTTTCTTCTGAACCTTATATACAAGTGAGAAGATGTGTTCCACTTTTTGTGAGGTAATTGTACTTGATTGCCATGAATGATCACAATTGCTGTCAGGGAATCACTCATTATCCTGAAAATGGGAAGCAATTTTATGCCAAGAGTATCACGTTATTATTTACTCCAATTAAGGGAACACCATAGAGAACTTTAATTAAACCTTTTCCCCAATTTACATCATTTGTAGCCTGCACCTGAAATTATATCAAGCAGCATAATTTACCTCTCAAATAATGCAGATAGCCTTCAATAACTACAGGTCTCATTTTGTTCTCATTTAGTACAATTCAGATAAGTGAAAGGTGGATGCTTAACCTATAGCAACTCCACAGACTCTGCTATCTCGGGTGCAGGCACAACTCAGGATATGCTTCCAAATCTATAGGAATTCCCTCTGCAAAATCACATCGGTGATGAGTGTCCAAGAATTCAACACAACAAGTTTAATACAAATGTGTTTAAGTGCAAAAAAGTAATGCTGAGCACTTCTTTCATTCTCGGAGTATGCTGAAATTTCTTTTAAGGTTTCTCATTTTTTAGGAAAGTTTTAGTTCAAGCTTTGCTATTGATTCTGGGTTTTAGTTTAATTAGCCATTCACAACATTTACTCTACAGCATCAGACATTTGTTTAAATGCATAGCCTTTATTTTTCTTGGCACCCTGTATAAACAGTAATACAGAACTGGAAAACATAAAACGCCTCACTGGCTAATTTCCTGTGCATGTTCTGCAAGCCAGACACCTTTTTTCTAGAAGTATCCCCTGCCTAACATTGTCTAGAGACAGTTAATAAACGTTCTCTGTTAACAGGCTTTTCATTTATGCGGTGGCAAACCAAAAATAAATGGAAATGATAAATACAAGTTTTAGCCACTAAATATCCTCTCATTAACTATCATACACATATAGTATTAAAGTAGCATTTTATTCGTCCCACCTAGGCAATAGGGATGGATCAAAATTAAGGCAAACAAAATCAGTTTATTGTAAACAATGAATGAAAACTAAAAGTACTTAGTGAGAGCGCCAAGGATTTTTCATTCAAGTAAACAGGTCTGATTATTCATATGAACTGAACTACAAGATATTAATACAACAATATCACCATGTTAGAATATGCCCAGGGCGGGGGGGTGGGGACTAGAGTGTCTCAAACCCTATGAAGTTTACTAACAGACCCAAAACCCAGCCAACACCGTGCCTTCAACATCAGCTTGATCTATAGAAATCAACAGGTGCAACTCTTTGCTGTTAGAGATCAGCATTATCACCTAACAAATGCCTGCAAATCAAGCTGCTTTTAAAGGCGCAGGAGAGACCAATAAAAATGTCATCCCTATATTCTACCAGCCAAATCTAAATGAAGTTACTGGAGCTCAACCAACAGAACACACAAACAACCTGCAATCTCAGCACATACTGCCTACCTGCAGAACATATTAAACAAGTGGCCACAGGGAAGCAATGTGTAACCCAATTTCCTGCCAAAGTCACTAGTTAAATATGTTTAAACTGGATGTTATCTAGTTTAGGTCCATGAATTCAATCAGAGTATTGCTGATTTAACTAGTTTATGAATATCATTGATAGGCTGCAATCTTAAAATCCAATTGGGAGCAGTCCAGGAGTTCTCCCTATTATTGTAAAAACAAACAGTTGGCTATAAATGTAGTTTTAAGGTTGCAGAAGGATCCCTGAAATCCACAAACCACTTAAACAGCTATAAATCTAAGTACTGGGATCTTAAGGTGTTGGCAATTTCGGTTATACATTGCTTAACAATGGGCCACTTTGTTCTTCAGAAGGAGAGGAATATAGATCAAGGGCAGACTAAGAATGTTTTTCTCTCTGTTGATTTTAAAACCTCTTCCAACCCTATGATCCTAACTCTGTTTCCCTGGAAGTAGGTCCCACGAATTTCAGGGGCATTTACTCCCAAGTAAGTGTGCTTAAGAGTTGTGTAAACTTCCTTCTCAAACAGGCTTAACATTTATTTGCACTCAGAAAAGAGCTTTAAAAGAAAAACAGTACACAGTAAATCACAGATTCACTTGGAATCAAGAATTAATATCCATTTCAGAAAGAACTGACCTCTTGAAATAACCAGTAAAACTGAGACAGCATCAAGAGTATGACACTAGCCTGCCACACCTTTTGAAGGTATTTTAATATCATGAGAGATGTACAAAATACATCCAACAACATACTATAACAGTGCCCCTTTCTTATGTGATATACATTGTATTGTACATCCTTAAGGCACTAAAGAGAAGATTCCCTCTTAATAATGAGAATTGCAAAAATCGCGTTACCAGTTGTAGGAGATTCCAGGCAGCAGCCAGGAATGATTGAATGACTTACATTAGAACGATATGAATGTCCTAAAACAATGAAAGTACAGACAATCCATCACCATTTCTTTTCAAAAGGCACCACATCTTTCGCCTAGTCCTCTTTGGGCCTCACAAAAGAAAAAAACAGCAATTCTTGAGAAACAGCATATTTGCTTTTTCAAGCAAGCTGAATTCACTGGCCTTATAAGTGCCCCTAATCTTTCGGAAGCCCGTTCTTCAGTACTAGTCAATATGCCTGCCTACCACTCTACCAGGTGTGATCAACCTAAGTGCCTAGCCAGCTGCTTCTCTCATACAAATGCTGTCCTGAAGAAACCACTTCTATTTGCAAATCAAGAGCCTTGAAGTCAAGTGTGCACATTAAAAGAAAAGGAAAAAGCTAAATTTTCACCATTATAAAAATATTCCTCTTATAAATCTTTAAAGCTTGTAGAAGCCAGGAAAATACATTTGAGAGAATCTTTTGATACTCATTGTTTTCTCCCATAAAGCGTAGTTATGGTCAGCAATTAAAAGGGGTTGTGGAAAATGTATCAGATTGATTGTTCTCTCTACAGCTTATTTTACCATATACATTCAACGTTTACATTTAAATCAAAATGTTATGGTTTCATAAAAGTTTTGTTTAGAGATAATGTTAAAGAAATCAATCAGAAGACAAAAGGCAGACGCTGCAAGTTAGCACAACAGCTCTGTAGTTTTAAAGTGCTGTTTTGAGTATGATTATTTATTCATTTCTAACTTAAGAAAATGTTGTTGGTGTGTGTGCTTTTTTAACTGATCCATATACTGCTTTCCTGGCTTGGTTTTTTAGAAAGTCATTTGGCATAAAATGGCCATTTTCCCCCTACATAGATGTATTTATTCTTTTGTGTACTCATTATGGGATAAAACCATAACAACTTTTGTCAGTGTTTTCCTATGAACTGGTTCTCCTGCATTTCCATGAAGATGCCCTCTCGTCCTGCAGCTTTTTGAATTTGGGACCGAGGAACAACCACCAAACAAATCCCAAAGCCACGCATATTAGGGATTCCACGTAATAACCATCCAAGGTAATAATACAAGAGCCACCTTCTTTTGTACAAAGCTGCAAGAGAGAATGAGAGAAGGGCGTCAAAAGATGTTATACGGATATATGTATTAACATAATAAGTTAAAATGCATTGATGAAGCATTCTAGATGAACACACTGTTTTTTCCCTTAAAAATATAGTATGTTGGGTGATATCTAACTAAGTGGTACCCCCACTAAAATCAGTGGATGTTACAAAGTCCATTGATTGCAATGGGTCTGCTCAGAGTATGACTAACTTTGGTTACCACCCATTCATAATAATTTTGTATTACAGGTAACTCGCAACTTGTGTACATTTAAATTGTGCGGATTTGGCTTTACATACTTGGCAAAAAACAATTTTTTAAAAAAATAAGAAGGGGGTGGGCATCCAGGGAAAAAAAGACTTTTTTCCCAGATGCCCTTCCCCTTTTTAATTAAAAGTCTATGCTTTTGTAGGGAGTAATGCAGCTGCCTTAAGCTTCATAATGCCCCATCAGTGATGCCTACTGGAGGAAGACAATTGAAGCATGTGGGTTGTAGCCAAAGCTGAAGGAACAATTATTCTTTCAATATGATCTTATACGAGCATTCTGGAAAAGTCTTACAACTTTGCTATCACACTACTATGTGGCTAAAATCACACTGTTCAAACCCCATAAGGTGAATAAAGCGAAGGTCTTGCATAGCTAACACAGGAGGTGCAAATTATCTCACTTGATAATATGCAAGAGCAAAAGCTATTCCTAAGATGCTTTTTAAATGGGGAGGAAATATCAGTGCAGAAAGTTAGTGTCAGTGCATCAAGACTAGTGTCGGAATGAAAGCGTCTCTTATAAGAAACTTACTTCTGCAGCAGCTGCAGTCCCACAGTTATGTCCTTGAGCTCCGACACACTCCTTCACTGTAAGTGGATCCACAAGCCAAAGAGCTACTGTTGCCGGCCAGTTTCCACCCAAATTCGACACTGTGTTAAGTAGCGTCATGTACGTTCCTCCTATGAGTGGGTCACTAACTTTGGCATTGAAAGCCATTATAGCAACATACATGCTGTACAGCGTAACCTGGGGGAAAGACAGATGAACACAAAGAGAATGACGCAAGAGAACAGCTTCAAGTAGCAACTGCTATTTTAGTGAAATGTCTTATGGAACACTGTGGAGCTGCCTTTTAACATGAAATGTAGTCAAAAGGGGCCAGCTGTTGAGAGCTGCTGGGGTCTTGGAAGACCAAAGATTCCCACTTTTACATATCTTGTAGGAAGAAACAAAAACAGTGTTTTTGCAACAAAATAACCCTCCAACACAAGATTTCAGTAAGGAAAACACTTACATAGTGCGGTGGAAGAGCTGGGAAAAAATTCACATCTGGCAATCTGTATACTCCTAGGCTTGGTTTGGTCAGAATACAGTTTACACTTCCAGAGTTAATGCTAAACACATTACTTCAGTTAATGAGCCACCACAGCTGCCAGAGAGCTGTGATAATGTATGTCCCTGGCTTTATAAACTCATCTACCCATGTAATACCTGAAACTAAAGGGGCACATTGGTTGACAGATGTAAAACATACTGGCATTATTTTCAGCTCTCCTACCCCACTATATTTAACATGGAAAAGAAAGAAACTGGTCCATCCTTCTCTAGTACTAACAGTATCAGTAAAGACTTGAAGGTAGCAGACAAATGTGTTTTAGGAAATTGAATATACCTTAAGTGGTAACAAAGCCTAAGCTCAATGCATTCTTCATATATACCGTATTTTCTGCTCTATAAGACGCACTTTTCCCCTGCTAAAAAGTAAGGGGAAATGCATGCGCGTCTTATGGAGCGAATGCAGGCTGCGCGGCTAAGCCAGAAGCTAGAACAGCAAGAGGGAGCACGGCGCAGCACTCCCTCTAGCTGTTCTGGCTTCTGGGATACCCCACGAAGCCTCCGCAGGGCAGTGGGATGAAGGCTCCCCGCTGCCCTGCAGAGGCTTCGAGCAGCTATCCTTGGCTTTTGCGGGCAGCTCTATCCCTTCTCCCACCTCCCGCAAAAGCCAGGGATAGCTGCGCTCCCTTTAAATAGCGGACGGCTCTTGCGGGAGGTGGGGGAAGTGACAGAGTACGCGACTCTGTCCCTTCCCCCACCTCCCGCAAAAGCCCCCAAGAGTCGCACTCCCTTTAAAGAGCCACGCGGAGCGTGTGTGCAGCTCTTGGGGGCTTTTCCCCGAGGAGGGAGAAGGGCAGCCCGTCAGAGCCTGGGATGCATACAGGATCTGCTCAGCACTGCTCAGCATACAGGATCTTGCATTCCCCCTCTAAAAACTCGGTGCGTCTTATGGAGCGAAAAATACGGTATATATCAAAGCCTTGTATCTACACAGACTACTCAAACACACACACACAGAGAGCAACTTATTACCTGATGCAAAGCATAACTCAAAAGCAATATAATATAGTAATAGATGGGAAATCCTCCTTCGTATTTTACTTTGGGAGTCCACCAAACCAAGAAAGCAAATTCCAACCCAAACAGTAACCTGTAGGGAAAAGATAAGGGAAACACCTTGAATACCCCAAATTCCTCATCATGTCTGCATTAAACCAATACGAGCTAGGAAGGCAACCCAAAATTTTTGACAAGGGGTAGACCTGAGGCATGGCAGAGTCAGAATATGAGCCAGTGGTGATTCACTGGCCAGTTTCTGGTGGGCTACCTAACAGATGCAGATTTTGAAGAATGCTTATCTAGATGAACCTTGGGTTGATTCAGTAATGCACCTTAAACAAGGTGTGCTTTGCACATGACAATAAGCAACTGTGCAAATGTGCTGGCTTGCACACACTTCGCTCCTCCCTGGGCCTTTTAACATCAGCAGATGGCAGCTAAATCAAGGTTTTGCTTACCAAATCATGGTTAAGATGTCTCCCCCTTGACCATGATCTGCAACTTTGCAAGTAGATTTTGGGAATTCTAGTTAAAAATGTGGCAGGCCATACAAGACTGAAATCAGTCCCTTTGATACTAAGCTGCCTAACCTTGGGGTAGTCAACATGGTCCCCTCTAGATGGGCACTCCAAGGCCCATCAGCCTCAGCCAGCCACTGATGAGGGGCGATGGAGGGGTTCCAATTCAAAGCATATGGAGAATACTATGTTGGCTACTCCTATATAACCCGTTGTTTCCCATCCATATAAGCTGGAAGGAAATGAGTGATCCATGAGACACATTCTGTGGTCTTCATGGAAATGAAAGGCCCCCAAATGCCACAAAAGATAAAACAATAAACACACCTAAAAACAATTCCTATACGCATGCAGACTGGGAAATAAATATCTCTACTTAAAAGACTTGTTAAAAGAGGAAGGTCTTCAGCAGGTGTCAAAATGTCTACAGAGGCGGCACCTATCTAATATTTAGCAGGAGGGCATTACAAAAGGCATGTGGCACAACACTTAAGGCCCAGTTTCAACATCACACAGAATGCAGACCTCCCTATAAGATGGTATCTGCAGGATGCCTTCTCCTGCAGAGCATAGTAACTCACTGGGTATCTAAAGACTGATTTAGGTATCCTGATTCCAAGCTGCCCAGGGTTTTATACATCAGAACCAATACCTTGAACTTAGCCTTGTCCATAGGGGGAAAGTCATCTAATGAAAGCTAAGTGTGGAAAAGAAAACACTAGTTCTGACACAAGTGGAATTTTAACCAAGCACAGCTCTTGTAAAGGATAACACTGGGCAACAATTTTTTACTTTTTGAATGTTGTCTAGATTTCTACAACTGATTTAGGGTATTTTTGCACTGCTGAATCAGGAAATGGCATCCGTTTCTCTCCATCAGGTCAGGTTTACTGTAAACTGAATGGTGGGCATTGATAAAGGTAAGTACACATAAATTGTATGTTGCTTCACCATTTTTCAAACTTCAGGGCTTGAACTTCCGTTTCTTGGAACTCCAGGAATGCTCAGCGGCAGGGAGGTCTCTCTTCAGAGTCCAACAGTAGTCAGCCATCATGACTGCGTCCCATGGACCCTGATACCTGGTCTCCATCTCTTTCATGTCCTGATGGAATCTCTCCCCCTGCTCATCACTCATTGAACCCAGGTTCTCAGGAAACCGGTCCATATGTGAAAATAGGTAGTGCATCTTGACGCTCATGTTGCAGCCCAGGTTTCTGAAAGCAGTCAGCATGTTGTTGACAAGTTCTGCGTAGTTTCTGGCCTTATTGTTGCCAAGAAAGTTCTTCACTACCAGAACAAATGCCTTCCACGCTTCCAGTTCCACTTCGTTCACTGAGTTTCCAAACTCTGGATCTCTGATGAGCTGACGGATCTGAGGACCGTCAAAGATGCCAGCTTTCAACTTCTCCATGGTCAATCCTGGAAAAGCCTGGCACAAGTAAGTGAAGCAGTCACCATCCTTGTCCAGAGCCTTGGTGAACTGCTTGATTAAGCCGAGCTTGATGTGCAGCGGTGGGAAGAGTATTCTGTCTCTGTCCACCAGAGGGTCGTTGATGACGTTCCTTTTTTTTGCAAGGCACCAATTCCTCCCGCACAGGCCAGTCCTTCTTCGTGTAATGCTGAGCACAGTCCCTACTATCCCACATGCACAGAAAACATGGGTACTTGGTGAAACCAGACTGTTGTCCCAACAAAAAGTTCACCATCTTCAGGTCAACATAAATAAACCACTTATGCTGATCATAACCAATTTTCTCCAGCACATACTTCACCGCTTCATAGTTCTCCTTCAGTGTACTCGAGTGAGCCAGGGGTATAGAGGCAAACTGGTTGCCGCTGTGTAGCAGAACACATTTCAGTGATCGCTTGCTGCTGTCAATGAACAGTCTCCAATCTTTGGGTTCGTACTGTGGCACTCCAAGCTTGAGCAGAACCTGCGCAATACCTGCACAGTACACCAAGTCCTTCTCTTCTGAGAAAAAACGGAGGTACTCTTGATGCCTGTTGCGGAAGAAGCTGATGCGAGCACTGTCAGAGAGGAGGTTTTTTTTCCTTCAATCTGGATGCCAACAGTTCGGCAGAGTCCTTTGACAAGCTGAGGTCACGAACTAGATCATTCAACTCCTTTTGGAAAAATGGATGTGGAGCATCATCTTCAAGAACCACTTCTTCTTCTTCATGTCCTTCAACACTGGAGGCATCTTTGTCACTAATGTCAGGAAGTTCTCCGAAGATAGGCACTGGAATTTCATCACAATGAGCTACAGGACGACGTGCTGATTGAAGATCAGGATACTTCGTGGGCTGCTGCCCCATTAACTTAGTTTTGATCCCCCAACTTTATGCTTTGCCGCACCAATTTATGGAAGATTTCGAGGTTTTATGACTTCAAACGGATCCGTTTTCGACATAATCACCCAGAACTATCGGACCTGAATACTTCTTGTCATTAAAATAATCATTTCCAATCAAAACAATTATTCGACATGGCATTTTACCCCCACCAACTTCTTCTAAAATGCTCCACACAAGCGTACATGTGAACAAAAACGTAAAAAAAGACATGTGGCCATAGCTCAAAAACTTGACCTGATTGAGCAAAACCAATGTGATTTTTGGATTCAGTGCATCAGATTCATCCTAAATCAACTGAAAAAACGCAGACAACAAATTTGTTGTTGACCAGTGTAATTCAGCAAAGCTACAGCACTTCATTATAAATTGCATAGCGAACAAGAGCAGGGGATTTCGAACCAATAACCACGGCAAAGCTTTCCAAGTAAAAGCCCAACATGCACATCTCATTGCTTTTAATGGTTACAAAATTATAGTTTCACATTAACAGAGTTGTGTATTATCAGGTTTAACTATCAAGAGGCTTTTTACCTGAAAGGCATAGCTTTGTAAAATGTGTTCAGGGGCTGTGGACCTGCTGTGTATTTGCTGATAATCAGAGGCAATATGATCTGCAGTGGAACCATTGGAACAGCAAGAAGAGCCAAGTGTTCTTTAGGTACTCCTTCTTCTACCAGTTTGAGGCCTGTGACTGCATCCGCTGCCGAGAATCCGATCTGCAACATAAAAACCTTTTACAATCTTACACACATACAACAAGGTTTTCCTGCTGTACTGATATGTAGTAACTTATTCATGGTCACCCATCCCTGGACTTTCTGAAACTTGATCCAGATCCAAGCTCCCAACACTGTGGTCCAGAATAGCAAATCAGTATTTAAGAAGAAGACCGTGAAAGGGAACTTGTGGTCCTCCAGACAACTCAATTCATCCCTGATCATTGGTCATGTTGACTGAGGTTTATGGGAGTTGGCACCCAACGATTCCACAGGTTCTCAACCCCACCTTTGGCTTAGACCAGTGGTTCCCAAACATTTTTTTCTCATGGACCACTTGAAAACTGCTGAGTGTCTTGCAGACCACTTAATGATTTTTCTGCTCACTACAGCAATTGTAATGCACTGTACTGGATGATGTATGATTTTAATTGTATTTTTATTGCTTCTTTTTCTCTTATATTGTTCAGTTATTGAATGTAGATAGTAATAAAATAGAATGCAATATAAAAAATAAAAACAAACAATCAAAATACAGCTAAAAATCAATATTACATGCCACATACTACCTGAATGAAGCTTGCAGACCACAGGTGGTTCATGGACCAGTTTGGGAATCACTAGCTTAGACAAATTAAATCGTGCCCCTCCGCTTATAGAACATTACGCAAAATCCATGGACATTTAGACATTATGCAAAATCCATGGTTTGCTTTTTTTAAAAAAAATAATATTTATTACTTTTCCAACAATTTAAACACTACAAAAAAATAAACAATACAATACAATACAAAAACAATACATAACACTAACACATTAAACTAACAAAACATGGTTTGCTTTTTTGCCTGAGCCTGTGTCAGTTTATAAACCATTGTTTGTGGTGGGCCATCAAAGTTGAGTATGAAACCTTGATTTGAGATTGCAGCTTCTTGAACAATTGGAATCATTCCAACATTTGACAGGAAGCAACATAGCTGATAGCCATATCAGGGCAAATATGGGAGATTATACAAAAATAATTACAGTGGTACCTTGGGTTACAAACTTAATTCGTTCCGGAGGTCCGTTCTTAACACAAAACTATTCTTAACCTGAGACGCGCTTTTACCAATGGGGCCTCCCGCTGCCGCTGCGTGATTTCTGTTCTCATCCTGGGGCAAAGTTCGCAACCCGGAGCAACTACGGTTAGCGGAGTTTGTAACCCGAAGTGTTTGTAACCCGAGGTACCACTGTATTGGATCAATAATCTTGCAGTGCTAGCATGGCTTCATAAATATAGCCCATGTAACAATCGAAAGAGGCAGTGTTTACATTAAACCAGTAGGAACTGCAACAAAATGTTACAGTGTGAACGACTCTTGTCCAGGGTTCCAGTGGTCTAATTATACCTTCTTCCGGGATATTTAACGGAGCTTCCCCTTGCATGCCAATATTTCCCTCTTTCAGCTATGATAGTCACTGAGAAACAATCCTGTTGGCTCTCAGGAGCGGAGTTTGTTTTTAGAACAAACTCGTTCAACAACTGTTTTTTTAATCCAGCTTCCTGGCAGAGAGGCTTCGGTAGCGTATTGTTTATGCAGTCTTGCAAATTACAAAAAGTTTTAAAGAAAGAACCCTAGGAAAAGTTGAATGATCGTGCTGTAGTTTAATAAGCTAGAGACATGCTCAAGCCTTCTGCCTGTGAGTTTTGTTGCTGTGCTACCAATTCCCTCCCTGGCATGCTGCAATATGCCACAATGCCAGCAATTAACCAGAGTTAAATCAGAACCAGAAAGGGGGGAGGAGCTGTGGTGACTAGGTTCAGAACAAAGAACTTGAAACTGTAGTAATCATGGTTTTTTCTGATTCAGACGTAAGAGGAAATTATGGTTAATTGAGGACTTCTAGGATCCATTGCAGCACAATATGGAGCCATCGTCATAATCCTCTTTTATATCCCTGCTGATTAGGTTAAGATATGACTGCTCAATTGCAGCCATCAGGGAGCCAATGACAACGGCTCTGTTCCTCTCTCAACTGACTGCATTCAATGAGCTCTCAATCAAAGAAAGAGCAGCCCTCTGGAGACTGAGCATGAGGCTCCCTCTTTCCCCTCCCATGTCAGAGAATGGTGTAGAAAAATACAAAAAAGTAACAGCACAGTCAGCATTACAGAGCTAACAAGGCTCATGTTCTCTGTTAGCAGAAGAAGAAAACAAAAGTGGGAGCTTGCCATCCCCTGGAATGCCAATTCTGAAGAGTCCAATAGTTTAAACACCTAAACCACTGAGAAATGCAATCTTGTTGTCATTTCATTGGAACTCCCTGCCTATTGACATCAGTGGTTTTGACACTAGCTGAAAGCATTTTTGTTTAGGCAAGCTTATCCAGACATGCAGAAGGTTGACATGTATTTTAATCTGGTTCATTCCTTCTCAATTTATTCCCACATCAACCCTGTAAAGTAGGTTAGGCTGAGAGGTAGCGACTGCCAGAAGGTCACTCAGTGAGCTTCATGGCCATGTGGGGATTTGAACTCTATTCTCCCAGATCCTAGTCCAACACTCTGAACCATTACACCACATTGGCTTCCCCCTCTGCACACAAAATAATGTCTGTATAGGGCTTCCAATCTATTGCTCCTACAGAAAGTGCATACTTAAGATGACACACATATTGCTTTGTATCAACTCAGCTACAATGCTATCTCATAACTTACACGGTTCAGGACCACAATACCTTAAGGACCACCTCTCCCCATATAAACTGATCTAGACCTTGTGCTTGTCCTTCTCTATGTCCCCACTCCTGAGAGGTTTAGAGACTTACAACATGAGAATGGGCCTTTTCTGTGATGGTTCCCTCAACTGTGAAACACTCTCCCCACAGAGGCTCACCTGGTGCCAGCATTACATGTCTTTAGGTGCCAGGTGAAAACATTCCTCTTTACCAGGGTGTTTGGTCATTAAACAATCTGCGGCAGAGGGGACGGACTGTTATCATGATTATTTTATTGTTATGCTGTCTATTATTATGTTCAGTATTATGCTTTTATTATTATGCTCCATAAATTATGTTCTTAATCTTGTACACCACCCTGGGATCTTTGGTTAAAGGGTGGTATATAAATCAAATAAATAAATAGCTAGCTAGCTAGCAATAGTAGCTCTCTTCTCAATTAATATGTTTTCTGGCATAGTAGCTCATAAGACTGGCATATAGGTCCATGAATAACAGGAACTTATAAAAATGAGGCACATTCCCAAATGATAATCACAAATCATGTACTCACTTTTGCTGTTAAAATCAGGGCACAAAACGTAAGGACTGCTGGCATTTTTACTATTGAGAAGAGCAGCTTGTACGTATCCATGATGCCTTTTGTTTCTTCTTTTGATGGGTGTCTTTCCCTATCTTCTTTTTTCAAGAGTGCGACCAAGGTGGTAGTGATTAAGAAAACAGCACCCCAGTAAAATAGGAAATCTGAAGGGGAAATGAAACCTTTTCCATTATGAAGACACTTGATGCTAATAACATACTATTTAAAACCAACACTAAGACTAGCTGCAACCTTCGTAAAACAATTAACATACCGTCCAATAAGAAAAATAGATTTCACAAAACCAATTACTGGTAATTTATGCTGGATTATTAGCTCATCCAAATAAAAAAGGGGCTCCACAGGAGCAAGCAGTCTACATAGTGCGGCCTTAATCTTTACCAGAAGAAAAGATGTCAGATTAATCCCCGTAGGAATGGATTTGGAGACCACAATGTGAATAAGCAAATTAAGTTAAGAATAATGAAATTTAAGAACTCATTTCAGTAAATACTCTTATCCCCAACCTCAAGAACCCTACTTAACAAACTGGAAGCATTGTGATAAATTAAAACATGCATGCACAAAGCAAGATATATAAGTAGCCAGTCTGAAATCACTGGGATCTCTGTTGCCTCTTTGTTGTGTCTATCTGATATAACACTAGCCCATAACTTCCATACAGATGCTCTTGTTGTCAAGATCAGTAGAGGGGGCCTCCTTGGTAGTCCCACTGCCCTCAAAAGTTCAAGCTGTGCTGTGGGAGAGGGAATTCTTTGTGGTAGTTCCTAGGTTGTGGAATTCCCTTCCCACAGAAGTACATATGGCACCTTCATTATATTATATATATTGTATTAATCACTTTTTTCAGAAACATACACAATTTCCAACATATGCTAAAGACACACCTCTTTGCTCTGGTCTCTGGCAATTGAGACGTGTTTTCAGGAACCACCCTATTCCTGTGACTACAATTGCTTCTAAACTGTTTTTAATACCATATGATTACACCTTACATTTCAATTGTGTGCTTTCAACCTTATGCAGAACCTTATGGTGGCAGGAAAGTAGACGTGTGAAAGTAATGCCTCTCTTCCCATTCTTGAAGAGAGTTCTGAAAAAACTAGATTTGACAGATCTTTACCAATTCTGCTTCTAGTTGTAAACCTATACTATAACTCAGGCCTGTCCAACCGGTTGATCACGATCTACTGGTCGATCACGGGATGCCCAAGGTCGTCCCTTGTCAATCACAGGCTCCTGACACCCCGCCCCAAAAAAGGAAAAAAAGCTCAACAACTTTGGCTCCCCCTCCCCCCAAAAAGCTCAACAACTCTGGTCAAACCAATGGGTAGATCTCTGCCAGTTTGTTATAGTGTGAGTAGATGGCAGTCTCTTGGAAGTTGGATGTGCCTGCTATAATTGTTCATTTTGCTTTGGGTCTTTTCACCATAGGTATCTGAAGGATGTTACCTCTCATTATTATTAATGTTAGCAACATGGATGAGGACAACTAGCTTAGTTTAGCTTATTAATTAATTAAGATGACATGGCAGCTCCATTTTCAAGCAAAGTAATCTGGGCAAAATGTGTAAATGCAGAATTGCTATCTAGCATGAACCAGCAAATACCAAAACTTCTGTAAGATAACACTGCATTTTCACTAAGTGTGCTAATATAGCAGCATGTGTTCTTCCAGGTTTCACCCACCCATCCACCAGCTTTTTATCAAAAGAGTGTATCTAGATCAGACAGTTCCTAAACAAATGTGAACCTTCAAAGTTGGGCAGCTGATATAGCAATCTGGAATAGAAAATCCACACAGGTACTGTAATTCTTTTTGCAGTTCTATAAGAGGGGTGTAAATGAAATGTTCCATAGTAGACTAATCCATCACCACTTCTTACCACACTACACATGAACAATTGTCAACCTGAAGAGGACACAGAAGCTTGGGGGGGGGGGAGATAAAAGGGTCTCTTGGATAGATCTGCATCATTACATTCATTTCAAAAATTTATACCTGAAAGCGTTACAATTCCTCTGGGTTGAGGCTGAAACCGCAAATACTTGTTGCAGAAGGAGGCCGATTCCAGAGCCAAGAACAAGACATTTCCCAAGAAGTAGCCAGCTGTCTGTCCCACAGAGTTACAAGTGGAAGCATAGCCCACATTCTCCCGAGACAACATAGTCAATGCCCAGCCATCTACAGCTATGTCCTGAGTGGCTGCCAGAAACTCAAACAAGAAGAAGGTCACTGTAAGAGCCACCACATCTGGGCTTTTGCCATCCTCCTCCCCAAGCAAAGAGTCCACCTGCCTGGAAAGGTACATCATAAAAAGCCCCAAGGTGTACTGAGTGGGCACAAGCCATGACTTGCGCCGGCCAAAGCTCTTGAAGTACACGGCATCCACCAGGGGGGCCCACAGCAGCTTCAAGCTGAAAGGCCAGAAGACGAAGCTGAAGAAAGCCTGGTCCGTGTAGCTGACGTTCTTGCTTTGCAAGATGAGCGGGATGCTGCCCGCCAGCCCCAGCGGGATGCCCTGCAGCACGTAGAGGAAGAGCAGCAGCAAGATGCTGCCCAGCTCCGCTCGGTAGCCCCGGGGTGTCCCCAGCGGCGTGACGCTCGGCTCTTGGAGAAGCGCCTCTCGGTCATCTCCCACTTCGGCGCGGCCATCCCCGCAGAAGTCCGGGGGCGGGAGCTCCCTCTTCAGCATATCCACCGAGTTCTGATAGGAGCCCGGCCGGCGCTGCCGGCTGCTGTCTTTGTAGGAGATGGTGGGGGACATGTCGCACACGTAGTCCAGCGCCGTCGTCCTCGGGACCGGGGAGCCTTTCCCCCGCCGCGGCGGCAGCAGGGCAGCTCAAGGGAGGCTTCCAGCTCCGCCCCGCCTGGAACAGGGGCCCGGCCTTCCCTCCTCCGCCTCCCACCTGGGCCTAACCAGCTCCAGGTCAGAGGGGTCCCCTCACACCCGCTGGAAGGGCGGAGAAGTCGAGGACGCTTCAGGCTCGTCAGCTGGAAGTCACGGGCCTCCTCGCGGAGCTTCCCCACCAAAACAAAGCAGTAGCTTCTTCCTCGTCGACAAAAAACCAATTTCCCTTCTCCCGGCCCCCAAAAGTCCGTTAGGAAACCATGAAGGGAAATAAATTCCTGCCCACCCCCCAGGCCCACCCCAACCCCACTTTCTACCCGGCACGGTCCGACGCGTCCAAGTTCCCCGGCTGGAAACACAACCCGGCTCGCAAAGGTACCGCCAAGGCAGCCGAAGAGCTCTGAGCAGCCGTGGTCCTATCTGACTGGAGGAGCAGGCGAGCTACGTCACCGGGAAGCCATCCTATCAAGAGGAAGCGAAGGGATAGGGAAGCGGGCTCCAAGGAACAGAAGCTTCGCTTCCGGTTCTCAAAGAAAGTGCTTAAAAGCAGGGAAGAGAGGCGGGAAAAGATCCGTGAGGGGTAGAGCGGCTTTTTGGAGGCCGGAAGTGAAGAGCCGCGTGCTTATTTTGAGCAGCTGCAGGGGTTGCGTTGCGTTGTGTGCGCTTGCTTCAAACCGAGTCTGCCAAGTTTTGCAACTTCCCGATCCTCATTGATACCTGCAAACACCTCAGCACCCTGCATTAACCCTAACCATGCCTCCCCCCAAAATAAGTTCTGTTAAGTGCCATTGCCCTTCCCTCTTCTGGCAAATAGGTGTATAGGGCTGTAGCTGGCTTACCTGGGAGCAACCAGGTAAATTCAGTAGTTCTGAGAAGACATGGTTAGCTAGGGTTGCCCGCCTCTCCTGTGTTGTCGCATATTCCAATGCAAAATGCTACGTCCTGTATTGATAGTTTTCTATTGCAGGTTTCTGCCAAAGGATCCTCTCTTAAATGCATGTGTTTGGAAGGGAGTGTGAAACATGGGCTTAGCCAGGATTTTTGTTAGGGGGTGCAGGACCTCAGTTTAGTATTTTTATTGTTCTCTCTTGATTTGGGGGAGGTCAACTCCCCACGCCCATGGTGTGAAAGGTCATATTTAAGCTCTGGGCAGCCAAGCTCAGAGACGTGTTACAAATCCATGCGTGTGTTGACAATAGGCTGCAACAGATTGGTAATGGGTTGCTGAAGTCACATTATTATTATTATTATTAATTGAATTTATATACCGCCCTATACACGGGGGTTTCAGGGCGGTTCGCAGAATAAAATCAATATATAAAACCACAAAATACATAATAAACACAAAAACAACAACACTTCAGCACCAGATACAAAAATAAAAATCGTGCCCCCTATATTTGGCCAGAACAAAGGCGGCAACCCTAGTTAGGACTGCGGTGTAATCAGTTTACGGCAAACCACGAAGGGGAAGCTAGGAGAAGGAAGGAAGAACATCGGCGTCGACTGAATCTCTTGGTGCATTTTTATTGCAGCAGCAGCAGCAGCAGCAGCAGCAATGAAGGCGCGACTCCTGCAAGTGTCCGGCAAGCGGCGCTGCGCCCTGGTGCGCGCGGAAGCCCGAGGAAAGTAAGGCGCAGGCAGTGGCGGCGCCTGGTCAGCCATGGCGGGGCAGCGAGGCGGGGAGCCTGCGAATTACGTCTCTCGCCTCTCGGCATGGGCGGACGAGCACCTCACCCTCGTCCGGGTAGGAGCAGTGGCGAGGGAGGGAGCCGGGTGGCGCCTCGGCAAGGCGCGCTTGCTTGCCTTCGCCCTTAGGTCTTTGGGGATAGGCTGAAACGAAAAGAGGTCAGAACGGCGACGACCAAGACAATAAATGGGCACGCTGAATCTCTGCAGCCCGGGATCCCTGCTGCTTCTCCAAAGATGTCGTGGCCGCGCACCATCGTTGGGGATGGGCACTAAGCATATGCTCCAAGGCGCTCTTTCCCTTTTTGATTGCGTGCCCTGGAGGCACGGGAACAGGTTCTGGTTTGTAGCTCTGCTGCGCCAGGCTATTTTGGTTCCGCCTTTGCTCACATGCACGATTTGCTTCACTGGCTGAGGGGAAAACATTTGGTCCTCCTTGTGAGGGAAGGGTTTGATTTCGTGGAGTCAAACGATGTTCAAAGATGTTAGGAAATACTAACTTGTAAACGTGTTCTTCCTTCAAAGTATAAAGTGTGTTTTGTCATGTGGGGCAAAGAGGGGTTGGGGAACGGGGGTGATACAGACTTGGGAAATAGTTCTGGAGACAAGAACTGAATGCCACAGCCACCAGGTCTGTAAAAAAGGTAAAGGACCCCTGACAGTTAAGTCCAGTCGCGAATGCGTTTACCTTCCCGCCAGAGCGGTACCAATTTATCTACTTGCACTCTGACGTGCCTGCCGACCTTCCAATCGGTAAGCCCTAGACCAGGCTTCCTCAAACTCAGACCTCCAGATGTTTTTGGCCTACAACTCCCATGATCCCTAGCTAGCAGGACCAGTGGTCAGGGATGATGGGAATTGTAGTCTCAAAACATCTGGAGGGCCAAGTCTGAGGAAGCCTGCCCTAGAGTCAGTGGTTTAGACCCCAGCGCCACCCGTGTCCCTACCAGGTCTGTAGCCCTGATCTAAATTGTGCTTGCATTTACACTTTTAAAAGACCTTCCCTGTGGCTGTAATTACACTTTAAAAAGACCACAGGAGATTTAGGCTTTATTTGGTTTAATTTTAAAAAAATAAGCTGTTCAATTAATTAAGGCAACTTTTTAACTGTTCAAAATATTTTTAATTGATTAATTGTCTAAACTGGAGGTTTACACCACATCAACTGGAATCAAGGGGTCTCAAGAGGGAAATTCTTCAGGGGTGCAAGGTCTTGAATACTTGTTGTCTTTTTTCTTCAGACAAAACACATTTTAAGGTTTATGGCAGCACATATATCACAACCTTTTAGAAAAAATGTTTTCAGCTTCAAGGCTGAAGTTCTAAAAGCTATTGCAGTAAAGATATTTTTTGCTTGGTTGAAACAAAAGCAATACAGCGGGAGCTCGGGTTACAGATGCTTCAGGTTACAGACTCCGCTAACCCAGAAATAGTACCTCGGGTTAAGAACTTTACCTCAGGATGAGAACAGAAATCACACGGCGGCGGCACAGTGGCAGCGGGAGGCCGCATTAGCTAATGTGGTATCTCAGGTTAACTACAGTTTCAGGTTAAGAACGGACCTCTAGAACGAATTAAGTTCTTAACCTGAGGTACCACTGTAGCTATTTCTGAATTCTTAGACTAATTGCACTCTATGCACCGAAGGTAGTCAGTTTATGAGGCTTGCTCCCTGACAGGCATGTTTAGAATGGGTTGAAGTATGCAAGTATGCAAATATCAGGAGATCAAGAAATCTAGGGCAGTAGATCTAGCACTAATGATCAGGAAAAGTCCGAGCATAAAGGTGTGTTAAAAATAAAATTAAAAGGCTTCCGGTCAGTGCCAGCAGCAATGGCGGACCTCCTTTGATGTTCGGAGGGGGTAGCCCAGTGGGAGATCGGGTCCTGTGCGCTCCGGCGAAGCGGGGACCCTTAGAAATCGCAGGCGCGGACGCCTGCGAACGTGGAGGCTCGGCGGGCACCTTGAAGCGCCCCCCCCAACCTGAAAGGAAGCCTTTTCGAGGCTTCGGAAGGGAGCGGGGGAGAAGCGCGGTGCTGCGAGCGGATCGCTGCTCCCACTGAGCGAAGCCGCGTTGCCGTTGCTGGAGAGCGCTGACTTATTCCTGGGACATTCGGACTCAAAAACTAACCGTGAGTAGAAGAATTGGATAAAAGAGCAAGATTTGGATTAATTTGGAACTTTGGCGAAAAAGCGGAAAAGTTTAAAGCTTTTTAAAAAATGGCTGAATTGGCTACCGCGGTGGAAGCGTAAACAGGAAGTCGGCTTCACTGCATTGTATAAAGAACAAAGCAAAGAGATTTGGAGCTAAACGTGGGAGAGCTGAATTGAAATAAGCGTGTTCTTCTGACCTGAGGACTTTGGAGGGATCTACCCTTAGGAGAGTTAAGGGAAAGACTTTTGATTTTACTGGATCGTTTAAATTGAAGGATTAAATGAGTGATCTGTCACTCAGCTGTCAAAGCTGTCAAAGTTGCTAAAGCTGTTTGCTGGCTGCAAAGGAGATACATAGTGGCCAATTTTACTGGGAAAAGATTGGAAAAGACTGGAAAGTTATATTGTGTCTTTTACTTTGGACTCTTTTTTTCTCTTACTTAGTATCTTTCCCTTGTTGTTCTAAAAGACAGTAACTTGCTAGGTGGCAACAGTGTCCATCTAGTGGGATTTTCTGCAATTGCAGGAAAGGAAAGGAATTTTCCAATTATAAACAGGAAGAGCAGACGTGGGAAAGTAATTTGACCTTCACTCTGTTATGGCTGATGGTTACAAGGACCAGTCAACCTTGAGATCAGGGAAACCTTGGACACATAGAAGGCAATCATCTGCTGGTTTGCCTACATCGGCAACACAATCTAAGTCTGGTGGAATGTCTGAGGAACTTTTAGCTAGTGCTCTGTCTAAGATTAATGATTCAATACAGCAGCTATCTACAAAAGTGGGGGAGACGAACAGGAAGGTGGAAGAGACCAATCAGAAACTGGATATTGCAAACAGGAAAATTGACCTAAATACAGAAACATTAGGTAATTTGGAGAAAAAAGTAAATAGCAATACGGAATCTATTCAGAAACTGCTGCAAGACTCAAAGTCTATACAGGAAAAAACTGCTGCTGTAGAGTTCAAATTGGGGCAGTTGGAAACTGAAAAAGTACCAGACTTACAGAAAGAGATTGCAGAACATAAGTTAACGTTATCTATGATTGACCTCAAAGACAAACAAACGAATCTTAGAATCAGAGCTGTTCCTGAGTTGGAGAAAGGTACTTTGATAGATTTTTGACACAAGAATTTCTGGACTTTTGGAAATCGGAATTGAAACAAGAGGATTTTAAGATTGTGAGGGCCTTTCGACTGGGGAAAGGAGGAAGAAAGATTAAAATAAGGGACTGTTTGATTACTCTTCGATCTAAGGAAGAAAGGGACAAAATTTTGGGTTTACATTACGAAAAACCCTTGACAATTATACAATCAAAAGTTGAAATTTTTAAAGATATACCAAAACATCTTCTTGATTTAAGAAAGGACTTTGGAGACCTGGTGGACTTGTTGAGAAAAAATAAAATTCTCTTTAGGTGGGAATTTCCCCAAGGTCTATCCTTTAGCTTTAAAGGAAGAAAGACCAAGATTAGATCAGTGGAGGAAAAGAACAAGTTTCTGAGTGTATACAAAGAAGACCTACTGAAAGGATTGGGAAAAGACATCACGATACCGGCCAAGAGTCTGCAAAAAAAAGGGAAACCAACGCCACCGACAGACATAGACAACCTTCTTGGGGCTGCTGGAGGAGAAGGAGAGTAGTTACAAAATGACACTACAAATTTTAAGCTGGAATATTAATGGCCTAAATTGTCGGCTAAAAGGGGAAGAGTATTTCATACACTGAAAAAAGAACATTTGGACTTGATCTGTTTACAAGAGACTCATGTGACAAGGCTACATCGGAAAATTTTGACAAATAAAAGATTGGGAGAGGAATTTATCTCATCGGACAATGTTAAAAAAAGAGGGGTAGTACTTTATGCGAAGGAAAGCCTGTCACCAAAATTTATATTTAAAGATGATCAAGGAAGATATATAGCAATTGAAATTCAATTCCAAGGACAGAAATTTTTGATAATAGGTGTATACGCACCAAATGAGGGAAAATCAGAATTCTTCAAGAAATTGCATGAAACTCTCCTGGACTATTTGGATTACAATATTATTTTGATGGGAGACATGAATGGAGTAGTGTCTACAAATATGGACAAAGCCCAAAGACAAACAGTGACAAAAGATGGAAGATTACCAAAGACATTTTTTGAAATGACTGACAATATGGATCTTGTGGATATTTGGCGAATGGTCAAAATTGAAGTTATCATTGCTGGGCCGAATTGCTGCGATAAAGATGAATGTATTGCCTAGAATGTTGTTTTTGTTTCAAACACTACAAATTGTGGATAAAATGGACTGTTTCAAGAGGTGGCAAAGAGATATTTCTAAATTTATCTGGCAGGGCAAAAGCCCAGAATAAAATTTAAGATATTAACAGATGCAAAGGAAAGAGGGGGATTTGCCCTGCCAGATCTTAAACTTTATTATGAATCAGCCGCTTTTTGTTGGCTGAAAGATTGGCTACTTCTTGAAAATGTGGACATTTTAGATTTAGAAGGTTTCGATAATGTGTTTGGGTGGCATGCATATTTATGGTATGACAAAGTTAAAGCGCATAAGGCCTTCAAGAATCATATTGTCAGGAAAGCATTATTTAATGTTTGGGTGAGATATAAGGATTTGTTGGAAAGTAAAACACCAAGGTGGCTGTCACCAATGGAGGCTAAGGCTTTGGAAAAAACAAACATGGAGACAAATTGGCCAAAATATTGCGAAATTTTAGAACAAGTCGGAGATAAATTAAAATTGCAGAGCTTTGACAAATTAAAAACTAAAGTCCGAGATTGGTTGCATTATTATCAAATAAGGGAGGTTTTTAACTTAGATAAAAAGATAGGTTTCAGGAGGAAAAATCTAAACTGGAAACGGAATTGTTAGAACCTAAAACCAAAAATTTGTCAAGAATGTATAATCTGCTGTTGAAATGGAATACACAGGATGAAATGGTTAAATCTGCTATGATTAAATGGGCGCAAGATGTGGGGCATAATATTATGTTTGCTGACTGGGAAAGGTTATGGAACACAGGTATGAAATTTACGGCCTGTAACGCCTTAAGAGAAAACATAATGAAAATGATATATAGGTGGTACTTAACCCCAGTCAAGCTAGCAAAAATTTATCATCTGCCTGATAATAAATGTTGGAAATGTAAAGAAAATGAAGGTACTTTTTTCCACCTTTGGTGGACGTGCCCAAAGATCAAGGCCTTCTGGGAAATGATATATAATGAACTAAAAAAGGTATTGAAATATACTTTCTTGAAGAAACCAGAGGCCTTCCTCTTGGGCATGGTCGGCCAATTGGTGCGAAGGGAAGACAGGAATTTCTTTATGTATGCGACAGCAGCGGCAAGAATACTCATTGGGAAATACTGGAAGACACAAGAATTGCCTACCCGAGAAGAATGGCAGAGAAAAGTGATAGACTATATGGAACTGGCTGAGATGACCGGCAGAATACGAGACCAAGAAGAAGGGTCGATGGAAGAAGATTGGAAAAAATTTAAAACATATCTTCAGAAATACTGTAATATAAAAGAATGCTAGAAAAGGTTGGAGAAGAACATTAGACCGTATTGGCAGACAGAGTATAATGGAATAAGTAAATATGTAGTGTAAAATAAAAATAGAGGAGAATTAAATATTTTTGAATGTTAAATTAAGTAAATGAAAAGAAGGTTAGAAGGGTTTGCTGGAGATACGATTTAAATTAGAATACAAAGCAGAGAAGTGAGAGGAAGTCTTGGAAATAAGTAAATGGGAAAATGATCTTAATGGTTTAATTTGATTTTTTGTTATTTTTGTATTGTGATTTTTTGTCTTTTGTATTTTTTTTCTGTATCGTGTGGTGTTCTTTTTTTTTTTGTAGGGTGTATGTGATTTGTTTTTCTTTTTTTGCTTTTTTCTTTCTATGTAATCTTAAAATTGGAATAAATATTCTTTAAAAAATAAAAAATAAAAATAAAATTAAAAAGATGGAAGCTTGCTACTATCCATGCTTCCCAGAATACTCATATGAAAATTTATGCACATGCCGTAAATAAAATTTAGAGGCTTAATCTATTGCAATTCATTTCACTGAGTTGCTGCTCTTCCTGCCTAGACTCACTCTCACTAGCAGAGATTTGGGCAAAGCGTGAACAGCAGCAAAGGTTTGCATAGACCCATATGAAGCTGGCTGCATAAGGAGAGGAGGTGTGGAAGAGCATCTGTTGCTATTCACACTCTGGAGAGAGAGGAAGTTGGAAGTGAAAGTGGTTGAGGTTCAAAATAATGAGTGTGTGTGTGTTCCTTGTTACCAGAGGCTATTCTGGGAGTCAGATGGGAGACCTCTGGGTTCTGCTGGGCTACCTGCAGAACCTGGATCAAAACCAGTAAACAAAAATCAACAAAATAGATTTTCAATATGTCATATTTTCTAAGATTGGCTCATTTGTGATGGGCAACAGTTTCAGAATGGCAACATCTCTGAGCAAATTCGATATGTCAATCATTTGTAGTTTAGTGTGCACAATGCTGTGATGACCATGTTCAAAATATGTTCCTAAGCATATTTACTCATAACCCAAAGATGTTTCAGTAGTGGTTCCTTGCCATCCTGGAAACAAGTGAGAAGTGGGGTGCTACAGAGTTCTGTCAGGGTTGAAACCGGGTATGCTTAGCCTAGAGAAGAGGCAGAGATGATATGATAGCCATCTTCAAGTATCTGAAAGGTCATCACATAGAAGAGGGAGCAAACTTGTTTTCTGCTGTTCCAGAGGGTAGGATTCGAACCAATGGATTCAAGTTACAAGAAAAAAGATTCCATCTAAATGTTAGGAAAGAATTTCTGATGATCAGAACTGCTTTGAGAGTGGAATAGATTTCCTTGGAAGGTGGTGGACTCTCGTTCATTGGAGGTTTTTAAGCAGAGGTTGAGTGGCCATCTGCCAGGCATTCTTTAGCTGTGATTCCTGAATTGCTGGGGTTAAACTAGACGACCTTTGGAGTCCTTTCCATCTTAGAAGTCCCAAGTATTTTAATGAGGTTTGGGGTTGCAGTTACTTGCATTTTAGCACAATCCCATGCATATTTACTCCAAAGTAAGCTCTACTCTAAAGCCGCTTTGAGGTTTGTTTGCTTTTTACTACCAAGTGGTATATAAATTTTATGGAGAGGGGAATACAATCCCAAGAGTAAGCCATGTGGAATTCAATAAGACTTACTTCTGAATAGGCCCAGTTAGGATTGTGCTGCTCAGCAGATGCCCAAAAATAATTATAAATTTTGTATCATTTACTTTACTTTTATTTATTTAACTTTTTCTTTAAATAATGGATTGCTTAGAGAAAACTAAATCTGAGATCCCTTTGTAAACTTAGTTTTGTTGTTGTTGTCTAGATTAACCGAAACCTAAGTCAGAAAACCTTTCTGACACATAACTGTGGCTGCTCTCAGATATGTATTTTTTGCTTTCCTCTTTATAATGATAGCATGCTCTGGCTTCAGTTAAATGAAAGTCATGCAGTGGAGACTTAAACAATTTATGAAATAATTTATTATGTTGTTTTCTGCAGAACATCAGCACGGGAATGGCGATAGCTGGAGTAATTTTACTTGCAAAGAGTGTAAAGTTGGTAAGTTATGTATTGGATTTAATAATGTTTATGAGTTGCCTGAAGCGGTTAGGTGCTGCACATAGCACAAGTTCAATAATGAGCAGTAATTGCTTGCTTATCTGTAATTTTTAGCCAAAGTCTATTATTGTAATTGAGCCTTTTCAATCTGAAGTGTACTTTTAGCAGAATATTTAGATCTCTAGCCTGCTTGATCCCCAGAGTAAGCTGAAATTTGAAAACACAAGCAGATTCGCTTGTTTTCTAACTAGAATGAATATAAAATAAATTACTTCCCGTTAAAATGGTGGTTTTATCTATTCAGGGCCAATTGAAATGAAGAGGACTTAAGAATCCTTCCCAGAACTGTCAAGCTTTGTTGATTTTTCACTCTTAGGACTTTAAAAGGTTTAAATGCCCGGGGACCATCATATCTTAAGCAGTATCTCTCCATATATCAATCCACATAATCATTGAGATCCTTCAGGGAGTGTTGTAATTGCCAACTAGGTAAGCTTGGCTGATGCATGGAACAGGGGCTTGTCACTCATGGCCCCTCCTCTACAAGAAGACCTGTCAAAGCCCATCATCACTTGTTCTTAGAAACAAGACTTTGGGGGTCTCATTTAACATATTTAATTATACGTAACGGTGCACCACATTTTGGCTGTTCAGTTTGTTGTGAAAAGATGACATCCAGCTGCTCCAGTTTCTCAGTTAATAGAAATGGCCTAGAATATATAAATACAGGCATGAAATATCAGTTTGCCTTAACCTAGGAATTATTTTTTGCTAGGGGAGGGGTCATACCTCTGGCAAGAGATACAAATTGTGTTCCTTCTGGGGTAGTTTGCCACCTTTGATCTCCACCCTGCTCTCACTTATAGCTCTATAGAAACGCTGGCCTAAACTATTGCAAGGGTTTCTAAGGGGTTGCTCGTGCGTAAGCAGGTACCTATCTCCCTGGCTGGGTGCAAACACCTGGCTGGGCTGCCAAAGTGAACCTCATCTGTCCAGACTGCCACTCACCCGTGGCTGACTCAGTCGCTGGCAGAATCCATGAGTGGGCATTTCTTAAACTTCTTCCAGCAAAGAAGCTCTTTGACGCCTAGTCTCCGCCTACCCTCTCTGCGCGAAAGCCTTCTGCGCAGGGAGGGCGTGGGCAACGGAGGACCCCTACTCTCCCCGCTGGTCCCAGGCAAGGAGTCATGGGACCGCCTTGCCACTTCCCCCACCTGCCCCCCTTCTCCACTGGTGCTACGCTGATTCTCTTCCCCAGAAGATGGGCTGCTTCTCCCGATCCCTGGACGCTCTCTGGAATCCCTCTGGTTTTTGCGCTCTTCCTCCAGTACTGATGGCAGTTCCCTGACAACTATTTACCCCCAACCTATTTCAAAATTAGAGTATTAGCCCTTTTGGCTTAAAAAAAAGGCAGTCTGAACAAAACTCCTGGTCTCTCTTAATGAATGCCTCGCTAAACAACGAAACAAAACCCTTCTGGAAACTGGTCTCCGGTTTCCTGAGCAATAGCTCCCCAGCCCCATCTGTGCCATTCCAGCTCAGGTATGGGAGAACCATTTTAGAAATATATTCATGGAAAATTCAAATCTCCCCGCCAGTTTTTATGATGAAGATTTGGCAGAACTGTCACTGCTCCCACAATGGAGCCCAGTTACAGTGGAAGAAGTCTATACATTAATTGGGAACCTGAAGAGTGGTAAGGCCCTGGGAAATGACTTTATCTCAGCTGAATTGATCATATCAAATCAGCACTGGTGGGCTCCTCTTCTGGTGGCACTTTTTACGATAGTAAATAACTCGGGCAAAGTACCGTCTAGCATGCAATAGTAGTCCCAATCTTTAAGAGAGGCCAGCCAAACATGCCTTCTAATTATAAGCCAATCAGTCTGCTTTCAACTATAGGAAAGCTGTGCGCCCGCTTTCTCTGAAACAAACTGACAACTTTTCTAAATGACTATAATATCCTATCTGAAACTCAGGCAGCTTTCCATGAAAACCACTCAACATCAGACCACTGTCTAATGCTGTCCCTCCTAGCCGAGAAGTACACCAGACCTCTACAGGGAAAACTTTGTGGCCTTTATGGACCTGAAATCTGCCTTTGACTCCATCTCCAGATTCCAACTATGGTCCGAATTACATCTAGCACTGAAGGATAAACGTCTCCTATATCTTATAAAAGCCCTGTACTGTGGAAGCAATTAGCAGGTTAGGTGTGGGTTGCAGGGCCAGCTCTCAGACTGTATTGAGATGGACAGCGGAGTGAGACAGGGATGCATTTTGGCCCCTACTTTGGTCAGTTTGTTTCTGAATGACGTAGAGGCAAGCTTAATGGACCCTGATGGCCATCTTCTAAAGATAGGGATGAGAAAGACCCCCCTCTTGTTGTATGCGGATGACGCAGCCATCCTCTCCCGAACCTAGGGCTTCTATTTCATCATTCCAAGTCCTGGAAACATCATTGGTAAACCGCCTATCAAAAGGCAGAGGTAAGCAAACTGGCTATACTATTCTTTTATACAAGGAGAGGCCATTATGTTCCATCAGCCATTAAGGTATTTAATGCAACATCTGTCTCTCAACTCCTCTATGCCTCAAATGTCTGGTTCAATGGCTCATTCTCCAGGTTTGATGGCTTCCATGTAAAGTTTCTCTGGTCCCTCCTACAAGTTCCAAATTGTGTTCCAAATGCAATACTGTTTTCAGAAACAGGTGAATGTCCTCTATCAACTAAAGCATGGTGGGCTGCCCTGAGATACTGGCTCAAGATCTCAGTCTTTGGCCTAGGGAAGGGGTTACTTCCATACCTAAACAATGAGTTTACCAGCTCATGGATGAAAATTATGGTTAGAAAAGCCTCTTCGATTGGTATTCCACCTTCTCTCCTGTACCATCTGGGCTTTGATTCCGCCCTGGAATCTCTGAGGCAAAGGCTCTGGGACATATCACATAGTGATCTCCGATCTCAATCTCATGTTATCTGTGGCCCATTAGCAGTAGGAATTCACTATGGGTTCGAGTTCCAGACACCTGCATATCTTAGAAATTTGTCTGTACCAACATATCAGCATCTTTTCACCAAAGCCAGATTAAATGTATTCCCATCAGAAGTGTTAAACGGCGGACTGAGAGGTATCCCTTATCAAGATAGGATCTGTTGACTGCATGAGGCATATTTTATTGCATTGCGGACAATATGATCAAGCTAGGGAACTATTGATTAAACCACTATTGGCAAATCGGCCGGGTCAGTCTGAAGCCTACCATATCAAATATCTCCTGGATGACAAGTCCAATGATATCACAGTGGCCGTGGCAAAGTTTCTTTCAGTAGTCATACGAATCAAAGATCAACATACCCATGACTAAACAAATAACGCTTCGGTCTCCCTTCCCTGGGGGTTTGTCTGTATGAATCTGTATTTTATTCTGAATCCATGTTATGGGTTGTTGGACCACAATAAAGATTATTATAAAATAATCAGATTTCAACTGGAATATCTAGGAGACATTTCTTGTTTTTTTCACATAATTTGGGACAGCTTTTTCACGTGTTACTTTCCCCTACAAACCTTTTTTGAGAGATTGGCTGGAAAACAGCCTCATGTGTTTCCTTGAAACGCAATAGACTAGTTGGGCATTAGTGTTTCAAGGCTCTGTTTGTGTCCCAGGCTAGTCACGTATTTCACAGACAAAACATATTAGGCTATTTCCCAGCCAAATCCTTATTTGTTAAGCAAGCAAATGAGGAAAACTGACGTGGAAAGCGGCATTGTAACAGTTGCTTGATGGCCCAAATCAAACTTCACTTCTTTAAGGATGTAAATCACTACGATATTAGCTACTTTGTACAGGACTATGTTCTGTGTTAAAACAGCTGCTTTTATATGCGTTCTATTAACCTTCCATTGCTATTTTATGTTGCGTTGTTTCTCTCTCCCCAAATCACCCAGGATGTTTCTCTTAAATTATGTTTGACTTCCTTTGTCAGTACCTGTATGGGTCTTCCGGCACATGGCAAATAAATATTGACTTTCCTGGGCAGTTTTCCACTTTGCGATCTATGTAGATCTCCTCCTATGAGTATATGAATCATTTTCTTGACAGTGTGGAAACCTATATTGTTCAAATGGGGGTTGGTAATTTACAGATGAGATGGACAGTAGCATCACTGTGTAATTTAAAAAAAAAAATCTGCTTCACATGATTTTTGTTTTATTCGCAGAACTATCTGATGAGATACATTGCTTTAGAAAAGGTATCTTATACTGTTGGTACACTCTCTCCTTCCCAGATGGAGAACGGGATACCTGTGTGTGTGTGTGTGTGTGTGTGTGTATGTGTATGCAATTTGTTTCATGTGCTCAATTAGTGACCGGCCCATAAGCAATCAAGATTCAAATGTCTCAGTGTGCCCACTGGGATTTCTGAAGACCAAATTGATAGGCCCCTGATTTCTTCTTTTCAGAAGCTGTCATCTCAGGCTGGTGATATTGTGAGTGGCTGTGTGCGAGGGCCAGTGCAGAAAAGTGGTAGGTGTGAAGCAGTAGCAATATTAATAGTAGCAGCAATACCATGAGTTGGCAGGGAGTAAAAGAACAGATAATGGCAATGTGAGAGACACATTACCACTTCATTGACTATCCTCCCTCTTTGCCATTGGAACGCTTTGCCTCCTGCCATCCATCTGGCTCCTGTTGTTGCATTTAAACACCTCCTTCAAAACTTGGCTGCTCACCATCTTTCTCCAACTCAGTCTTCCACCTTTACCATTCCCCGCCTCTGCCCTTGCTTTGAATTTCATTTTGTATCTTGCAAGCCAGAGGGTGGGCTTTGTTTTTAAAAGGTAAAAGGTAAATGATCACTGGATGGTTAAGTCCAGTCAAAGGTGACTATGGGGTTGTGACGCTCATCTCGCTTTCAGGCCGAGGGACCTGGCTTTTGTTCACAGACAGCTTTCCAGGTCATGTGGCCAGCATGACTGAACTGCTTCTGGCGCAACGGAACACTGTGACGGAAGCCAGAGTGCATAGAAATGCTGTTTACCTTCCCGCCACAGCGGTACCTATTTATTGACTTGTGCTGGTGTGCTTTCGAACTGCTAGGTTGGCAGAAGCTGGGACAGAGCAACGGGAGCAGGGATTTGAACTGTTGACCCAAGAGGCTCAGTGGTTTAGAACACCACACCACCTGCATCCCTTTGTTTTTATATGCAACTTGTCTAGTTGAGATGTAGCCTAGGAGTCGGCTTCAGTGTGTGAGCAGGTCTTGCTATGTTTTAAATTTTAAATTAGTCAGCGCTGTGCAGTTTCTGTGGCCAAACATGGTTTCACTGGAGTATTTTCCATGTTAAGAATATGTCATGTCAGTTGCTTTTGGAAAGCCAGACTAAGCGCAATCAGCAGACTTGTTCCATTATGTTTATTTACAGAACCTTCGGATGTTGTTTGCAAGGTCTTCTGTTTCTGTGAAGAGACCTTGCAGGACAACAGGAGAGAAGGATTGGGTAATAAATTAATTCCTGGTGGCTTGACCTCCTCAGTAATAGAAGCCAAATGTGATATGAGCAACATAGCAAAAGACCATTCTCGTGGTAAACTCTAGTTACTCTGCTGGGCCCTGCTCCATTTACCAGCTTCTCCTACATCCGTACTGCTTTTTCAGAGGTGGGCATCCACCCTCCACACTTCTCTTCCCCTCCCCACCCCCCAGAACCTGGCTCCTTTTCCTTCTGAGATGAGTTGAGGCTGAGGACCTGATCCCATTGAGGGAAATGTGCCAAAGTTGCTAGTAGCACGTTGCTAGTAGGATGTCTATAGGGCAACATCATACGTTAAATTTTGAAATGTCCCAGGAATATACTTTAAAATGGTAAAATGCAACAAGCATGTTTGCAAGCCCATGTCTCACACAGATAATATTCAGAAGGGAACTGTGCGGGGTTGCTCTCCTTTGTTGAATGTGCACTCATCGGCAGCCCATAATGTGTGAAACAGCTCTTAAGTAAAAAGAAGAAGAAGGGGAGAGATATGCACATATATTTTCTCGTAAGGCCTGATTTTCTTCAATTGTTTCAATGTATAGCCCATTCTATGTCAGGGGCTTGAAGGTGAGTTGTGATATGTGGATCACAAAGTCTTAAACTGCTTCATATAATAGGTTTATAGAATGACAACTTGCCATTGAGTGATACCTGTAACGGGTTATAGCTTGGAAACATTTGCTGGTATCTTGTTATGTGAATTAAATGATTACAGAGATCTATCCGGACATTACAAGTTCTTCATTTTTTTATTCCCTCTCCCCTGTCTCTTTCCTTTTTTCATGAAAAGACAACCAAATTCACAACTGCTATGGAAATACCAGTGGAATTTATAGAGAAGAACGTTAAGTTGCGGGGACGGTTGCACCGAATAAGTGAACGAGGATTGGAAATTGAACATGTTCCTATTACCCTTCCAATCATTTCATCTTTGCAGAGAAGATGTAAGTAGGATGAAAGACATGCTTGAGCCCATAGTGGCCAAGTTAAACATTATTTAACTATCTGCAAACTTGATACTGTTAATAGCATGATTGTCACAGTCTGTACCTTTCTGCTCATTTTGTCCTGACCTCACCCTTCCACACAATTCCACCACCCCAATCATGTAGGTATGTATGTACAAACTCAGAATAACACTTCATGCATTTTATGAAAAGGAGTTTATTCCAGGAAAGCTTATGCCACAAGAGTCCTTTTTGGTTTTGATACTTAATAATATCCCAATCGGCCTGGTATCATTGAATGGAATCCCCAGAAAATGCATACGCAAAGCAAATACAATATGTGCTTAGACATTGCAAAAGAATTTGAGTGCTTTAACTGTAATCCTAGCTACGTATTTAATTCAATGAGACTTGTTCTCAGGGAAGTGGGGTTAGGGTTGCTGGCTTAATCTCTTTGAGAAATCCATGGGAAATGAAATCCAGGAAAGTGAAAATAGAATAGCAAGGACCCAAAGTGTTGCACAACTTGTTCCACTTAACTCAGAGGCAATTCAGGGTTGCTTTTTCCCCATGCTACATGAGATACAACTGAGGAGAATTTCAAAAGCCATTTGCTTGGGTCTACTGTTCAAGTAAAAGGTAGCAAAAATCTTACTGAGCTGAGCATAACTAAGCCCTTGGGCTAAAAGTAATTCTTAAGCGTAGTGATTCTGGAATTCTAGAACTATTGTACCTACCATGTGCTCCTTTCTTACTTCTGCATTGCTTGATGTAGAGATAACATTGTATTTCCATAACAGTGTCGCACAGATGAAAATAACTGCATCGTTGACTGTTTTCCTACTTCAAAGACAGAGGGCCTAGTATTTTTCAAGTATAATCCATCCTATCCTAGCTATAGAGTGAACATTTTCTAAACGAGGACTACTTCACACGTTACAGCTTGAGCAGTTTGTACTTATAGTATAAAATTTGAAGCACATACTTCTTATTTTCTCAAGCCTTCTGCACACCTTGGAAACACATGCTGTGGGACTAAGGTTAACTGTCACTCCTTACAGGAGATTATTTACAAGGGTTGTCTTTGCTATTTACGTTCCTCAAATGTTGTTCTGTCGGGTGCACAGCGCAGGTGTATAGCCTGTACCATTTAAATAAGCAACGTCAAAATATGTTTTCCTTTTTCATGTCTGTATCCCGGCCACTTTTGATACAGAAAGCTGTACAGCACAGTTGGTCTCTGGTGATGGAAGGTTATTATATTCCACATCATTGGAAATATGAATGAATGAAATCTTCATTGCTAAAAGCTATAAGCCGTCACAATGCATAGAATACAAATAATTGATTTAAAACTGAACAACAACAGCAAAGCAAACATACAAAAATGCAAAAATCACACCTGCATAAGTTAAGCACTCCACTTCTCACACTTCCCCTTATGATACTTGTCTTGGTGCCTAGCTCTCAACTTACTTGCAGCCAAGGCAAAGTTTGCAACCAGTGCAGTAATAAATACATTATTGCCAGCCAGCAAAATAGAGATTTTCTCAAGGGGAGGTGGGTTTGAAAGAGAGCAAAGGATGTAGTCGAGGAATTTTTTTCTAGGGGATGTATATAAAGGGCACTGTAACAAATAGGGTTCAATGTCCTCCACATTTCCCGACTCACAGATGCAAAGTCTTTGTTATTAAATCTTCCCATTAGATATGCAGAGGGCATGCACTGAGAACACAAAGCTCTAAATACTTTTCTAAGTGTTCCCAGCATGAGATTAATAAAGTATTGCTCCATCCCCAAAGATGTTTTATATATTGGATATCAGGATGCGTATGCCATCTGGAAAAGTGAATGAAGGTCCCTCCGTTTAAAGTCCAAATAAATTTTTTCTTTGATGAGTTGCTTGACTCTGTTAGAGGCAAAATTTGGTAGGGAGTCCACATTAATCCCATAATAATGGAGAATATTGGAAATATTACAAGGCAAATGATTTCTGAAGTAGCTTTGGCTCTTTCAGCCTATGGCAAATGTTAACTTAAAAAAAAAAAAGCCCCCAAAACCCACAGTTCTAGCTGTAAAACCAAGAATATTCACTCAAGCTGCGAAATTTTCCATGTAAACCTAGCAGATCAGAACCCCAGCTGCTTAGATTTATTAAGCCAACAAAGTGTCTCTGATAATGTTGTAATTAAACAATGTTATTGTGCATGCATCCTTAGGGAATTCAGATGGTTTATTGCTGATCAGACTTGCTGGTGTGGAGCTAACACCAGATGGCACGGTCTGGTTGAAAGAAGAGGTAAAACCCCCACAGATGATGTGGTTCCAACTTCTGGGAAGAAAGGACTCAGCGCTTGATTGCCTTGTGGTAGTAAGTAAGGTAAATAAAAATGGGGGCAGGGGGAATAGATATGCATCCATGGAACCTAATCCTAAGCATATATACTCAAGACCCTCTGTGTTCACTGGGACTTATTGCCAAGCAAAAATGCATAGAGTTGCAGCCTTAATCTCTGCATATTTAATATTTTTAAGGTGGGTGGTGCTGTGGGTTAAACCACAGAACCTAGGACTTGCCGATCAGAATATCAGCGGTTCGAATCCCTGTGACGGGGTGAGCTCCCGTTGCTCGGTCCCTGCTCCTGCCAACCTAGCAGTTCGAAAACACGTCAAAGTGCAAGTAGATAAATAGGTACCACTCTGGCGGGAAGGTAAACGGCGTTTCCATGCGCTGCTCTGGTTCGCCAGAAGCGGCTTAGTCATGCTGGCCACATGACCCGGAAGCTGTACGCTGGCTCCCTCGGCCAGTAAAGCGAGATGAGCGCCGCAACCCCAGAGTCGGTCACGACTGGACCTAATGGTCAGGGGTCCCTTTACCTTTAATGTGGCTGTTGTTTTCTGTAATTCTTGTGTAAGACACTCAACAGCGCTATCGATGTCTATTCCAAACAGGGTAGATTTTCCAGTATCTGCCTAAATGAAGAAATCCTGAGACGAGGGCTTGGCAAGACAGTCCGTATTGATGGACTAGCTCACGAATCCCAGATATATTGGAAACTCCACAAGAGGCTCCTTCGAGCTGAACTGAAAGCCGTGAGAAAAAATAAAGGAATCTGGAAAGAAGAAACCTTAATTGAGAAGCTGAAAGAGCGTATAAGAAACAACAGATACATGCAGAAGTTAAAACAATTTGCAACCTGGCTAAGCACCCGCCTCTAAAATCAATGGGTTTGTCGAGGAGGAAGAACACACACACACCAGATGGAGAAGGATGCAACACTGTATTTTCCTCCTGTCAGAATATCACAACTAATGCCTGGCCTTCTGTTGGTGGCTTCTGCCTTAGGGGAAGAATACGAAAACATCACAGAACATATTTCTGGAGGAGATAGATGCACATAGCATATTCAGATATTAGTTTAATTCAGATGTAAGTTATCCAAAAGTATAAAAACAGAGACCCAAATCTAGGCCACGTAACATTCCAGCAAGAGAATAAAACTGAAAGCTTGCTTCATAGAGGGAAATACTGGAATTAACTGGGGCATATCTCATCCATGCATGTGGCTGCTGTCAGTCCTTCCCTAATTGTGGAGCACCTGAATTAGGCAGCAGACAGAGTGGAGAAGCCTTTTTTTCTCCTGTGAAGTTGTGAGTGGAATATAGGCTCAGTTCCTAGGATTGGGATCCCCTCAGTGGAATCAACAAACATAGGTAACATTAAAATCACAGATCACGCCCCAGTAGAAGTCATCGTTAAAATAGGAGAAGGAACACAAACCACCCCATCATGGTCCTTCAGTCCCATCCTAACTACAAACAAACAAATTAGAGAGAGTCTCACAAAAACCCTCCAAAACTACCTCAAGGAAAACGATGTAAACAATATAACAACCCCCCTCCTATGGGACGCAATGAAAGGGTCACCAGAGGAGCTTGCATAAAAGAGAAAACATTCCTTAAAAACAAACCTCCTCAAAAATTAGCAAAATAGAACAAGACATCACAGCCCTCTCATCACGCTACAAACAAACAGGATCTAAAAACTCCTCAAACTTATGGAACAAAAAAGGAGAGAACTAGACTCCTAGAAATTAACAAAACAATGATCAACATTCTATACTCTAAACAACGTTTCTACGAATATGGAGGGAAAACTCCAGATTACTAGCAAATAGATGCAGGAAAAAGCACTCAAAACAAGAATACACTGCATCACCAAAAAGACGGCAACATAACATTCTCCCCGAAGAAATAAACTCAGAATTTGCAGAATTCTACTCCAACCTATACACCTCCCATAACCCACCAGAGAAGGAAATCAAAAATTTCTAGCAGGACTGTCCATGCCTACCCTAACTGATGAGGAACAGGAATTCATGGACAGCCCTATCACCCCAGAGGAAATAGATGCGGTCCTCAAAAACCTGAAACCACACAAAGCCCCAGGCCCAGACGGCTTCACAGCAGAATTCTATAGGAAATTCAAAGAACCCTTGATGCCCTACATGACCCGCCTATTCAACGACATCATAAAAGGGGGCCCCATCCCCAAAACCTGGACCCACTCCAAAATAGTCTCCATCCCAAAACCACTAAAAGACAGCCTCAAAGTAGAATCATACCGCCCAATCTCATTAATAAACCAAGACTACAAGATATTCACATCAATCTTGGCCAACCGCCTAAAAACCTTCCTACACAAGTTAGTAGCCCCAGACCAGACTGGCTTTGTCCCTGGCCGCAATATAACAGACCCCATCAGGAAACTACTGAACCTGATCGAACACAGCAAGGCAACCAAACTCCCATTGACAATTATGTCCCTAGACATCCTCAAAGCCTTTGATTGCTTAGAGTGGAAATACATATTAGCAGTACTAACTAACATGAAATTTGGCCCCAACTTCCTACAAATTCTCAAACAAATATACTCCCAAGCCTCAGCAAAATGCAGAACTAACAATATGGATTCTAATACTATAGCTATCCAAAGAGGCACGAAACAAGGATGCCCACTGTCTCCCTTCTTATTTATCCTGGCTCTGGAACCCTTAGCAATCAGCATCCGAGCAGCCACAGACATCAAGGGAGTGGAAATAAAAGGCAGAACCTATAAATTAGGGCTCTTTGCAGATGACCTAATGGTCACAACACCAGACCCCATAAGCACAGCAACCTCCCTAATCAGAGAACTCAACACATTTGCAATGGTGTCGGGCCTACAGGTAAATTTTACAAAGTCAGAAGCTATGTGCTTCAACACCCCTCCTCACACCCAAAAAGAACTCACGAAGGTCACCAAAATAAAACTTTGCCACACCAAGTTCAGATACCTAGGGGTACAAATAACCAGAAACCTCAATAAATTGTACCTCCACAACTACAAGCCCCTGTGGCGACAAATTAACAAAGACCTAAAGAGATGGAATAACATGAATTTCACTCTCTCAGACAAAATAGCCATGATCAAAATGATCACACTCCCAAAACTAACCTACCTATTCCAAACCCTCCCAATCTGGATCCCTCAACCCAACTTCGCAGTTGGCAGAGAAAACTACACTCTTTCATCTTCTCACATAAAAACCAAGAATAAGCCTCAAATACCTGCACCTCCCCACCTCAGAAGGAGGATGGGGAATCCTCAACATAGAAGCATATTACAATGCCAACCAAATACGCCATATAATCCCATATATACTAGAAGATGAGACAAAACAATGGGTACACCTAGAGAGGGACACAATTGAAAATACCTGCACCACAACATACCCATTCCTCCCAAACAAACTAAAGAAAATTCCCACAACACTTAACAGGTACACACAGACCATGCTCAAAGCATGGAAAACACAAATAGGCAAACTATCCCCAACCCCATCCCCACTAATCCTCTGGCGTACTCACCCATTATTCCACCATGCAGCACAAAACCTCCAGATAAAAACCTGGCAAACCAAAGGCTTATATCGCCTAATAGACTTTTATAAAAATAACAAACCCTTGTCAACACAAGAAATACAAGACAAACTAGAAGACACCCAAATGCCCTGGTTAACACAACACCAACTACATGCCCTCTTAAACAACCCAACAGTAAAATCAGCAGCAACTAGGCCCCTGACAACCTTCGAAAACCTCCTCCTAACAACAAAAGGAAACGGTAAAGGGACGGTATCCGCAATATACAAAATACTACTCCAAAATCCCGCAAATCCCCTAGATGCAATCAAAAACAATGGGAGAATGACATAGGCTATGAGATTAACCCCACTCAATGGACCAGAATGTGGTCTAAACCCCCTTTAAATCCATATCAACGAAAAGAAAAGAACTCACACTGAAACTCACCTACAGGTGGTACCTAACACCAAGGAAACTAGCGCTAATACACCCAGGAACCTCACCAAAATGCTGGAGAGGGTGCACCTCCACAGGCACATACCTCCACATGTGGTGGGAGTGTCCCAAAATCCAACTATTCTGGACAACAGCCATACAAGAAATATGTAAAATAACTAAGCAAGTAATAGACATCACCCCAGAATTGGCCCTACTAAACATCTTCCAAGACAACAATGCCCATTTACACCACAAAGAACTCATAACCCACCTACTTTCAGCAGCCAGAAACACCATAACCAGACACTGGAGAGACCTGTCAGGAGTAAACATGGACCAATGGTACCAAATAGTATGGGAAACAGCCCTACTAGAAAAATTAACTAATAAACTGAAACTGACACGGGACAAACAGAAGAAGACGTCTTCACCCTGGTATGGCTCCCTTTATCACATACACAGCCCAACAGGACAATGACAATAATCCACCAACAGCATACAAATCAATATGGCTAACCTGATCCAAAACACCCACCCACCTCACTCACACACGAAAACAAAGATCACCACAGCCAATCACAAGCAGACAATCACACCCTAGGCCAACCCCAACCTCTCTCACCACGAAAGGAACACAAGTGAACAACACAAGCAACGCTGACACCAAACTCTACATACATTAAACATAATAGAAACACCGCCACCCGACCCCACCCCCATCCATCTTCCCTCTCTCCACCCCCTTTCTTTTTCCTTTTTTTTCTTCTCCCCCCTAATGCCTCAACAAATGAAATGGATTTGTAAAAATGTTACATGAAAAAAATATATATACGAGGCAGTACACTTACTTCTGTAAAACAAGAAAATCCTTAATAAAATATTTAATAAAAAAAATAAAATTAAAAAAAAAAAAAAAGAAGCTGGGCTTTCCCAATAAGGAAGGGGTAGGAGTGCAGCTGGGGGCAGGGTATTCAAAGCCGGGAGTTTCCTTTCCCCTCTTCTCCCCCCCACCAACTCTGCTCCCAAAATTCAATCAGAACTGATAACACTGAGTAGTTCTGTGGTGTAGCATTTCTAGATCAGAGCCAAGGCTCATTGTTTTTTGCTACTTATGTCAGAAATAATGTCATATTCTGTTCTGTGTTTCCCCTCCCCAGCCCCATTTTTTATTTTCTTTTTTTGCATAGAATAAAGTTTTGCTTTTACATTACACTAATGGAATTTCAGGCAGATGTGGATAAACTTTAAGTATTTGTGTTGTTGTTGTTGTTTTTGCAAGCATTTCACCTGGGTAAAGGTGGCCGACTCTGGGGTTGTGGCGCTCATCTCGCTTTATTGGACTTGTCGATCAGAAGGTTGGTGATTTGAATCCCCTCGACGGGGTGAGCTCCCATTGCTTGGTCCCTGCTCCTGCCAACCTAGCAGTTCGAAAGCACACAGTGCAAGTACATAAATAGGTACTGCTCCGGCGGGAAGGTAAAAGCCGTTTCCATGCGCTGCTCTGGTTCGCCAGAAGCGGCTTAGTCATGCTGGCCACATGACCCGGAAGCTGTACGCCGGCTCCCTTGGCCAATAAAGCGAGACGAGCGCCGCAGCCCCAGAGTCGTCCACGACTAGACCTAATGGTCAGGGGTCCCTTTACCTTTACTGTATAGCAAAGCATATTCCCCCTTCTTGCAGAGCTGCACTATTGCAGAAGATTAACTGTGAATGTGTTTAGGCAGGGGCAAAACTAGGCTTTATTTCACTTGGGTCGAAGACCCAGTTGGCATCCCCTCACGTGCACACACACAGGCTGGGGGCCTCAATGGCACCTCTCTGGAGGCGTCACATGGGGCAAAAGTCTGGCTAGCACCCCCCCAAGCTACAGCTCTGGTTTAAGGACTTGCCTACATGGTGGTAGTGTCATGCATGTGCTGGGGAGAGTATCGGACTGGTTAGACTGGGATCTAGCATGGAAAACGGCCTCCTCTCTTGAGTTCTGAGAGCCAGGAGCTTCTGGCACCATCTTAAAGAATCATCGAATCGTAGAGTTGGACGGGAGCCAAGGGTCATCTAGTCCAACCCCCTGCAATGCAGGAATCTCAGCTAAAGCATCCATGACAGATGGCCATCCATCCTCTGCTTAAAAACCTCAAAGGAAGGAGAGTCCACCGCCTCTCATGGGAGTCTGTTCCACTGCTGAACAGCTCCTACTGTCAGAAAATTCTTCCTGATGTTTAGCTGAAATCTCCTTTCTTGTAAGTGGAAGCCATTGGTTTGAGTCCTACCCTCCAGAGCAGGAGAAAACAAGCATGCTCCCTCCTCCATGTGACAGCCCTTAAGATATCTGAAGATGGCTATCGTATCTCCTCTCATTCTCCTCCTTTCCAGGCTAAACATACCCAGCTCCTTCAAGCACCCCTCATAAGGCTTAGTTTCCAGACCCTTGATCCATCTTGGTTGCTCTCCTCTGCACACACTCCAGCTTGTCAACATCCTTGTTAAATTGTGGTGTCCAGAACTGGACACAGTATTCCAGGTGTGGTCTGACCAATTCGGTTTACAGGACTTG